TAACGATTTTTATATGGTTTTTGTGTAAAATAAAGTACATATGCGTATTGTGTAATTATTTATTTTACTTTTGTTTTATGCTCAATGTTTATTTTCAAAATCTTGTCGGCATCGTGTTAATATAAACTCTCAAATATCTGTAGAATGTCATTGTATTTCAAAGAAACTAAATCATATTTTCTTCTTTCTTAATATATTTTTTTTATTTTTGTATACATTCTTTAGAGTTTAATAGAGTTTGGAGCACGCAATGATCATTATAGCAATTTTTTTCATTAAACGGTAAACTTATAACTGCAAAATTTTTAATTTGCTGTCGAAGCGCAATTATTTAATGCGCGCATATGCGTGAAAAACGGAACACAGTTTTGCAATAATATTTCGAAATATCAATTCTGGGTGCGATCCGAGTTGCGCTGCACATGCTTCAAAGCGTCTATAGCGCGATTAAGAATCTACTACAGTCCAGCTGTATTGCTCTTTACGTGACGGTCGTGACTCGAGTTTTTTAGGTTTTACCTGGTTTTACCTTGAACAAGAAAAGATTAAATAAATACGATATTTTAAAATAACACACTGCAATTACGACAATTCGTCTAACGATGTTGCACCACAGCCGAACATCACGAAGAGATCGCGAGTACGAAGAACGTCGATCCAGAAGATCGAAGTCCAGCCGTAAGTCTTCCGAAAAATCCAGTGAAAGACACAAAAAATCTAAGAAGAAAGATTCTCGCTCGCGTCGTGAATCGAGGAAAAAATCATCTAAGCGTAGAAGTCAAAAAAGGTAGGAGTTTTTCTGAATGATTGATTAGGTTATGTTTTATTGTGTCTTCTTGTCTCTCTCTCTCTCTCTTTTTCTCAAATAACTTTCCTTCTTCCTTTATACGCAGTAGTAAGTTTCACAGAAGTTTAATATCGCACCTTGATTCCAACTTTTTGATTCTTTTTTTTTTGTTTCAAATGATTGTAAAACTATGACAAAGTTTTTTGATGTTATATATTTTTGAATTCACATAATGTATATGTACTGTACTTTCTGTTTAGGGAATCGTCATCTTCGTCATCTTCGTCAACTTCTTCATCGTCTTCGTCATTCAATTCAGGCAAATCCAGTGACAGCTCCTCATCTTCAGACTCCACAAAATTCTTAGAAAAATTGCAAAAAAAGAGACAAAAACAAATAGAAGAGCATAAACGTCAGAAGGAATTAATGAAAGCGACGGAAACACCAGAGGAGAAACGCTTACGTCGACTAAAAAAGAAGGAAGCTAAGGAACGTAAACGTAAAGAAAGAATGGGCTGGGACAATGACTATTTGCACTATACAAATACGGATAATCCATTTGGGGATGGAAATATTTTATCTACTTTTGTATGGTCAAAAAAGTTAGGCAAAGAAGGTTTGCTGGGTATGGACAGAGAAGAGTTAGAGATTCGTAATAGACACAAACAGGAGGAAAACAAAAAAGAATTAGAGAAAGTCAAGAAGAGGAGACAGGAGAGAGAATTGGAGCGGCAACAAAGGGAAGAAGAGATGACCATGTTACAGAGAGGTAAGGAAGCCGCTCAATTGGAGCAATGGGCGCGGCAGGAAGATCAATTTCATCTTGAACAAGCTAGACTAAGATCTCGTATTAGGATTCAGGACGGTCGTGCGAAACCCATTGATCTTCTTGCGAAGTATATCAGTGCAGAAGAGGAGGTCGATGCGGTGGAAATGCATGAACCGTACACGTATTTGCGAGGCTTGCACGTGAAAGATTTGGAGGATCTTATAGAAGATATTAAGGTTTACAAGGAATTAGAAAGAGGCAAGAATTTAGATTACTGGAACGATATAACTGTAATTGTGGAGGATGAATTACACAAGCTTCGGAAATTAGAACGGACTGAATATGAAGTTGGTAAGAAAAATGATTCTCATTTTTTTTTTATTTTTTTTTTTTTTTATTTTATTTCTCCTGATTACTTTTATTATAAATTATCTTCTTTAGCTGTTGGAAGAAGAGAAGGAATCCACGAATCAGTTGCCAGAGATGTGACATCGATTTTTAAAGGCAAAACAGTGTCGCAATTGGAAGCTCTGCAATCGCAGATTCAAGAAAAAATTACGGGAAAACCTGAAGGCGTCGATGTCGGATATTGGGAGAGTCTTTCTTCACAGTTGAACGGTAACGACGCAATACACGTGTGTAATATAAATTCAATCAAAACCTAAAAAAATCCAAGTAATACACATGCAATTTACATTGTTAAATACTGAACTTTTGTAGCTCATATCGCGAGAGCGCGGCTCAGAGACCGACATCAGGAGAATCTGCGTAAAAAGTTGGAAGTTCTAATTGCCGAACAAGGTGTGGCCAGAACCGAAAACGAGGCTGAGAGCTCGCAAGTTCAGGAGAGTGAGTCGTCGATAAAACAGAACGAACCGTCTGTTAGTACAGCAGTCGAGAAGAATGAAGATAGTCAATCTGAGTAAGTGTTTTTTAATTATAAATTTTCTTTGAGCTTCTTCTTAAGCTTCTAAGTTCTAAGTTTTCTTTTCTAATGTATATGTAACACTACAGGTAATAATCTATACTACACATATATATTTCAGCGACGATCAAGAGACCAATGCGGTCGACGACCTACTGACCGAATGCTTCCGAGAATACGAAACGGGTGGCTATTCGCCGGTCTACATTCCTTACTCACAGCTCGAACCGGGCACGCTTATCACGCAAGAGGACGACGACAATCAGCGATTGGAGTACGCGCGGCAGGAAGTGCTGAACACCGGTAGAAAGATTCAGAACGTGATGACAACCGAGGAGCAGGCCATGCATCGAGAAGCGCGTAAGGGAATGAATTCGGACGAGGCGCAATTCAGCGTCGAAGCGTCGCTGGAGGCGCAGATCTACTTGTGGTCCGACAAGTACCGGCCGCGCAAACCGCGTTACTTCAACCGCGTGCACACCGGCTTCGAGTGGAACAAGTACAATCAGACGCATTACGACATGGACAATCCGCCGCCTAAGATCGTTCAGGGTTACAAATTTAATATCTTTTATCCGGATCTGATTGACAAAAATACTACGCCGGAATATTTTCTGGTAAGACATAATATTACTGTTTCTCTCACGTATTATGATCTCTCGTGTTAACGTCATCTGAATCTATTTAATAGCTTGTTAAAATAGCCGTCATACGTTTTAATACATAAACAAAAACGTTGTTAATTTTTAACTTGCAGACACCCTGCGCTGACAACAAAGACTTCGCCATCCTGCGATTTCACGCGGGTCCGCCGTACGAGGACATAGCGTTCAAGATCGTCAATCGAGAATGGGAGTATTCGTACAAGCGTGGATTTAGATGTCAATTCCACAACAACATTTTCCAGTTGTGGTTTCACTTCAAGCGGTATAGATATCGCCGTTAACATCGCATGCGTATGTACTATTGTTTAATATTGACTTTTGTAAATTGTGTGTGTATATATATATATGTATATTGTATAATTCTATTGTGCAACACAAAGTGCATTGACTTTTCGACATCATATTTCATATTTAAATATGTAAGTGTGTGTGTGTGTGTATATGTGCACACACAAAATAAAAATTTAAAAAAAGATGTATATATAGCGTGTCTCCTTTTTACTCACAATTCCACGTACTTGATATATTATCCGTTTGTTTCGAACGACTTCCGCGAGGCGATATAGTCGGTTTTAAACGGTGGTCGTTGGATCGATTTTTCCTTCTGCCACCTGTGTACTGTCACACACTCGACCGCGTATGTATAGAAAGGTGAAAGCCGTGCGAAGCTAATGGCAAGGGTAAAGCTGAGCTCGCAGTGCGCCGCGTAACGGTGGTAATGAGCCGCGCGTCATCGAGAAGTTCGTTTCCGCTTGCACTCACGCACGATTAAAATTAAACGCGTAATTTTTTGTTACACTTTGTAATTTGCGAAACGAAAGAAGAAAACGGTGATGTCGCGCGATAAGCGTGTTTTAACGTGTTGCGTCTATCTGCGTTTTATTTTATAAAAAGTTGATCTTCTCTTTTGTGTTTTTTCTGTCAATCTGATAATTTCAGTGCGACAAGTTAGACATAAAAAAAAAAAAAAACTTTCTCGTTGTGCGCTCGTTGATTTCGACGAACGAATACTACGTGCTTGTGACGTCAACTGATTATTGCTGATTTGAAAAAAAAACATTTGTTTGTGTAGAAAATAAACATCGTTCAAACAAAAAAGTTCGATCGGGCGCTAGAAAATTGTTTCCGGCAAAAGAAACATTCTTCCAAATATGATCTAAAAAAAACCAAATTTTACAAATTTGAAAAAAAAAAGCCGCGAACGGTGCAATTAAAAGTGCTTTTGAAATTTTGTAATTAATTTTATCTCTTTTTCTTTTTCGTTACATAAGGTGTATTAATAAAAGTGTCGGCGCGAATCGATGCTTTTCGAAGAGGAGAATTTATGTGACGAAGAAACACACGATAATGCTCGTTTCGCGACACGAACTACGTGCGAATAAATTTTTGTGATTTGTGAGAACACAACGTCAATAAAAAAATCGTCATGAAGTGGAAGAGAGAACCGTGTAAATTTCTGTCGGAGAAAACGTTTCTCATAATTAAGGATGACCTGAGCATCTTGAAAGGTAAAGTGCTCGTCGTAATTTTATCGCGTGAGTTCATCGATATTAATTCAAGAACACAAATATATTTTTGCTCAAAACAATTTTAATAACAAATCACTCTTCTCTCTATTTTTTTTAAACTTCTTTGTCTTCCATTATGTTTCATATTGTCTCTCTCAGTATTTTTTTTTTTTTTTTTTTTTTTTTTTTTTTTTTTTTTGTAATATTTGAAAGTCAGTATCTTTTTTTTATTTGAGTCTCAACTATTTTATGCGGTATCTCGCGGTATAAAATGGCTTTTAACGAAGGTTCACTACCAAAGACCAAGCCATACACGTCTAACGATCTCTTCACGGTTGCTATCAGATCATTTCCAAAGCAGGTACGACCAAAAAATCAGACGGCAAGAAGACAGCGGTGAAAAATGTGGGGAACACCGGGACTTGGCCGCCGAAAATGAAACGCGTGCGTGCGTTCTGCAGGGAAGAGCTGGAGAGACCGAAAACGGCCAATCTCGCGAGACCGAGCGTACTGGACCCTACGCTGGTGGACAAACTCGACATGTCTCTGCTCAGCAAGGAGCTGCTGTGCGACTCAATGACGCGTTTTCAATCATCAAATGACAAAATGTCGGCCGGTAACAACACGTCGACATCGTCTTTGTCATTGTTGTTGCCGTCGCCGCCGTTCGCGGCAAGACGACGTCAGAGCGCCGCAGTTACCACCGCAACCGCGATGACTACTACTTTGTTGTCAGACGACGACGTCGTACCAGTACGTCGCAAGCGACAGAGCTTCGAACAGATTGACGAGCCACGGATTGTAGCGAACCAAATGGAGATCGACTCGTCAAGGTCGTCCTCCATCGGAAGTCAGAAGATCCTGTCACCACCAAATACGCAGGAACAAGCGTCCTCCGGACGGAACACCGACGTCAGAAAATTCGATGATAACAACAATAGGTCTGTAATGATTTGAATTGCGAATTAATAGAATTATCAAATATTTTGCTAACTGTTACTTGTTCCGCAAAAATTAACCCCGCGAAAGTTGAAATATAAATGTGTTTTAACTCGCTAAAAATAATTTACTATATTTGTATCTTCAAATTAAAAGATCCTTATTCTACTCTCTTGCCAAACAAACGCGTTTAACGTTGTACGCGCGTATTAAAAAATTATATTTCATAATTAAAAAGTTTATTTTTTTTCTTTCGATCAGAAACGGTCCTCCCAAAGTCCTGTCCACCGTGAAGAAGAAGAACTCGCGCACCAGTCTACCGAGCGACTTAGAAATATTCACTACCGCGTCGGCAAAGAACGTAACCGCGCCGGAGCCCTGCAAGACCTGCGGACGTCCGGATCAGCCCGAAAGATTTCACAGTCATCCGAAAGGCAGTCAGACGAAAATCAAGGAGATTCCACCGTCTGTTGCGACGGCCAAGTCGAAACTCGCCGTTCCGCCGGTTCCAAAGTCTATCCAGAAACCGGTGGCGTTGAACTTCCGCAGCGATAGGAACAAAAAGAAATCGGAGAACACGGCGGAGATGAATTCGAGGACGCCGGCCACTCCCCAGGATCCGTCGTCACGTGGATCAGCGGATCAGCGGGTCAGGTCGTCGTCCGCGAAACGCGGTCCCAGAACCGTCACATGTTACATATGCGGTCGGGAATTCGGCACCGCCAGTTTCCACATACACGAGCCTAAATGCATGGAGGTAAATATATATATAGATATTTATAAAAAAAAAAGTAATAAAAAATGTAAACATTGATGCTATAAAATGCGATAATGCGGCAAGATTTAAAAAAAAAAAAAACAAAAAAACAAAGACGCAGAAGTGCGCCTTGCACGATAGGACAAGACCGATAAATGTCTCTTCGTAACATATCGCGATTTCATCGCAGAAGCAACAGTAAAACAGAATATAAAAGTATTCCGTACCGATGGTACGCGTGTAATAAGTCAAGGCCCTTTCGCAAAATCGATGGCAGTGTAACGCGGCATTGTTCAAATTAAACTCGATACTTATCAGATGCTTTTTACACGAGCGCGTAGTCATATAATCGATGTGTCATAGTTGCGAACTATACTAACGCAGCGATCGGCGTAGGTCGGCGGCAGCAATTCGCACGTGCTCGTATATAACGGGCCGTCTTCGATATTTGACCGACCACAAGTTGCCTGTGTGACACATGGATTATTTAACAGATATATATATTATATAAAGGTATTTCGCGCACATTCGCTTTGCACGAGTTTAGCGAAGTAAAAGTGACGTTACCGGACTGTTATCGCGCGTTCACATCGCGATTCTGCGATAAGCGAAATTCGCATTTGCACAGTCATCATTATATGTTTATCTATATATGTTTCAAAACGAGAAGCGCATTAGCGAACTGTGGTATGTATATATGTTAGCCATGCAATCCCGCAATGATGCCAATGTGCTGCGATACATTGCAAAATCGATCAAACGGGACTGCACGGTAGCGCATCGTGTGATAAAAAGTCGCGTGAAAATTGTTTAAACGTTTTCACAAACAAAAATGTGGTTCAAATCACAAGAACCAATATTTTTTTGCGTTTAAAAATTAAAAAGAAAAATTAAAAATAAAAATTTCTTTTATTATTACAACAAGAAAAAGACATTGATCCAGGTATAATATATACTTATACCTGAATTTACTTAGTTTTTTTTTTTTTATAAATTACATACTAGATACATATATTACCGTATGTCGTTATTTATTTACTCAACAAGCAATTTATCATAGAAATGGGAGCGCGAGAATAACTCGCTGCCGCCATCCCAGAGACGGCCCAGGCCTCAAAAACCCGCGGTCGGAGTCGAGCACAGCGATTGGAATGCAGCGGCATGGGAACAGAGTCAGGTAGAGACACATAATCCATATGTGTTAATCAGACATGGTCTATATATGTGTTCTGATTTCAATTAGCATTGCATTGTTTAATAACGTAACACGCATAAAAGAATTAATTTCCAGCCAATTGCGTCGTTTTCGTTCAAGCGAACACATTGCTATTCGCGCTTATGTTGATTCTGACGAACGATAATGTAATCCTCAATAGTCGATGATGTAAGAACCAATTATGGGAAATGAAGTAATATGTAGCGGAGGAAGCGCGCGCCCGGCAACACTAACAAAGCATGACGAATTAAAATCGATCGAAAAGAAATCGCGTCTATAAAAATCACGCAAAAAAGCTTTACAAAATTTGAAATTTGTTTAAAACTTTATATCTCACATATGTTTAATTTTTGTAAAAATAATTTTTCAATAAATAATTCAATAATAAATTTGCTTTCTCTAATGTAAAAATAAGGAGAAAATTTTTATTTCAGGAACAATTGGTTCCGTGCGCGAAATGCGGCAGGACATTTTTACCGGAACGATTGCCGATTCACGAAAGAAGCTGCAAAGCTGCCCCGAAGGTACATATGTACTCTACTAAAGTTGTTCAAACATTTTCATACTTTACATATATTTCTTCTTACCTATCTATCGTTCGTTTTTCCTAGAACAACGAGCCAAAACTCGAACGACTGGCTACGCCGGCGAATCCGCGCAGCGTCATGCCGCCGACTGTTCCGTGTCGTATGTGCGGTCGAAAATTCGGCACCAGAAGCATCAAAATCCACGAGCCTCAGTGCAACAGACGTTGGCAAATGCAGAACGATTCAACAAATCTGCAAAATGACAACGCAGAGTTACCGTCCATGTATCCGGTGAGTGATAACTATAAAAAAAAAAAAAAAGAAATAAAACACATATCTATGCTTGAAATTACATGTTGAGTTCATGCTGTGTGTAGTTTGATATAAAATTTTCATAAAAGTTAAAAAAACAACACGCAAATTGCTCGATTTCAGGACTTGTCGCAAAAGAGAACCGTCACGTGTTACATATGCGGCAGGGATTTCGGAACCAACAGTATCGCCATACACGAGCCGCAATGTTTAAAGAAATGGCATGTGGAGAATAACAAATTGTCGCCGTCACGAAGGAGAAAGGAACCGCAGAAACCCGAGATCGTGTACACACGTAAGCGCGAGTTCTAGTTTTTCGCTTAGTGCGCGCGTTCAAATAAAATGCCAATGATGTTATTAAATGCGCACATTTTTTGTCTCCTCGCCTTGATATCTATTCAAATGTCAAAGTCAGAGAAGTTATTTCCAAACAACAGAAGTTACACGAACATACGTGATGTATATCAATTTGCAATGTCCGTCGTGCATTGACGTAGAATAAAAGTCGATGTGTAGGCCTTAATTTAATATACAAGCGTCACGACACGTTCTTGTTGGTCGAAAGTGCCTTTTCTACGTGGCGAATCGATAATTGTTCGGGGGGTGCGACGAGATAGTTTTAAGATGGTTTTAAGATTTTTTTAAGTGTGAGATCTAGAAACAAAAATTTTCCGATATTTACAACAAAGATTACTCTTGTTTCCTTGCAGAGGATCCTCAAACAGGAAACAGGGTGGTCGATCAGGCGGCGACGGCTGAGGCCAATTGGATGTCGCACTTGAGCCAGTTGGTGCCGTGCAAGCATTGTGGAAGAACCTTTAATCCCGATCGCGTGAACATCCACGAGAAGAGCTGCAAAGGAAATCGCTAAAGGTTTTATCACGCGACGAGAAAAGATGAAGTTTCTTCTGTTTAATTTTAGAAACCGACTTTACAGATATAGACGTAATTAAAAAAAAAAACTGTAACTGGCGGAAAAAAACAATAGTAGAATATATATATATTATACGATAATCTATTGCCGTAATTTTTTTAGAAGTGACGCATCTGTGTTTTTATATGGAAATAAAATAACTAACTCTTTGCAATTTTGTAACACACCGTTTGATCTCACAGAGTTGTGATTTACTTCTGTTTAAAAAGATAAATGACGATACGTGTATCAAAAAAACAATAAAACAATAATGTATTCGATCACTTTGTTGTATACAAAGCACCTAAAAATGTAATTTTTATAATAGAAAAAAAATCTCATTCAAGTGATTCGCAATGTTTAATCTTACTTAACATAGGTTTAGAAATCTCACCTACACATCTTTCCTTTTTGTTGCTGATATTAGATATAAATCTTGTAATAACAAATACGATTGTTGTTGATAGGTATAATAATAATAAAAAAGTATGTTTTATTTTATGTGTCGAATTTGTCTAGGTTGAATAATTGATTAAATAAGAATTTTAGGTTTTTGCAAACAGCTGTATAACAGACACAGAGAAGCACGCATGCTCTCTCTCTCTCTCTCTCTATACCTATAACTGTAACAATTTTGTGATCTTTTTAAAGAAATGTTTTTGGGATATTTATAAACATTAGTCATTTTATCAATTATTTTATTAGATAAAATAAAATATTATTAAAATATTACTGATAATGAACACACATATGACCTAAATGATAAAAGTGCTTCTCTGGTCATGTGATAAAATTGTAAATGCCCCCTTCAGATAATAATTTTTGTTTCTATCTCAATGTGATTGATTAACATTCAATATTTTGCACATCTATAAAATATATTTAACATATGGCAATATGAAAAAATTATTTTGAGTATATTAAAGTATTAACTGTGTTTTTGAGTAAAGTAAAATTCTTATTTGTCTGTTGCTCTGTCTTGTAAGACATCTACCTTATTCAGTAGATGTCAGTAGATTAATTTTTTGCTGCATTCTAATGTAATCCTTTAGAGATTCTCCCAGACTTTTGATAATTTTTATTTTAGTTTCAAAGGCATCTACAAGCTGTTTCAACTTGGACAGTGACTCACTTGTAAAGTCTACAGAATATTCGTTATTCAAAGATTCTATTGAGACTGCAAACATATATAAAAATGATGTGACAATATATGTGATATGTTAATACTAATATATACTAACAAAAAAAAAACATAAATCAATTATTAAACATACCAGTTTGTAGTACTTCAAGTATCAATTCCTTCGTATATACACATGTTTCACTGAGCTCTAGGGTCTGGTTTTGTAACTCTTTCAACAATTGTATTGAGTTTAATGACAATTGTATAAAACTGATATCATCAGGTGTGATCGAATTGGATGACAATAACAATGATCTCCTAAACAAGAAATTTCCAATGTGTTAAATACATTTTTAGGAATAGTTTTATGTTTTTCTCGAAATAACTTAGAATTCAGCATAAACATTTACCTTTTTCGACTATTACAGCCGGAACAACTCTCCAAGTATTCAGTATGCCAGCAAAAATGACTATTTTTCAATACTTCACGCAGACTGTTTATAATTTGTACATCCATGCTGTCAATTTGAATGATTTCCAATAATTTAACAAGAATAGCATTATCCATAGCTAATACTCTTAAATGTTACTACATAAACCTTGTGTGCTTTCACAATTTTTCGTTAAAAAGCACTTACATAGAATATCTTCACTGTATCTTATCGTCACTGTTTCCGATTGTTTTCTGCTCTGTTTCGTCAAACACGTGTCAAGTTGTTCGTACAATTAACAAACCGTTCAGTGGGTACGCCTTACCCACTTTGGTTCTCGATGTCGTGAAAAACAAATTGCATTTGCAAAAACAATTTGCGCGCGACCACAAAACGAACACCACTAATTATCTCACGAGTCAAGTCAGTTTTAAACTTCGTCGAGAAGAAACTGTTTCCTTTTCTGTGTTTGTTATCGCGCTCGGGATCGTTAGAGTTACTAACAAAAACAATCGAACATTTGCAATTTGCAAAAGAAAAACGATTAAGATAAGATAATTTGCTCTTTCTCACCGTCATTGGAACAAATCGTTGGAGCTCGTACGGAAGTTTATTTATATTTACGTTTGTAACGTTGCGATGTCGTCGTATACAAATTTGAAATCTTCTCCGACTGCGCGCGCACACGGCGTCCCGCACACGCGCGATATAGATGCGACGATCGACGGATAGAGGGCGCAAGAGAGCGCACGCCGTTGCGCATCGCAGCGCTCTCTCTACGAACAAGAGGCACATTTCGGGCCCAGAGCGGATAGCCCGTCCTTTCCGAGGGAGCACGCCATCGTTGGAGCACGCATATTCGAGATCGAGACGACAATCCAACAGCATCCAAGATGGTATGTAACCGCATCGCGACGCCGCCGATCGAGCCGAAATCGCTAGAATTTCGCGTACGCGCGGCATCGAATATTTTTCGTCGTCGCGGCCCGAGCACGCCGTTCGTACGCGCGAGCTTGCTCGAGCGAAAACGCTGCTGCATCCGCTTCTTTCGTTTCTCGGCTGGAGACACGGGAGAGCGATTACTCTAGATTGCGCAATTTGTAATCCGCGACGATATCGCGAAATTCGTATTTTACGGAAACTTCGATTAGGGGATTCGCGAATAAGAGATTGTTCCGAGAAACGCTTCGAGTCCGAAAATTTCACCGCCGCGGCGTCATATCCGCGACGTGTTTCGGGCGGAAATATGCTCCGTTGTTGCACTCGCAACGTGTCATGGTGTGCACCTTGTCTCTCTCGTGGCCCTGTCGTCACACGAGGCAATGTGCATGGCAAGCGCGAGCGAACGTTGTACTTTTTTTTTTTCTTTCTGCCCCCGAGGAGACTTTCGCGTCGATCTTGCTCATTAAATTTGTCTCTCGAGGAGAGAAAATTGAAAACCCGTATGCGAAAACGCGGTCGAGCATAATGAAGAAAGCTCGAATATGGTATGAAACACATGGCGAGTATACGGAAAGATGTAAGACGCTATATCAGAGAGATATATGTATAGATGTGAATCGGGGATGTGAGAGATAAGATGTTTCCTCGATCATTTTTTTTCTTTATTCCCGGCGCTTTCGAGTAATTGCAATATTATTTGTTAAATTCTGGGAAAAACACGCTTCAATATGTTTATCAGAGATTTTTTGTCCCATAAAGATATATGGGTTTGGTACTTGTAAAAATGTGTTCTTTTGTTCGACAAATATATCAATTATCCACTCTGTCGGTTAATGTTGCGCAATATGTACAAATTAACTAGTGTATGAATCATTTATGTAGGAATGTAAATTATTCAGAAAATATAAGTCCAATTTCTTCGTAATATATAATTTTTTATATTTAACGAGATTTATGATTGTTTTAATAAAAAGTATTCTGTCTTATTAAAAATTATTTTATATAGCATTTATACTTTATTATAGAAATTACATAGCAACAATTTGTATAATAATTGGAAAAATGATATAAATTCACAATATGTTGCAATGAGTGAGAAATTTTTTTTTTTTAGTTTTTATAAAGTTAAAGACATGAATTATAAATATTTAGTTTTTTTTTTTTTAAACATGGACAACACGGTATCGAGAAAAATAATTAAATAATAATAAATATGCAGTTGTTATCTTAAGTTAAAATGATAATATCTGTTGTCATAAATATTCTATTGATTGATTTTAGATAATATTTTTGGTAGCTTGGTAAGCTTACGTATGTAAAATGTGTTATTGTAGGTGAACTTTACCGTAGACGAAATACGTGCAATGATGGACAAAAAGAAAAACATCAGAAATATGTCCGTCATTGCGCATGTGGACCATGGTAAATCTACTTTAACAGACTCCCTCGTATCTAAGGCCGGTATTATTGCCGGTGCTAAAGCTGGTGAGACTCGTTTCACTGACACACGTAAAGATGAGCAGGAACGATGTATCACTATTAAGTCCACGTAAGTTATATACTTTTCAGACTTTCAACCACACTTCAACACGTGGATTTTTTTACTCAACATTGGTGTGGGTATATTAAATATTGTTTATTTCTCTTTTAGTGCTATTTCTATGTTCTTCGAACTTGAAGAGAAAGATTTAGTTTTTATCACGAATCCTGATCAACGTGACAAGGATGAGAAGGGATTTTTGATTAACCTGATTGACTCACCTGGACATGTCGATTTTTCGAGCGAAGTCACAGCTGCTCTCCGTGTTACCGATGGAGCTCTTGTTGTGGTAGATTGTGTATCCGGTAAGTAATTTATTATGTGTTTTTTTCCCTTGTACTCATTAATTGTTTGACGACTGAACATAAATTGTTTGGCACAATCGGACAAATTGATTCTTCCAGCACACGAAGCGTTACTCTGTAGTACATAGTCTCTCTTTTTGGGGTCATATGTATAGTGACAGTGTTGGCAGTGCAATGGAAGAAGAATAAAAAGCAATTGTGTCTAAACGCTGTTAGTGGACCTCTATCCTTATGTTCGTTACTAATACGCTACGACACAAATGTTACAAATTTTTATCATTTTTATATTATTTTCAAATATATTTGCAATATATGTAAATTCCACAAGTGAACATTTTCGTACACCGCCAGTATAGTGCCAAATAAATTTGTTTCTGTAATAAAAAAAACAAAAAAACAAAAAAAAAAAGGATAGTTCCAATTGTTCCAATTGTTGCTTCTCAGGTGTGTGCGTACAGACTGAAACTGTACTGCGACAAGCTATTGCCGAACGCATAAAGCCTGTTTTATTCATGAATAAAATGGATCGCGCGCTGTTAGAACTCCAACTTGATAGCGAAGATCTTTACCAAACGTTTCAACGTATTGTTGAAAACGTCAACGTTATTATTGCAACATACTCCGATGACGATGGCCCCATGGGTGAAGTCAGAGTAAGTAGATTTGTATTTTCGCGCGAAAGTTGTCACGTACGCAATTAAAAATTAATTCTCTCGCACGCATGAATGAATTCTTCTAGCATACAAGAGTTACTCTGTAGTACGTCGCTTGGTTTGTATAAACTGATCGATATACACTAACAGTGTTGACAATGCAATGGAAGAAGAACAAAGGGCAATTGTGTCTAAACGCTGTTAGCGGACCTCTATCCTTATGTTCGTTGCTAATACGCTACGACACAAATGCTACATGTCCCCCTTACAGTGTCAACAATTGTTTTCTTTTTAATTTTTAGACAATCGGTATTTTTAAAATTTTTTTATTTAGAGATTATAGTGGCTAAACCAGTCTTCTAAAGATTAATAAGAATAAGAAATAGTGTAATTGTAATAATTATTTAATTAATTATTTTATTGATTCTTGTGCGTGTATTATTTCTGATTTCTAAACAATATGCGTATGTTTGTAAAACAGGTGGATCCCAGTAAAGGTTCTGTAGGTTTCGGATCTGGTCTTCACGGTTGGGCTTTTACTCTAAAACAATTCTCAGAGATGTACGCTGAAAAGTTCAAGATTGATGTAGTGAAACTCATGAACAGATTGTGGGGAGAATCTTTCTTCAATCCTAAAACTAAAAAGTGGAGCAAACAAAAAGAACCCGAAAACAAACGATCTTTCTGTATGTATGTTTTAGATCCAATTTACAAGGTGAGTTTTCTTGCAGTTTTTAACATTGAGTTTAATCTGATTGTAACTTTTTTTTTGCGAGGAAAATGTCAAAATCTAAATTCGAATGTATTTATTTGCAGGTTTTTGACAGCATTATGAATTATAAGAAAGAGGAAGCAGATACTCTTTTGCAGAAATTGGGTATCGTGTTGAAACCCGAGGATAAAGACAAAGACGGAAAAGCTTTATTGAAAGTAAGATTTATATCTGTCGTTATATACGTGACTGCGTATTTTCATTTAAATATTCTTTAATGATGATAATTTTGTTTTTTTTTTCTGACACCTCTTCTGATTTATAATGAGGGATACGCGCATCTAATCTGAGAAACACTTGCGGGTTTTGTAATGTTTTTTTGTTAATTTAGAGCACGTTTTATCGTAATTCTCTCTTTCAGGTTGTTATGAGAACCTGGTTACCCGCTGGAGAGGCCTTACTTCAGATGATTGCCATTCATTTACCGTCTCCAGTAACTGCCCAAAAATACCGTATGGAAATGCTGTATGAAGGACCGCTCGATGACGAAGCAGCTATTGGAATTAAGGTTTGTAACGTTTGTAAATTCTGTTGCGCGAACATTCGACATATATAACATGATGATTTATTTCACAGACCTGTTCAGAAAAGCTTATGAATGAAAGTCGAAAAACTGATTCCACAATTTTATCTAAAAGAAGTATCTATAACTTGACCGAGATTGCTCTTTTATCACATACGTTATTTTTTACAGAACTGCGATCCTAACGGACCGCTCATGATGTACGTCTCGAAAATGGTACCGACATCAGACAAAGGACGCTTCTACGCTTTTGGCCGAGTGTTTTCGGGTAAAGTATCCACCGGTATGAAAGCTCGCATCATGGGTCCCAACTTCCAACCGGGCAAGAAAGAAGATCTATACGAGAAAGCTATTCAACGTACCATCTTGATGATGGGCCGTTACGTCGAAGCTATTGAAGATGTGCCTTCCGGTTAGTATTATCTGGACTTCTAATGTCGATTTATTCTTATTTCTAGTTCTTCGAATGATGATTGTCTCACACAGATCTGTTCTGACAATTCATGATAGAGAAATAGAACGGCCAACTGACTTCAATAAACAAAATTAAGATAATTCAGTTCACATGCTAATCTAATTTTTAATACGGTAATGCGTAGGTAATATTTGCGGTCTTGTTGGCGTTGATCAGTTCTTGGTCAAAACTGGCACCATCACAACGTTCAAGGATGCACATAATATGAAAGTAATGAAATTTTCTGTATCGCCTGTCGTACGCGTGGCAGTAGAACCGAAAAATCCTGCCGATTTGCCGAAACTGGTAGAAGGTGAGAGAACATTTTGAGGTTTTGTCTCATTGATATTCAAGAAAGTGTTGTTTAAATGATGAGAGATTTTGAGCATTGGGTTATGAAGATCTATGATTTTAATTTTTTATATCTGACGAATCGCTAATAACATTTGTCATGAAATTTTTTCTTTATGTTTGTTAATAATTAATAATTGCACATTTCAGGTCTTAAACGTTTGGCGAAATCCGATCCTATGGTTCAATGCATTATCGAAGAGTCGGGTGAACATATCATCGCCGGTGCCGGAGAACTGCATCTTGAGATTTGTCTGAAAGATCTGGAAGAAGATCACGCATGTATTCCAATTAAGAAGTCGGATCCCGTTGTGTCATACAGAGAAACTATTTCTGAACAATCAAACCAAATGTGTTTGTCCAAATCCCCGAACAAACATAATCGTCTGTTCATGATGGCATGTCCGATGCCCGATGGTCTTGCCGAAGATATTGACAGCGTAAGTTTAATCTTTTTCTCTTAAACAAAGTATTGATCGTTACGGAAGATGATAAAAAAATATAAAATAAACAAGGTTAAAATAAATCTTTTGACATTTTGCAGGGCGAAGTTAATCCGCGTGATGACTTCAAAGTACGTGCTCGTTATCTGAACGAGAAGTATGATTACGACGTGACGGAAGCTAGGAAAATTTGGTGCTTCGGACCTGACGGCAGCGGACCGAACATACTTGTCGACTGCACCAAGGGTGTACAATATCTTAACGAAATCAAGGATTCTGTCGTAGCAGGATTCCAATGGGCCACAAAAGAGGTGAAAATCGATTGCAGATTTTTGTTACAAGTATTTGTTCAAGTGAATTATGATCGATGATGAACGCAAATTTTTTTTTTTTTTTTTTCTATTGTCGCAGGGTGTACTTTCGGAAGAAAACTTGAGAGGCGTACGTTTCAATATTCACGATGTGACGTTACACGCCGACGCGATTCACAGAGGTGGTGGTCAGATTATCCCAACTACAAGACGTTGCCTTTACGCCTGTCTTCTCACTGCCTCGCCCCGAATTATGGAACCTGTTTACTTATGTGAAATTCAGGTAAATTGTCGAGATGATCGATTGAAAATAAGAATGCTTCGATAATTTATTATTAAACGGAGAAGATCAAACGTAAATCTGACCACAAGAAATAAATTTTCAAACTCTTTACAGTGTCCAGAAGTTGCTGTCGGTGGAATTTACGGTGTGCTGAATCGCAGAAGAGGACACGTATTTGAAGAACAACAGGTGGCGGGTACTCCCATGTTCGTAGTTAAGGCTTACCTTCCTGTAAACGAGTCCTTCGGCTTTACCGCCGATCTTCGTTCCAACACTGGCGGTCAGGCTTTTCCACAGTGTGTGTTCGATCACTGGCAGATCCTGCCTGGTGATCCGATGGAGCCCAGCTCTCGACCTTATCAAGTCGTACAGGTACGTTTCATTGATCTCTTTTTTTCCCTCACGTATCTCACCACGTGCATAACTGATGGCGGCGATGACTCGTTGCGTCGCCATTTTTAATCACGTGGAAGAGCAAGAACGTACTTTAGTTTCGGTATTTCAGTACATTCTGACTTGCCCGAAAGGAGGAACGCACAATTTCATTAAAAAAAAAAATAGATTGTATTTCTCAAGACACGCACACGCACACGTTACAGTTGTGTAATCAAGTCAAAACATTGAAATATTTTGTGTATTTTTGCAGGATACGCGTAAGAGGAAGGGATTGAAGGAAGGTCTCCCAGATTTGAACGCATACCTTGACAAGTTGTAACCTCAAATTCGCGCACCGTATTTAAATACCTATTTAAATATTGTAATTCGATTACTACCGCTGGAACTGCTGTATACAAACTACAACATTGGTTTACTATGAATTTTGTTTTTTGCGCAATGACCCGTAAAGAAACAACAACAATTATAAATACGGATAAATAAGGATAATAAAATGTAATTATAATGAAAGAAACCACGAGATATAATGTGCAGAGATTATGTGTATCTGCATGTGAAAATGCAAGAGGGCGATATGTTTTGTACGTTTATTTAATTGAAAACGGCAATCGATCTTTCTCTGTCTCTTTCTCGGTTGCTTTATATACATATTTTTTATTAGCACAACGGATGAATAGCTATGATTGTTATATGTATGTTTTATGGCGCTTTTTTTTGGGCCAGTCTTGTTTAAACGAAGAAAAAAGAAAGACAATTCATTAGTCGTCATTTATATATTAATTTTTTTTTTTTTTTTACTGTGGAATTTAGTATATTTTGTCACTCACCGAGAACTTTTAAATCGAGTGGAATGCAGTTTTCGAAATTGCTATAATACGAAGAGAAGGAAGCATTACAACAATGTACTCAATTACGAAAATACGAAGCAATTAAAGATTAATGAAATAATATGTAGACGTCTTTATTTCCTCCGCCTAATACATTTAACTTGTGAAGAGTGGAAACATTTTTTAATCTGTTTTCCTGTAGAGATATTAGGGTGAATGTCAATTAATAATGCTTTGAATTTTTGTTTAGCTCAGTGCATGATATATATTTGTGCATATATATATATAAAATCTCGTTTACATTTGCAAGGAGGAGCACATGTATTAGCAATATATATTTTATACATCAAGAAATCCATCGCCGAGATTCAATGGACAGCAGGCGTCCATCTACAAGCGTCATTTGACAATTTTATAAGCGATAAAAGCACGGAAAATTTAAAAGTAAACCTTATTTATAAAATACTTTTTCATACACGCATGCGGCAGCAAAACGTCACGTGACACAAATAGTCTAGAACTGCTTTCGCTATAATACCTCATTCGATGCCATTCTCTACGTTAAGTTGGAATTTCATGTAATATTATTGCACATGAAATTCCATCAACTTAACGCAAACAATGGCATCAAATTAAGTATAGTAGAGGAAACAGTTTTAGACAATTTGAGTCACGTGATGCTTTGCTGCCGCAGCATGCTGCGTATATAAAAATGACACCGACTCGCGGCAATATTTCGTCTGCGCAGCCGCCATGCGACTGCTGTTTAGATGACGCTTATTGTCCATCAATTTTCGGCGGGAAATGCAATGTAACAACATGATGTATATATATTGTAGAACAATAACGCATATTAAGATATTACGTAATTATTATCTTTTTTTTGTTACTTTAACAATCTTAAGATGTACAAATGATTTATGTAATTATCTAGTCAATATTTGTTTCTTTGGTTATGTAGGGTTTTTTTTAAATAAAACAAAACGCTTCGAGAGAATTTAATTGCATATTGCTGCTGATATAAATAGACCGAAATTATTCGCACGGAACGTCAAATTAATTAAAAAGAAATAAATATAAATATATATATAAATATATATATATATATATATATATATATATATATTAAATATATAGTTAAGAATTAAAAAGGAGAGAAAATTTACTTTTTTTCACATTGTGAGATATCTCGAATTTGCATGGGTATCACCAATATTGGTTCGTTGCTTTGAGGCTTGTCCGTATAAATAGACCACGTTCTCTCGATGCAGTCAAAGATGCCTGTAATTGACAAGTTTATTTATAAATAATTTTGCAAAATACGTATATATATATATATGTATATATATATGTACATATGAAGCAATGTAAACATATATATGTATACAGAATGTCCCAGAAAACCGTTAAGACAGGACGCGCGTTTATGTGAACATTTTTGCTTATAATGACCGATATCATCACTTCCCCGAATATGACCTTTCTTTGTAAGACACACTGTATATACAATTTATCTAATAATTCTTCTTCTTTTTATGTTTAACAGATTCTCATATGATCTTGTGATTCTATGAAGCAATCTCTGACTTGTCAGGAAAACGTGTGGCGTCATGCTTGAATTTTAATCAGCTTTGACGTAAAACTCGAGAATGACGCATAATGTGTAATACATATCTTATTTTACAATGTTTCTCATTTTTTTTTTTTAAAACAAATATCCGTCGTAACGATCCGATAATATATGCACTTGATCTTAGCCTTTGATTATTCATATATTCACCGTTGATTTTAATGACAAAAAAAAAATCAATTATGAATAAGTAATAAATATTTAATCTACAATCTGATTTTCTAGAACGCACCTGTTGCGATTGTTTTGATGTAATCGTCGCTGCCGATCTCTTGATAGACTCTAAACTCATTGTCGGTTTGATCGCTGAGAATATCGATCACATCCTGGCGACACTCGGCCGGTGGATGCTTGCAAATCGCTGCCATTCTCCTGACACTGCTGGTTATGATCATTCCATCTACTTCTGGCACTTTCAGTCGCAGATATCTGGAACATTGCATATTGGAATGTAAAAGATATAAAATACTAAGCAACTAATTACGAAAAACAGAGCATGTTGTTATTGCATAAAATTTGCATGTATTTATGTATTTATATTTGATATATTTTCTCTTTCACATGTAACATATGCATGTATTTAATATTTCATGTCTTATTGAAGAGATTGTGAAGAGAGGTGACGAAAGACAGATTGTGTTAAAGAAAGACATGCAGGCGGCGATTTCACAGAACAAAAGACACGTGATAATAATTGGATGAAACATTATAACATAGGTATGCATACATTTGCCGGAACAATGTGACACACGTGGATATCTCTTTTACATACTTGTTGCAATGTGATGTGTTCTCGCCGGGGCTGACGGTCAGGATGTTGAGCTGCGACCGCTCAGTATCCAACTCGGCCGGACCTATCTCGGCGTTGTGAAACATCCGGTCACCTTCTTGAACGAGAAATGTCATGTTTACGGAGAAACCCTCCGCGGCGCCGCAGCCTTCGTTCCTCAGCGTTTCCTGAGCCTGGACGAAGTTTTCCACGCCCAATAACGCCCGCGTCAGAAAATATCGCGCTGCGCGTCAGAAAAGTCGCGGTTTCATATTTCAAATACACAATTTGATAAATCTCGCGAGAATATTATTATTATACATTGTATACATATTGATCCGCGCAATTCGTATGGAAGAAGTAAAACTCACGAATCTTGCCGGGTCGCAGAGTCGCAGCGCTGAGGGTGTTAATGCTGTAAACGAGGCCGTGATAATTGTACCCCATCGTGTAGCCCGGCAGGAAACCGGCGTAGCTCAGCGACGTAAACTTCTCCTCTCTGTAACCGGCTTCGACCACGTGAGCGCTCACGAGGTACCAATGATTCAAGGTTTCGCTGTAGGCATCTTCGTTGTGACCCAAAATCTCCTGTGGTTTTTTTTTTTTATATTAATATTAATATTAATATTAAATGTGCGTTATACGCCGGAACAATGATAAAAAAATGATTAGATGTAATAATAAGCATAGAGAAATATCGTGTATAACGTATATTAGAATATCTATAAAAACATCTAGAAATTATAATATTGCGTTAATTATATAAGAGAAAAGTGAAATCCGCTAGAATTGAGACTTAGCATATAAAACGAATATCAGAGTCATATTTGCAAATAAGAAATTTTTTGCGTCTCGTTAATGTAACTTATACCAATAGGATGTAATCGTGATTTTTGCCATTGTTTTGTACACATAAAATGATACAACACTAATCAAGTGTGACGCGCTTATCAAGTGTCTTATCAGTGGCTCATCTATTTATGGCTTTATTTATACGCTATTAAACACGATTTATGTGTTCTAAGAAATCACGTTATTTGTTCACGCTCTCGCTTTTATTCCACGATTGAGAGATATAATGTGACGATAATATAATGACACAAAAATGATCGACAATCATAATAATTATTGTGCTGTCTCGAATGAGAAATTATATCAATAAAATAATTTACATTACTTTACGACCTTGCTCGGAGAAAAATTAATTGTGAACAAATATGAATAAAATCTCGATTTATCTCGATAATTTATTACACACCATGAGATTTATAATAATCTAGTTTGATTTAGTGTCTCTATTCCTTACTTGTCCCGGTTGATTGCATATGATAGTTGAACAACCGATTGGAAGTGCGTTTCTCTGCGCTCCGTCGGTGACGTTCGAAATAATAATGTCGTCCAGATGCATTAAAAATAGCTGCAACAACGTGCGAGAGACATGTCTTTTAATTATCGTATCTGAAGATCTCTCCTTGTTATAACAGAAAAATACGGGTTTTTCTTTTTTTTTTTAAATACTTCTCTTAATTGATAAAATCACACTTCTCAGAAGTGAAGAACAATTGTCGTTATAATTGTATTTTAAATGTCTCTCTCTTTCTCTCTCCGTCCCGCGATTTGTCAAGCTAGTTTTTTTACCTTATGAAACGGCACATTCGCTCCGTCTGCCGTTCCTTCGATCTCTCTCACGTATTGCGGAAACTGTTTCCTGACCGTGTCGAGGGTCTCCTCGTAAATCGCTTTGCCTTCGTTGGTCTCGAATAACGGCAGATAGGTTTCGTTAAGCGGTTTGTAGATATCCACGAAATCTTGAATTATCTTGGCGAAAGTGCGTCCCTAACAAACACACAAAAAAAAGCACATTCTCTCTCGGATTGGATTATCAATGAAAGTATATATGTATGTAGAGAACGGGAGCTATACGTAGCTCGTATCGTATATGTATGTACGTGTGTGTAACTAGTATATGTGATAAATTATGCACAACAACAAGAAGAATTCAATCCGGGTGAACGGTACACGAACGCTCTCGTTTCTTTATCTCACGTTACCGCGCAAGATCGGTTTGTGAAATGTTGATAAAAAAGAATCCAAAGTATTTTATACGACATGTGAAGTCGAGGTTTAAAGATACTTTACTCCATAGTGTAGGATTAATCTTTTGAACGCGACACGCAATAATTATCTTAAATCACGTATCGGAATGTTTATTTTCTCATAGACTGAATCGAGTCACGTCATTTGAGCTGCTTACTAGCTTAAATAAAAGTATATATTATGTGTTCATAAATATTATCCGCACCGCTGACAGGTGCTTATTTCCAGATGCTCGTTAGGTTTTTAATTATTATTACAGTATTAGTTTCTCTGATTTTTTTTCAAAGAGCAGGAGTGAGGCAATAGTTTTGCTAATGAAAGCATGTGTGTGTTGTGTCCAGTAGAAAGTCACACATTATATTTAAATTAATTTTGCATATTTTTTTTTAGTTTTTTAGTGATTTTCACAAATCGGAGGTTACGGAAGTCAAAGTACTGTTTGTTCCTTACGATATCGAAACCGATCTCGTAATGTGATCCTCGAACGTGAATAATCGGAATGGCATTTCTGCGGCCTATATTCTTAGTCGATTTACACGAATTGACAACGGCCATGTCTGGAAAATGCACGCTTCTTCTTCTTCTTCTTCTTCTTGATTCGATATCAGAAACCTAAAATGGACAATAACGATGGTCATAAATTAGTACCCGGTTTTTACTTATTTTAAAAGAAAACTATACGCGCACACACATACACATGAGAATAAAAAATAGACTGTGTACAAATTTTTATTTTAAAATCAAAGAACGAAAAGTGACGCGGTTGTTTGCACGTGTTGAGTCCGTCTAGAATAAAATAGATTGATGTACATTAAATAATAAATTGTTTCTTTTTGTCGATCTTTTTTCTAATGAATTTAGTATGCATGTATGCACTCGTGATTCATCCTGTGCGATCTCAACGTGTTCAACAAACTAAATTTTCTGAACTCGATCAGTTTTTTATGCACGCGTTTTTTATGCGACAACACAAACAAGATCAAACGTTTAAAAGAAAAGTTTTTATAAATGACATTATATAAAATCACGTAACAACATATATACTATTATATTATACTTATATGTAATTAGATCAGAGTTGAAAAGTAACGCGTTACAAAGATACTCTTTTTGGAACCTTGCCTCGGTTTTACTCGCTTGTTGCAATCAAGATTTTTTACGAGTTTCCAACTTTCCACGCAAAGCGAGGAAAGCGATCACCTGAACCTATGTGTCTAGGTTTTTGATAGTGGAGCCTCCCCGAAAAGAGGGCGAACCACACTGCCGCCACGCTCACACGCGAAGACAGGTTTCACATGAGTTTGTAGTTTACCAAATTTTTAACTTTTGTTGGTTTCTAACAATTATTTGTGCGAATATATTTTTTATTAATATCTTTTTAACGAACGATAAGCAACGGCTAAAGTCTCTTGGAAAGTACTCAAAAAAATGTTCCTGATAACTTACGTCAAGATCAAGATCATCAAAGCATCGTCCCCTATACTGAACATTTACCGAAAATGTTTTAAATTTACATTTACAAAGGTTTTTACAAGTACAGCGTTTAAAAAGTTTTAAGAAAAAGCTTATTCGCAACTTTTTAAAAGTTTTTCTTATTTAAACTATTTTATTATCGAAATTATTACTTTTGTTATGTTATTTAAATTATTACACCTTATATTAATAACATTGTTATTAACATTATATCGTTTTGGTACTTTAATAAAAAATAGTGTCCAAAAATTTTTAGTGCTTATTGTAAATGTGTAGTATTTACTTCAACTTTGTTATTAAAAAAATTGTGCATAAAATTTGTGTTATGTACAAAAAAAAATAACGGAAATTGTAACGATTCGTTACTTTTAAGGTAACGATAACGAGTTTATCTTTTTAAAATTGATAACGAGTAACGAAGTCACTTTTATAAACTTTCCCAACCTTGAATGAGATATAAGACTTCTTGAATATTCATTTATGAAAGACATTTTACAGTTGCGTATATGTAATTGGAAAAAAACATTATAATAAATGCAATTAGATACCATTTTTGCTTGTGTGTACGATATTCAATTATACATATATTTATACACAATTATATCTAACCCTTCGCCTGCGGATCTCAAAAATGATCTACGAGTAAGACAGACTGGGTCTGTGAGATCCACGCGACTTTAAAATCGATATTTTTCCAATTTTGTTTTTTCGAATCAAAAGTTTGAACGATTCTACGTCGATCAAAAAACACATTGAAAAAATCTCTAGTAGTTTCGAAGATATAAGCGTAAAAAAAAAGAAAAAAACTAGAAACGCCGATGCGTAATTTTTGAGTGGATCTGGAAGACTTATGTCTGCAAGCGAAGAGACTACTACTGCTGCTTTTGAATCTTGATGAAGTAAACTGAAATGTCCGCGAAACGTTGATATAAACATTGAAAACCACACACATTTTCAACAATTCTCATAACACATCGCGTGAGAGCGTCAAATATCAAATAATTTGATATAATTGTACAAAAACATGCAATTGAGAGTATTGTGTACAAAAACGAGCACGACATGTAACTGTATTTATTACATAAATGTTTTTAAACAATTGCACATATACAATTTATACATGCAAATGTAAAAAATGTATTTGATCGCGAACGAGTGCGGATAAGATCGCTCGCAAGTTTTCTCGTATCTCGACTCACGTGAAATCCGATCGAGAGATAACGAAAAGGCCAAAAAAAAAAAAAAAAAAACACGTATTCAACGATGCGCGAATATTATGTGCGTTCACCTGCTTGACTTATGGTTTTTTTATTACATTGAGATAAGTTGTGTGGCAAATCGATCTCTACGGAGGCGGGAATCGATGCGCGCGATACACGTGTGTCACTCGCGAATTTGTTTTTATCAATGTCAAACGGATATCTACCTTGATCGCTGTTCGCGGTGATAAGATTCGCTAACGACTGGATGGCTCGCGGGTTTTCACCTCGCGAAGAAGACTCGCGAGTGTGTAATCTATTCGTTTTGTCGCGTTATATTCGCTTTGATGTTTGCGGTTTTATGCGCGCGGCGCGTCGCGTCGTTGGTAGTAACAACGCGCGGAGGCGATACTTGTTTTATACACACGAGAGGGAAGAAGAGAAATACGGGATTTATATATATTTTGCCACATGTGTTCCTCCCCCGAGAGCGGAGCTCGCCCGTCACCTTTAAATGATCCTTGAAGAGACAGGAGATTGCTCGGCTCCCATATCGAGGTGGAGAAAAGAACAATCTGCCGTGTTTGAAGAACATTTATCTTAATTGCCATTGTTATCTGAATTCAGTCTCTAAGTAAATCGGTGCGAGACGACGTGAGACATTTCACTTGTTGCAATATTGAAAACTATTATTAATATTATATTGCTGAGAATATCGTGTCCAAAAACACACAAACTTATTTTCTGTGTTTTCATCGAGAAGACACAGAGTAACCTTGAAGAAGTAAATAAGAAGAATAGTTTGCGTGTGCAAACATGTCAATGTCTCGGAAAATAATATTTTCCGAAAAAGAATAGAAAAATTCGCCATTTGAAGAAAACAATAGCAAAAGAATTATATACGTATGTCCTTTCTCACCGAATCTTCTTTCTTTTTAATTCTCTCCGATTCTCCTCGCATCGCGGGAACGTATGCGCCACGTGGATATCGCGCGCGTTTTGTTGTGTATCTTTAGTTGTGTGCAATGAGTAATGTGAAGAACGAACAAATTACCTCCCCCGTTTCGTACGCGCGTAATCGTAAATTTGCGACATCGCGTTGAGTATTATGAAGACAGATCCATTTATAGACATTTCATTTTTGTAGCGACGCGCATAAAAAATCGTCAACGTGTGTCGCGCGCGATTATAAGATCTTAATCCAAGGTTTTCCCTCTCAAGGACCAAGGATCGGTTCGGAAAAATCTATCTCGCTCTCCACACGGTATTGTATATTTCATCTATCGGCCATTGTTCTCTTATGCTTGGCTCTCAGCTAAATCTAGAAGCGTCAAGAGAAACTTATTGTCCGCCTTTGTCTTCGCAAAATGATTATTATTTACATATTAACAATATGCATACGTGTGCGCAATGCCAACCAAGAGAACAATAAATGTTGGTATTTGTGTAATCGAAGATAAAAGATCGACGGGAGAAGACAATTTCAAATTAATCGCGAAAGAGCGAGTTAACAAGAATCAAGTCAATAATTTACAATAAAACACGTCGTTATAAAATAAATATTGTTATAATATAAAAAGTTAAGAAACGAATAAGCTAAAAATTGAAAAAAAAACTTGTCAATGACTTACAATGTATAAAATTAATAATAAACAATAACCAAATTTAAAAACAAATAGTGTCAATACACTGAAACGTGAACATTCAAAAATTCAGAAAAGAACAATGTTCACACAGAAACAATGTCATATAGCCGAAGTGTCAAAATATCAACTTGAAGCTATTCAAATCGATTTTGAAAGCTTATTCAACGTAAGATTTTGTAGGGTTGCGTTAAATTTTACATTCTTGAAAATGTACCACATCAGTTGTCGCTAAAGTGATGAAGCTTCTTTATCGTAGAAAATATTAAATGCTTCTCAACTTTTTATTTTATTTATTCGCAAGATTCGCGAGAAAATATAATCAGGTGTGTAACTGTATGGTTTTTTACACGTTAAGTGCGTGTTATATTTATCGACACGATAAATTATTTGTGTCAAGTTCGAGTTGCGTGATTACGCTACGCGCGCGATCGATTGCCGCCAGAATTTGTGCGGCTTCCGAATTCTTTCCGCGAGTTAAATCTATTATTCCATTCCGCCTATTTTACGCGGCTTCCGATAAAAGGTCACACTACTGATTCAAAAGATCTTGTTACTTGCATACAAAACATGATTACGCACACGCATGTGATTTGTTTTTTCTTTTTGGTTTTTATATCGTGTATAGAAGAAGCGGATTTCGTATTACAAATAATTGCATAGAAATAAACAAGGATTTGGATGGACTTCGCATAAAAAATGTTAAAATACAGAGTCTCGTGGTATAATTGTCACATATCAATGTATTAAACCAACAATATATAATACATTATTCGAATAAAAATGTATATCAATAGTTAATAATCGAAATAGTACGTGCCTCGTTTTTTAGCTGCTAGCTCCTAAAAATTTTTAGAAAACCAGCATGCCATTTGGTAGTAAAAATGTATTATGTAAATGTATTACCTAACTGTATATATTACGTAAACGACGTTTGATTAAGATAAAAAATTTATCGATCACTACGATCAGTACAATCGTAATTGTTTTGTTTACATTTTTTTTTTATAGTTCTTACAAACAAATTAAGAATTGGCTACTCGTCAGTCAGTAATTTTCGTGACATCAGAAGCGAGAAACAAAAGCGTACTACGTTTTCTTGCAACGTGCAGCTTTGCATTTTGTATTTTACAACCGTTGTTTTTAGTTTAATGGCTTTTATCATATAACTATGGTACCGCGTTGTACACTATTCGACACGATTTTTAAAATGATTCTGGTCCGATCCCAGGTACTAAAAAAAAAACGGTTAAAGACCGGAATTCTTAAATACGAGATTTATGGATACTTAATTATTCATAGTTAAATCTCGTATTTAAGTTAGTTCTTATTTTGTTTTTAGTATTTTAAAAATAGTTTTATATTTCACATGACATTTCGGACACATATTAGTGTGTTGCATTTTTTGCAGGTATCGCAATTACAAAAATATTATATTTTTTAGAATAAACTGAAAAAGAAGCTGCACGTTGTAAGAATTGTACGCCAAATCGTTTGACAGTTCTGAAAAACGTCGTAAAATCTATGGTTGCGAGTCTTAGCGAGAAAATTGGAACACAAGAGCCGTTGCTCTTCTCTTATGTACATTGTGAATTTAATAAGTTGGCCGGTGAGTAGACACCTGTAAACATTGCTCTGCATCGTTGTGTTTATTTACACGACATGCACAGACAAACAATATTCGCAAATATTGGTCAAATACACCAAATATTGGTCAAATACACCAAAATTTGCTCATTTATAAAATATAATTCATAAATGTTTCATTTTTTGTTACTGTTCAAGAAGAAACCCTGTATTTATTTGTCGTGCATGGATACCATTTACAGATGTATACTTCCCCTAAATGTTAATGTAATAAAATAACTTACATTTTATCTGTTTACCTAAGCATATCATAAGACAGTGTTTTATTTACAATTCAAAATAACTTACGAAACGAGATCTGAATTGAAAAATTAGACAAAATTATTTCAAACAAACTAACAGGCTCGGATATATACTGTAAAACATTTCGATGTAAAATTAAGAAAAAGATTTGGTTATTATGACAGAGTTGTAACTTTCAAAAAAATATTGCAAGTTTACACGCGAACGTGTTTTAACGTTGTAAATGTAAAAATAAATAATATATATATATATATTTGTATATACTATAACATATACTGTTATTTATATAAATTTACAACAATTAAAAACGTGTATACAATAAGTGTGTACAATAAAGAACAAAAAGATATGTTCGTGTGTAAATATTACATAATTTTTATAATATTACATTAATATTACATCTAATGGTATAATATTTCTTCTTTACAATTATTCTTTACGCACACATGTACACTTACATACTTGTTTTATAAATTAAAACAAAAGACAGAGTGAATGCATTTCAGATGTTAATTTTATTTTACATCCGAGCCTTTTGAATTATACTTCGAAGATCACAGATATTGACTCGAGTGTCGAAATTAAATTGACTTAAGATTCTCACTTTTCGGTTGAAAATACGAATACAAACCTTCAAATTTCGACTGCTAAGTCAAAATCGACCAATGTTATTCAATCAGCATCAGTAAAACAAAACATAAATCAATAATTAAAGTGTTATAAAAATCCAGCTTCTGTAGAAATCTTTCTTGTTAGAGTTAATATATCTAGCACAATGTCCAAAATAAATCTGTTTGTTTGTTCTTGATTTTCTTCAAACTTGTTTTGAGCGAATAGTAAAAAGTAGAAAAAGAAAACACACACCGGAGAGTAAAAATTTCACGTTACATTATTAGAGTTAGTTCTTTTTTGTGAAGTTCTTTTTTTCTGTCAAATTTCTTCATTGGGGTCAGGATCGGCTAAAGGATTGGCGTCATCAGTCACAGGGTTGGAATTTGTTCCAGCTGTCTGTGTTTCGACCTCATCGATATTTCTGTATTCATACATTCCCGCATGACTGTCCCACTGTAAACAAAAATGTAATTACAAATGTTTATCTCGTATACGAACGAATAGGCATCATTTGGATCTTGAAATGAAAGTCGTCATAACTTTTGAATCACATTATACACTAAATTGAAATTTTTTACAATGTCCGAAGAAACTGTATATAAAATAAGTGTATAAAACGTTGTTAATATATAAACTACTTATTTCACAAAATATTAAAATCTAAAACGCTTTCGTAAAAGCAGACTATTTTACTTACGGAAGAAGTAATGATATTGTGTTGATAAGGATGCCAGCTAACGTCGCGAGTGCATGTTAAATGATGTTTTAAATTACGCACTATTTTCCCCGTCAGAACATCGTAAACTGGAATTCGAATAAAAACCGAAGATTAATCATCCTGCTTATTTACGAGCTGATTGTGCACGGTTCGCGGAATATAATTGCGATATAATACTCGAAACTTACTGATAACTCGACCTCTAGCGTCTCCTGTGTAAATGTATCTTTGGCCGGTGGTAGCGAGCGGTGAGAAACGACAACGTATCAGAGTTCGAAGCACGCAGTGGCCATGATACGTCATGACGCTTGTATCACCCTCCAGCTGAGTTGAATCCAAAACTGAAAAAGCATCTTGACGATTTATTATTAAGTTATTATCTTAAATATTTGAATATGTCTAAACGAAACTTCGAGAATTTAAATAGAAATAGGGACAAATGGCTATCACGTTATGACATTTTCTTTTATTGTTGCTAAATTGAATATTTACGTCTTGGAGCTTGCCATCTGTAGTCCCAATTCGGATCTCTAGGAATCGTGGGGATTGCATTTTGCGAGAGACCCGGATCACAGACTGCACGCACGTCCCACAACTTGATCGACTGATCTTTCGAGTTTGTTATTAAATAGCGACTGTCGTTTCGTGAATCAATATAAGTGATTCCGTCCTTATGGCCAAGAAACATTCCAACAGGAGTTGGGTGATTTTCACTCAATATTCTTCTATCCCATATCTATGAAAATAAAAAGACATGACAATGTGATAACTTTTCAGAATAATCGTGTACATATGAAGCAGTTTCGTTGAAAATCTTAGCGTATTCGATTTTTCTCACGATTAGCATCATTGAGGAGATGTTTCAGACTTTTCGATCGTACCTTGCACATCGAGTCGTCGCTACCACTATAGAAGACTTGGGAACTGTTGTCAGCAAAAGCTATTGCGTTTACGTCGAGAACGTGACCTCTAAACTGTAACAATATTTTAACAAAAATAATATAAAGAATAAAACATATAGAATATACTCTCCTCTCTTTGCTACCTAATTGTATTACACAAACCCGTAAGACTCGCTGATTAACTTCACGATCATAGACATAGATAAAGCAATCGTTTCCTCCAGTAATGATTTCTCTGCTATCGTTTGTAAAGGCCGCTGAGAAAGAGGAGAATCGCCGTACGGTCGGCCACAATGGCAATGACTCTATCGAGTGTGTATCATTAGAGATAGAATATTGATATACTGCAAAATTAATATAAAAAATAAAGATATTTACTACGTATAAAAATTACCATCGCGCTATCCGTGTACTTACAATTATGTGACCAGCTACAATATACCAAATGCCTATTATCTGGAGAAATTGCAATGTCTAAAATACTCCAACCAACATCAACTGCTTGAATTTCGTGATACAAGTTGAATTCGCCATTGTGAGTCTGATATATCCTGATCCATCTATCTGCAAAAATTCATACAGAGTGAACAAAAGTGTGAATAAACTTAGTATAAAAAATTCTAATATATTCTAATATATGTATTTGTCTTTGATGTACAAAACCTCAGGTAAAATAATTCTCATGATAAAATATAAAATTTTTACCTTGAGTAGCATTGATAAAAAATCTTCCATCATTGGAATGTATTCCACAGTATAGTTTACCACTGTAACTTGCTAAATTCTTATGTGTATTGGGCACAAGGTTGTTGCTTATCCTACATATTTCACTATTTTTAAAGCCATACTTAATAGTTCTGTTTTGTATAAGAGGTACTATGGACAGATTTTGTTGGCTAGAACTGGATACCATTCCTGATGACAGTTCAGTCGTAAGACTTATGTCATTGCTCTGAAAAGTGAAACCACAATAATATATACAACAAAGAATATTTTTTAACCAAACAAATATATATCACAAATGCTCACACATATAAATTAAAAACATGCATGTATTTCTAAGAAATATATAAAAATTTTCAGGACATAAAAAAATAATACAAACTTAAGATTATTAAAGAATGTGAGAGATTATTCTGATTATTCAATTTACCCTTAACCTGGTTGTATCAGGAAATCTTCGTTCTCTTGATCTAATCTCATTTCGACGTACAAAGTGAGTAAATACATCTTCTATATTGTCTTCGCTGTAAACAGGATACATAAAACTATGCAGATCGGCAGAACTGTACGGATTTGGTTTGTTTTTATTATTAATGTTTTAACGTGCCTTTAGTCTCGTCTCGAGACTTCCTTCAGCACGGGAACTGTGCAGATAGTCGCATAAAGGTTATGCGAACGACAATCGTATGACGCGGTGGAGGAGGGATAATGTTGTTCAAAATATCTTTGTTTTCAGATTTAAATCAAGTTTGACAAGACATAAAAAAAAGAGGTATGATCAGCCACAGTTTGCGAGATAATGCGATATTAAACATCGCGAAACATCGTGAAAGAACACAACGATGAGCAACAAATGTCTATATCGTGCAGTATCGTGTATAAGCAAAATGATGCGGTAGATAGTATAGGTTGGTGTATTATGAAACCATTTAACCAAAAATATTTTGCAAGACTAGGTATAAAAAAAGAGTACAGAATGCAAATTGCCAGAAACTACTTGTTTAAGGAGAACTGAAGGTATGTAAATCTAAAAGAAAAAACTTATATGCAAAAGTATTAGGGTAATAAATAGTGATAAGTTGATAGAAAAAAAATTGTTTTTAATAAACAGAGATGTTCTTGATTTTCTTTTGTAGCAAACTGAACATATTTTATCATGTGGTCTATTGTGATATAGATATGCATATGTGTAATTGCAATTTCTGACATAAGAGAGACTAGTTTGAGCATTTAAAAGGAAATGTGACAAGTAGAGCTCACTGATTAAGAGATAAAAAAGAACTGAAACTAAGAAGCATATCGGATGTTGAAAAATACTTTACCTGCCAATGCATTCTGTATTATTACAAAAGTGAGATTTACTATACTTGTAACAGTTAAATAACATAAGATTATCAAAAACATTTATACAGATATTTGTGTTACTAGGTGATCCAAGATCGGGATATACATCTTCAAAATCTGAGACTTGAGCGCAGATGTGCGATCTTCACGGAACATAAACAATTTTTTAACGGAGTCTGGTGCAAAAATATTCTACTATTGCTCTGTGTCAGTACTACTCTGATATTAATAACTAATTTCGCAATAGTGTTATATAATGATACATACAGCCAGCAAGAATATAACTTTTATAAGAATGTATATTTATTTTTTACGCATAATGTGTATATTTAACGTTATTAAGTAATTCTACCTCTTGCCAGTAAGGATATTATATCACTCTTGGTAACAAATATATTTAAAGAAAAGACTAATCTTCGATATTGATCTCAGTTTCTGTAGACGATTTATAAGCGTGACCTACATAAAATTAAAGTTTTTTTCTTAAGATCGAGTGCCTGTTCTGTTGATGACAAAACTCAAAACGTTACATTTTTGTATTTTTCAAACTTTCTTATTGTTTTCTATTAACTTTGTGTCAATAGTTATTTTTTTTTTTTTTTAGTGAACAAAGATACAGCTATCAAGTACAGGATTAATGTAGCGGATTATATACAGGACTAATGCTCACAGCCATTAATATTATTTCACGTACGGACAAGCACTATATTTCTCGATAATTGCAACATTTGTGGAAATGATTTTTCACTTCATTGGAGAGTTGCCTATTGTTCACGTACAATTTATGAATAATAACGTTGCGCGACCATAGACATATAATCAAGAAATATGATTAGTCGAATTGATAGTATTAATCGCTCCGAGAGCGATTCAACCCGGATCGGTAAAAAATGTTAATAGTAATAATTGCGACTTTTGTCTATTATTTATGATTGTTCTGATATAATCGCTATTGGCTTCAGCCAATTAGGTTGTATCTGCTAGCAACGCCATCTATAGTAAAGATTTTCTTTTTTTTTTTTTTATTAAAATAGATACGTTAAAAGTTCATGAAAGTTCAGTTGTTCAGAAATACTTGTTCGCGAATATAAGATGAATAGCGCGGATTCTGATCTTAATTTCGCCTTAAAAAGTCGGATGTCCCACAGATTTTGTATATAGAGATCAGAAGAATTATTAAAATTAATTTTGCAATCCAAACAACCATGACACAACGTAATAGTTGCTACAAAAATAAAAATGATCGCAGCGCTAAACTATTTCTTTTTATTGTGTGCGTATATTATTATGTATGTATTTGCAAAATTCTACATTAGCGCGATGAGAAAAAAATATCTGTTTAGACATACACACACAATTAAGAATTAAAAATATAAGTAAAAATCGAACATACGGGAATATTTAATACACAGTGAAATAAATATGTGCAGTGAAAATCTATTAAATGTGTATACGAGAAAAAAGATCAAGGATCTAATATATTTGTTACTCTTACACATGTATACATACAAAAAGTAAACATTTGCACATTCAAAATTATTCGAGAAAATATTTAAGAGAAAACATCGCCGATCAATCAGGCGTCATCCCTTTCGGTCTTGTTGGTTACGGACATGTACGTACCATCATGACGGATGGGAAGCTGCTAATAACATTAGCAAATGTTACCTGCGCTATTTCCGATTGTCCTGCGCGTAATCGTATTTGTGCAAAACGGCTCGATACGCGGAAACGTGAACATCGTTACACATTTCTGCGCGCGGACGCGCAATTGTACAGTCAGCGACAACAAATTTCGCTCGCAGCGTGGCGTAAGGCTGCCGTACTCCGCATTGAACGAATCATTGTTGCCGGCTGTACCTATATAGAATATACATGTATACATTATATATGTACGTATATACTTGTTGCTGAAATTGCGATAGAGAGAAAGAGAGAGAGAGAGAGAGAAACGATTCCGGAGCAAGATAAAGCATAATTAATTACCTATCTGTCCGACGTGTGAAAACAGATTAAATAACTTTGTTCGATGTTCATTAATTAATTGTCGCACGAAGCAAGACAAAACTGACAAATGACTCGTTTTTTTTTATTAAAACCATTGTAAATAGAAGATACCACGCGAATTGAAATTTGTTTAAAATTATCGCTCGATAGACGATCTCTTTTCGTGAATGTTTTTTGAAACATTCATTTTATCAAAGAATTAAATCCTCTAAAAGAAATTTTATATCACAGGAACTTTCAATTAATATTCTGCGCACAACCGAATTGAGATGGTGATGTGGTATCGAGTTGCGACAGCGCGCAATACGATCTCCACACCGGACGTCGATTTTCGCGAGCGTTCGAAAACTCGTTTGAGACACAAATGTGCAATAAGGTTCGCACAGAGTACCGTCCACGCTCATCAGAGAAACGGGATTGATGCGAAAGAGAGATCGGGCCAGATGTACATACAATAGACATCGTGACACAATAGCATGATTACGACTAAATTAGATCGGTCTATCGATTGGCCCGTTGACTCCGCGACAAACTTGCTACAATGCAAAGTTAGATATGACTCTCTCTCTCTCTCTCCCTCCCTCTCTTTCTACGCGTCGTATTTCTGCCACAAAGATGTGACGTGTGTCGTCCTCCAAGAGAAAGAGAGATCCGAGAAGTTCAACAACAACCACGCAAAACCAGTAATTTTCTGAACTACAACATCCTTGAACATGACACGTTAAAAAAGTCACGAGTTTTTATTTTTGTGCTCGTTAATTTTAGTTTCTTTTTTCGACTCTATATTGATTCGATTGTATAACAACTTAAACTCCCCCCCTGTCCTTCTTCTGTAAAGATCAAGGATTCGATTTGTAGTTCGTCTCAATACTTTGAGGTATATCAAAATTCTGCTTTGTAACATCCTTTTCCCCGTTTCTCATATCGTTCCGACGTTCCCATATAAAATTCGAAATTTTTTTACCGTAAACGCTCAACGCGCAATTGTCAGCGCGTCACCTCATCGGTCAATAATCAATCGGGCAATTAGTCGAATCAAGCAGTCTCGGCGAACGATTGCTCGTCGTCGTTTCATTTCGATTTTCATCGAAAAGAGAGACATCGACGCAGACCGAGTGAATATTTTTTTTTTTCTTTTTCCGGTGTGGTTATTGCGCACCGAGTCGCGAATAGAAAAAAGAAACCCCCTATGTACTATATATTAATTTTCATTTTTCATCCTATATAACATCCCCTTCTGTGCATGTATTTCCAACGGCTACGTACACATACGCGTATCTACGTATACCTACCTACCTACCTATCTACCTACCAACCTACCAACCTACCAACCTACCTACCTGCAGCCCAGACCTAATTTCCAGGGAGCGTGGAGGCCTACACCCGGAGCCCGGAGACCGGGCGAGGACCTAACCGAGGCGGGCGCACGCGCAATTCCTCCTCCGCCGCCGCCGCCGCCGCCGCCGTCGACGCCGACGACGACGACGTTGACGGACACGCGCGGAGAGGGTGAAGAGGCGCCTATTTACAGGATAACAGGATCCTCTTCGTGCCTCCAGTCGCGCCAAGTCTGTTCAGTCGCGGTGCTCGAGCGATCGGCGCGTCCATCATCATCGGCCACGCACAGGCGCGTGTCACCCGCGCGAGGGCTCACTTTTTTTTCATTCCCGCGCGCGCCACGCGCCTCATCAAATTGTACAATCCCGTTCTCGATCTCGGCCGCGTGAATATATCCACGATTATCTTTATATTATCTTTTTTTCGCAGCCATCGTTGTCGTTAGTAGCTCGTTGTCGCCACCACCGCCAACGCTACCATCATCAACCACCATCAACCACCACCATCGCCACCATCGCCGCGCGCGGTGTGTGTCTCCACTCTTTTTTATCGTTTACCAGTTTTTCCTTCCTGCGCGGTGCCGAGATACGGTCTATGTACTACGTGTGGCTGGTGTGCTGGTCGCGCGTTTCCCAATATCGTTCGGCAACAGGTGAGTCACACACTCTCGCGCTTTCGCGCTCTCCCTATCCGTCCGTATATCCAAAGACCGCGCTCTATTATCGCTTCTCGCTCGTTCTCTCACATTTCCGTGTATATGTATGTGTGTGTGTGTGTATATAGGCGCATTGCTTATGTGTCGTTTAACGCAACAGGGTCTTTGAGAGATTCCGCTAAGAGCGAAAGTATATGTATATATATATATATACATTCTTGAAATCGTGCTCGCGCAACAATCGTGCTCTCGCAAGGACGCGATTAGTGTTATGGCCTCGCGCTCTATTATGATCGCGTAGCGATCTCAGGAGCCAGCCTGATAACCCTGCCTTTCTTCGCAGGACTCTTCGCGTGTCTTCGCGCGCAAGTCTTCTTCGTCCCGTTTTTCTTTTCCCGTTGCCTCGCGATAGTAATATATTCGCGCGAATATAAAGGATGCGTAATTAATTTATTACATATTATTACGCGAACAAAGTGACATCGACGACGAGAAACGGCGCGCGAGACAATTTCGAGCAAAAATTATATGTAGAAGCAAAAATGTTTTTGAGGTCACCGTCGTGTGGAGAATTCGGCAAGCGCGCTCTGGTGTACGTCGTATAAGGATCAGAGATGTGATTTAGAGGGGTGTGCTTGCACACCTTAGTAACCGTTAACGGTTCGCGCGCGCTTATATCGATTTACTGGAGCGGATAACGCCCGTTAACGTCAATCTGACGAAAACTTATGACCGTTTCCAATTTTTTACGACGGCGTGAATTCTATGCAAGACACAATTTTATCTTGTAGACAGAGAGAGAGAGAGAGAAAGCGAGAGAGAGAGAGAACAAGAGGGAGAGAGAAAGAGAGAAGCAAGAGGGAGGGAGAGAGAAAGAGGGAAAGAGAGAGAAGAAACGTAGGTGAAGGACACACCTCTATTAAGAATCATATTTCTTACGATAAAACTCTTTCGATGAAGAAAAGAGAAAATACTATTCAATTCTTATCAACAAAATCGCTTTTGAGCGCTAGGGGAGATTGGCGCGGCTGAGGTGTATTAAATATAAAAAATATACATACATAAGAATATACGTACTCAAAAAATCCACCATCATATACAACTCTTGCAATGAAATCTAGTCTATTCAGTAGATTATCGAGAAAATCACTCATTTCCGTCACTTTTTGTAATTGTGCTACGTAGAAATTTTCGATTAACGCACGATTAGGATGTAGAGTGTAGAAGTAAGAATAAATGTTACTTTCGTGGTGTTTACCACACGTCAAGTTCTGCGAGACTAATTGCGAAAACAAACGAGCCTATATTTATATGCCTACCCGGGGTATTATACATGTATATATTACAAGATATTCCCCAATATTTATACACACACATATATGTATATATTTATATTTATATATACATGCATATATATCAGTATCTGGAGAATATCTTTTGAACGCAGACACGTAATAAAAAAGATTCGAAACAAAGGAGCAATAGTCATTAATATTGAAAATATGAAAAAAAAATGATGTCTATATATAAATTTATTGGCACATCCTGAGAAAGTAAAACCGCGCGATGCACATATCGTGACACAGGATGCACAAAAAACTGTACCGTCGATGATAAGTTTCGTTTTCTTATTTTTTTAAACTTGTAGAATAATAATTTTTTTTTTTAGAGAATAATAATTGTTTTTATTTAAGCATTGATTTTTATTTGATTTTATTTACTTGATTGGTTTATTTGATTTTTACTTGACCTTTTGAGACCTGCTTTTTGAGTATGTAGAAAACGCGACACATTGCGTCGCGTCGTTGCAAAATAAATAAAGTTACAATTACGTTATTTGAGAAACGATATATGTATGTGTACAATCATCAACGATCATCGAACAGATAATGACGGATAGGTAAACTATACGCAGAGAGAGAGCGCGGAAAACACGACGACGATACAAATACAAGTACATGATTTTTCATATAAAATTAAGTCAAAGTGTGAAATAATTTTTTTAATGCATTTTTGTATTTCTGTAAATACTCAATTAAAAAAATTAATTATTTGTAACATGAAACTTGTAAACAATTGAAATATTTTTGTTTAAAAAAAGTCACAATCTTACAACTTTACAATTATTTGTTCGCAAGAAGTTTATTTTCCATTTACGTTACATTTTGTATATGACGGCAAATCCATCCTCGCGATCATCGCGATTTCGGATTCGACAGGTGATAAACGGACGAGGTCGACATTGATCCATTGAGAAGTGTCGCTTGACTGCTGTTGTTGTCGCTGCGCCGCATCATGTTCGCGAAGTCGAGAGGCAGCAGCATCACACCATGCGACTTACTGCCTGACCCGATTCGTAACACGTACGAAATCGGCAAGCAGTCCGCAACAGCCGGACCGGAAAACGTCTGGCGCATATACGACGGTTATCGGAAAAAAGACAGAATGGTAATTAATCGCAAATCTCCTCTGAACGGACGTTTTCCTGCTTTTTTCTTTTGCCGCATATATTTATTATAAAAACTCTTTCACTTATAAATTTTAATAGCGAATTTTCTCTCGTGCTTAATATGAAAATATTTTCTATTTGGAATATGAGAATAAAACGATTAAGCACATCCATCAAATAGAAAATTTAATCTAGAAAATAAAATAATATCAGAGAATAAATTTTACGATTCGTATGATCTCGTATTTATAACGAATCGTAATCCGCTCAGTTCTGGCGCTTCAATTTTAATAATAATAATAATGTTTCTTGAGCTTGCAAACGCAAGGGACGCGCGTGCGACACAGTTGATGGATAAGGAGAGAGTTGCCAATTGTTTGCAGGAAGTGTCGATATTCCTGTTCGACAAGCGATCGGCTGAGAAACTTCACAAGCCGAAACGCAAGGAGGCAGTTACGGACATATTGCGGGAGGGTGCCATCCGGATGGAACGCTTCTCGCATCCGAAGCTTCTACAGGTGGGTGGTGCGACGTCCTTTTATCATCTTAGAAACTACCAAAAAAAAAAAAAAAAAAAAAAACTACTAAAAACACCCTACGAAACTGTAAAATGTTAAAAACCGCGTCGCCTACGCAAGGAAGACACGCGACGGCAAAAATTAATTGAAGAAGAGTATATAAGAGTATATATATATATATGTGTGTATATAGCCGAGCACTTTCGTTAGAAAATTGTAGTACAATGAGATCCACTTAATCAAACAGAACGCAGCGCAGGCAATTCGAGAATTTGTTAGAAAAGAGAAGTTTCGGTTCGAGGACGTGTACAAATGACACCTTGATTATTCTCGTAAGCTGTTATTAAGTAGATCAAGGTTACGTTTGACGCGACAATACAGGCGTACAAAGTGGAGGAGTGCGCGGAAACGTTGGCTTTCGCGTCCGAGCCGGTGCTCGCCAGCTTGGCGAACGTCCTGGCGTACAAGGAGCAGCTGGCGCACACGCTCGCGGCGCAATCCTCGGGACCGATGGGCAAGCAGAATCATCCGCCGACCACCGGCAGTCATCATCGCTCGATCTTCGTCAAGGAGTACGAGCTGCTCGAGCTGGAGATCAAATACGGGCTTCTGCAGGTGAGAAGAGAAAAAAACGATATTATATTGAACGATCCCGAAAACGCTTTCTCGAAATTGTGTAATGCGTTTGATTTTCTCGCGAAGAAAGATTTGTTTTAAGCTTTATTGTTGCTGTAACATCGTCGATGATTTGTTCTCTCATAGTTTTTTTCTGACACAACATTTAACAGATAATTAGAATACGCACAGTTTGTGTTTTCTAATCAATCCTCACGTAATACATTCTATTTACATATCACGAATTATATATTTATTTATGTAAACATGTATCATTATATACCTATATAAAAAAAAAAATGTAAAGTTTATTCTAGATTCGTGAGGAAATGTTTGATACCCCACTGTCGAGAAGTGCAACTTTATTCTTACTTGAAAAAAAGACACCGATTTCGATATTTGTGCGGAGTACACGCATGCATGACCGTGACATTGTGCGTAAGCACGTTATCATAGCGTGTAGATGCTATATCAGTGTCGCGTTGCGGAAAATTAAGTCGGATATTCTGCAAGCGCATGCGTGCTCAATTGAGAGAGAAAGAAAGAGAGAGAGAGAGAGAGAGTGAGAAAGAGAGGAAAGGAGGGAGGGAGAGAGGAAAGGAAGGAGAAACAGAGAAGAGTAAAATAAATTTTCTTCAAACGCAAATTGCAGCCGCGTAAAATTAACTCCATCGCGGTGGTTGTTGCTTGCTCGACGTTGCTGTGTAATAATGTAATAAAATGTATTACAAAAACGTAATAGAACGTTTAATGTTCAACGTCAACTCCTTCAAATTATAATTCGAACGTGCGCTATCGCGTGTAACAGCAATCTCGAATCGACAATTAAGTTTTTGAAAAGCGATATCTAATTTGCGAAGGTCAAATTACACCTCGTGGAGAGAAAAAAAATAAATAAAGAATCGCAAGATTATCTGAAAAATGTAACACCAAGTTAAAAACAATATTTTAATTCAATATATCGAATATATTACACGGGTTTTTTTATTATTCGCTTTTTTTTACAGATTACAGAAGCTCTGTTGTTTCTTCACAGCAACTGGAAAGTGATTCACAGGAATATTTGTCCGACGAGTATCATTATCACAAAGAGAGGCACGTGGAAATTGTCGGGATTCGACTTTATCGGTGAGTCTATTTGCGCGTCGGATCTCGCACATTAAAGATGAATTATTATTGCAACTATCACGTAGTAGCAATTCAGATACTCAATTTGCATACGGCACAAATTTAAATTTAAGTTCCTTTTTTATTTTTTTTTTTTTCACACACAAAAGAAAAATATACATATCGTTATTAAATAATATTACAAAATCTGATATATTGGTTTCTTTACATTTCAATATTTATATTATTCTTATACATAAATGTCGTGTATTATATTTGTGTATATTTTTTTATAGTCTACAAAAATCGAGAATATATATATTTATTTCTATGATCTCTAAACTTGAAAAAAACAAAAAAAAAACAATGCGTTTTATGTGTTAGAGAGAGCCAACGAGATACCGATAACCGTGCAACCGTGGACGAAACACAGTTCGAAAATGACTCAGCCGAATCTCGATTATATAGGTGAGATAATCCGTTTGCAGAAACTCTTGCTCCGATAATATTTGTATTTCACAAATTGATTTTAATAATAAACACGCGCGGGCGCGGCAACATGTTGCAGCGCCGGAGGTGCAACAAAAAAAGCTCGGCAGCTTCTCCAGCGACATGTACAGTCTCGGTATGATTATATGCGCGATTTACAATCAAGGCCGGCCGCTGATACAAGCGAATCACAATCCTTCGGATTATCTCAAACAGCTCGAAACCGTAAGTGTCGATCTGTGTTCGCGATAGGCGCGATCTTGAAAAAATTATCTGCGATTTACATAGAAAAAAAAAAAAAAAAAAAAACCTATCGTTGACCAGCTTGAAGATCAAGTCGCCGTTATCTTGCCGATGGTACCGATACCTCTCCGGGAGGCGGTGACGCGACTCTTGCACAAGGATCCCGATCAAAGGCCTACCGCTCAAGTTCTGACCATGATCAAGTTCTTCCGGGATCCGTTCGTGCACGCCCTTCAATTCCTTGACGTCAGCAAGATGAAGGACGTGCATCAGAAGGAGCACTTCTACACAACAACGTTGAGAGAACTGTTGCCGTACATGCCAAAGGTATTATATGCACAAACGATCATTGAAAGCAATTGTTGATTGTTTTATTACTGATTGTTTTGAATAAACTGATCGAGAATACGCATCGAAAACGTTTTTTTAACGTATCATCATCTGTGTTTGATTTTTACTTGCTTATTTTCTTTTTTATATTCGAATGATTCTTATCGCGCAATTATATTATCGGATGAGTGCAAAAGTTTTGATGAATTTTGCGGAATTAAAAGCGGACCGAGTAATTTTACTAAAAACGATGTATTTTATTTTATTAAAAACGATCACCTCCAAGTAATTCATTCCATTAATTTTTTTTATTATCTCTCGCTGTTGTAGAATAAACAAATCGTTTTTAATAAAATTATTTGGTCGATTTTTCCATCACGAAATTCATCAAAACTTTTGCACTCGCATAAACCACCCAATAAAATAAACAATATTTATAATGTGTGATATAATAATTGCGCATCTGTACGTATATATTCGTGCGTTTTCTCCCGTTTCTTTCGCGCAGAAACTCACATATCAGCACATCTGGACGTATCTCGCGGCCGAGCTGCAAACGCAAGAGGTCCTGTCCGCCGTGCTGCAACCGATGTTGTACATCATACAGAACAGCACCAAGGAGGAGTACGACCAGATCTTGTTTCCCACGCTCAAGTACGTAAAACCGCATACAGAGCGGAAATGAGCACGCGCGCGCTAAATATAGGTATACACTTCAATCTTACCTTTCCGTTTCCCTCTCTCACTCTCTTATCTCTTCCGCAGATCTCTCTTCAGCAATCGAAAGTCGATTCAAGGTACCGTGACCCTGTTGGAGAATCTGCATATCGTTCTGGAGAAAACGTCCCAGGAATACGAACGCGAGGTCCTCGCGATGCTGTACACGTCCTTCGAGAACTCAACCATTCAAGTGCGCGTAAGTGGTCGTATAATCCTCAGAGACAAAACACGAAGAAGAAATAGTTTTCAGTATTATCGCATCAGACACTTAGATACGAGATCTGACATTTGTGTGTATTCGTGGAATAAAACAAATGTTACAGACAGGAAACAAATGTTCGCGTATCGACAGTTCGCCGCATTTCTGAAATATCCTATCAAAAAATTTATCCGAGTCATTTTTCAAATATTTTTAATATTCCAAATCCTTAAATATTTTTATATTAAATGTTAAACACACCACAAAGAGGATGATAGTTACTTGAAAAAAATTATACTTGAAGAAAATATTTCGAATAAAGTTTCTTTTTATTGTAATTTGACAATCAATTTGTTCGCTCGTCAGACGGCCGCGTTCGTGGCCGTGACGAAGGTGACGAATTATCTCGAGGACGACGCCATACGCAACGTGGTGTTGCCGAAGCTTTTGGACGCGTTCGAGAATAATTCGGCGGATCCGCGAGTGCTCATGGACGTGGTGCCGTGCATCCTGTGTCGTCTTGAGAAGCAGAAAATCATCGACTGCATCTTGCCGCTGCTCTGTAAGGTCAAACTGCAAGAACCCGAGATCGTCGTGCGGGTTGTAAGTAAGTGAAATAAAAAAACAAATTATGTATTTTATTTTATTGTAGAATTATACAATTAAATAATTAAACGAATAAAATCAACATATAATAACAATATATATGTACATATATCGAAAAAATATAGAACAAAAACAGTTACGGCACTTTATTGCTAAAGACTAAATTGATTAAATTGACATTACGTCTAAATCAAGTAGAGAAGCTATTGAGATAAAACTCAGAAGAGAGAAAGAAGTCTCCCTTTTTTTTTTTATCTAATAAATTTTGATAAGAAATTGGAGAAAAAAAGAACACGAAGAGAAACGAAGCACCTAATTGTGCTTCGAAAGAACGGATATCTATTTCGAGAGAAGAAAGAACAAGAGATTCGTATATAGTGTTCTCTATTGACTGTCGTCTCGTTCGCGTTTAGATATTTACAGGCTGATGCTTACCGACAAGAAACTCGGGCTGTCGGTCAATTGGATGGCGGTGCACGCGATGCCGTCGCTGGTGCCGCAAACGGTGAATCCGGCGCTGAATCTCGAGCAGTTTATATTGCTTCTCGAGGTATTGCAGGACATGCTGAACAGCATCGAGAGGCAAGTATATATAGCGAGACCGTTTACGACGACGTCGAGAGGGCGTGGTAATTAAAAGCTGTCATGTATATAAATGAGAGCGAAATATAATTACCTCCTAAATTAATTAATAATTCTTGCGGGTAATAAATGAGTGTTTATTGGCGCTCGTTTAATAACGCGGAAAATTGTAAAAACAATTTTTAGCCGTTAAATTAACGAGTTTGTGTACGTTTTCGCAATTATTGTCATTATACTGACGTAAGTAGTCGTTTTTATTATTAAAATCTCTCGTTATTCTATATAAAAAAATCTATGTGTTCCGCGAAGTGCGCGTTTTGGAGCCGAATGTATCGCATCTATTGTTGCCTCTTTTCCGCGTTGCCGATTGGTTGGTTGGTTGATCGAGTCAAATCGAGTCGGTAAGATCGAGAGAGTAAATAATGAAAAGCGATTTTGAGACAGTTCGTCATATATGTAGAGAAAATTAAAAACGTAAGTAAAGTCACGTGACAGGAAAGAATAGAAAAACTACACGTGAAAATAACGTGACTGTAATTTATATTATATATAACATTAAATAATACACATATTATACATATAATTTATTATATATTTATAATATTATACTTTATATTGTATTATATGTATTATTGTATTATTGTATTATATGTATATTTGTATTATTGTATTATATACATACTACAGTAATGTCACTGACCTCGGCCGCACGGCCTTGGCGGGGTCATTGACCTCGGCCGCGTGGCCTTGGCGTGGTCATTGACCTCGGCCGCGCGGCCTTGGCGGGGCATTGACCGCGGNCATACTACAGTAATGTCACTGACCTCCGCCGCGCGACTTTGGCGGGGTCACTGATTTCGGCCGCGCGGCCTTGGCAGGGGCATTGACCGCGGCCGCGCGGCCTTGGTGGGGGGGGGTCACTGACCGCGGGCGCGCGGCCTTGGCGGGGTTACTGACTTAAATAATAGCGTGCGCGTAGCGCGCGCTTGTGTTGTGCTAGTATGTCAAAATTTGTGTGTGCTTAATCCAATGAACAAAGAAACAAAACACACGTAGTCTGTAAAACGAATATCGCGGGTATCAATTACCGTCGCGCTATTTTATTAATTTTATATTACCGATCGACATATTTCATCTCACAGATGAACTTAACGAGGAAATAAGAGTTTTATATTTTGTTTACATATTTGTGATTTATTTGTATATATTTGTGATTTACAGACATCAGAAGAACAAATTGACGCTCGATAATCTCTCTTTGCCGAGTCCCGACAAATATCGACCTTTGCGACAGTACAGCACCGACAACGTGCAGGTGCCGGCTTTTACCATTCCGAATGTGCGCATCGAGCAACGCAAGACTTCCTCGGCCGAGGATATGGCCAGAAAGAACAGCATCGGTGCGAATATCAATAACAGACATATCAAACATCAAAATTGCAATTTTTTTACTTACTTTATCTGAACACAATCCAATTTTTTTTTACGACCACGTTCATTTGTTTAAATTTCAGTAAAATCTTTTCGCGTGTAAAACTGCGTTTCAGTAGCGTTCGTTTTTTATTTTTGTTTTATTTTACGTTGAAATAAATTTAGAACTCGCGTTAGCTTTTTTTTCCGGGTTTCATGTAGACATAAAAGAATAATGTTTCCATAAATATTACATAAAAAAAAAAAAAAAAAACAACGCGAAGCTTTCGCGGATCTTATAGCAATATTCTGAGATAGTGTCTGAGAAAATATAAAAAGTAAAATAACTATCAACTTTATTCGATATTTATGGAAATTTTTCTCTAAGGGAAGACATGACCTGAATTTGTAATACCAAAAGTAATATTTTTTCCCTCTCTCTCTCTTTCTCTCTCTTCGTCGCGCACGCACACAGGATCCATATCGACGGCGTCCGCGGAAAATATGGCGCGGAAAAGTTCGATGGCTGGTAAGTGCAAAAACATTCCCCGATTTTCTCGAACCTCGTTTAAAATATTCATGTAAATTCTCTTTCGACGGTGGATTCGACGTTTCAATATTTATTAAGATAGGGAGTTTTTTCAAAAGCAAAATCAATTTAACTTATTTAAATATTTTGCTTTGGTGATTGACGGTTTTTTTTTTTTTTTTTAATTGAGTCAGTAGAATAAATTAAAATTTCGTTGTTTAGCGGTTTTCGGTGGATGGTTCACCTCGTCGTCGACCAACGACAGCAATTTCTTGCGAGTGGCTAATACTTTCACCAGCAGACGTCTGTCAGACAACACCCTTATGACACCGAAGATACGAATAGCACCCTCCTGCGCGAGTTCACCCGGTGGTACGCCCGGCGGAGGATTGCCTATCCGTCGACATTCCAGCACCGGCCCCCAGGAACGACGGGGATCTAATATTAATTTATCTCCGCCTACGGTACATGTACACGTACATTTATATATACATTTATATATTTATGTATGTATCTCTGAGCACATATCCTTTACTCTCCGCATTTCTTAGTTTCATTTTTTTCTCAGTTTGTACAGTATATTAAAAATTGTAGAAGAGGCTAATCGAAAATTTGCGTTCCCACTCGATTTGAAACGATCGCAATAAGATGCGAAAAGGTCAGATCTAGAATGAAACCTTAGATATTTTCGTGGTATTTTTGTGGTTCAATTTCGAGAACAAAGTATTTCAATAATAATTACATACAAAGTGCGCAATTGAGGTTTCGAACTAAAGTGATCTACTGACATTTTTCCGCTTGGAAACAATCGAGAAAACTTCCTCTGTTGTCTATAAAAGCGAATCTTACTATTGATCATACGGTGCGGCATAGAGCAGAAATAAATCGGAGTCGCTAATTGATCGCCGTATGATATTTTAACGCGCGTACGAATAATAGTAGGCGTAATGAATTCGTAATAACGATGTGCTTCGGAGAAATTAATTTTTTCTGACTTTTAGACTTGTTGAAGAATAACAAAACAAAATTAACAAAAGTGTTAAACAACGCGCGTTGGCGTGAGATGTTTCATTTTATCAATTTCACTTGCGTATTAAATCAGATTTTTTGTTCGCAGGGCGGCGGGATGCCGATAACGAGCAGCAGCGTTCCGTATCTGCTCAGTTCAAGCCTAAACAGTATTCGCGGCTCGAGACGACCGTCCGTATCCTCGACGTCGTCGCAGCAAGGCATTGGGCTACTGCAGCAGGTTGGCTCCAGCATGGTAAGACAACTACCCCCCATCTGCCTGAACCTGAACGGACCACCACCACCACCAACACTCTCTCCATCACTCCAGCTACCAGGACAGCATTCCCACTGACCCTCCGTCGCAGTGTAAGGATATTCACTAAACTTTAGTTCGCGTACACTTGCCTCACTCTTCTCTCTCCTTTTCTCTCTCTCTCTCTCTTTCTCTCTCTCTCTCTCTCTCTTTCTGTCTTTCTCTTTCTCACTCTCCCTCTCTTTCCGTATGACACTTCCCACACCTCGTCCTTCCCTCAATTTTAGATGCTATCTACTTTCCATTTGAAGATTTCGAGTTGCGAATATATATACATAAATATTTTAAGATTATATATGTAAATATATATAATTTTAAAATCTTACAAGAAACAAAGTCACGTTTAAAAATAAGAGTTGTTCTCAAATCAGAAGAAGCGTTCTTTCGAAGCTTTGTATTTTCAAGACAGATTGTTGTGACAGGACACTATTTCGCGATCTTTGTCCTATCGCGAGATACTGCCTGCATTACCGGTGTATATATATATCGCTTCGAGATAACAGCGAAACACGTGGATAAAGGACATCTCTCTTTTTCTTTTTCATGTTGCAGTATCAGTTCTTCAACCGACAACCTGAAGCGTGAAGTGCCAACGATAGTTACCGAACACGAAACAAGATCGCGGTAGTTATGGAATTTCTGACTAGCGCGCATCATCGATCCACTCGCACGCTCGGTCAGTCGTAAGAGAAATTGTCCCAGCGTAGTAATGAAAAATCTTACGCGAGCCTCGTTCTCTTTTAACCATAATTGGCTTTGTTACTTTGAGAAAGGTGTAAAATCTTAACACGAGGATCCGACGTGGGTCGGATCGCAAATTTTGCGAATCCGAAGAAATAAGAGAGGCAATTTACTTACTCGCGGTTCACAATCCGACTTGATACAAATGTATAAATGTATCCCGAGATAGCAATGTGTCAATTGCAATATGCCGCAAATTAATCCTCTCCCTCTCTTCCCTTCCAATGGAAATTAATATTGGCGTGTGTGTATCTCCGCACATATTATCCGTCGCCACTGCGTGGCGAGCGAGGGTTCCACAGAGAGACACGTGTGGTTTGGTACAGTGCGTATATATAACGGGAGCCCAATTACATAAATTTATGTCGAACATTAAAGGATATATCAGAAGTCGCTGAGAAACCGATTCGAAACACATTTGACTGAGTATATCGATTATTAATATAAATATTGAATATTATTATACAAACGTAATATTTTTTAATGAAACTCGTTATTTCTTTCATTGAAAATTGAATCGTCCGTTTTTTCGCGTATTTTCAGCGCTTGTTTCACTACTCAAATACGTGGCCGTCCGTTTTTCATCTATCTTTCTTCCTATCTAATATACAGAGCCAATACAATTAACGTCACACAGAAGGATCGAGTGATACACAAGACTGTCTATGTACCGAACGTGTGGAAGTACCGAATATGCGGTTCGGAGAAAAACAAAAAAAAAACCAATACAAATAAACTCACTAAATATACTCACTTTGATTCCGCACAAAATTCGCCTAATATACAGAGCCAATACAATTAACGTCACACAGAAGGATCGAGTGATACACAAGACTGTCTATGTACCGAACGTGTGGAAGTACCGAATATGCGGTTCGGAGAAAAACAAAAAAAAAAAAAAAAAAACATACAGACTGAAAAAGAACATAAAACTTTTCATCGTGAATAAATTTGAGGAGATCACGACTTTTGATTTATCCTGCGCAAAGGAGGCGTCTCATGTGACAGGCAATTTCATATGTGAGACAGCTTCGATCTCAGGAATCTGCTCTAACAAAAGTTAGCAGTGTGGTGTGATCTGGGAGACACGCTGTAAATTTCTCTCTTTGTTAGAATCACGTTTAGACAGAAAGAACAAATATTTTTCTCGTCGATATACATATATATTGTATACGTATGTGACATCTATATATAAAATTATATATAAAATATAATGTATAAACACGCGGCGTGTGCGCACGTATATGTACATTTATACGTGCACATTACGTGTCGCGGTTACGTCGCAGTCGTCAATTGCCACATCTCTAACACAATCACTAAGAAAACAAAAACTTAAGGATAGATTTTATAAACTCTCTTTCCTCTTCTCTCTTTTGAGCATATACCTCGACATGGATTACTGAAATCAATTGTTCTCGCGCGCGTCAAAAGTTCCATTATTTCATATACATATATATATATATATATATATACGTAACATATAGACCAAGAAAACGTATAGATTTTGTCTAATAAACAGTACTGTTGGTGGCGAGAAAAAAAAATATATATATGATATATGTGTATAAAAATTTATGTAGTCAACAATATCAATGTGCAATCGCCTGATCGGTCACGATTCGTTTTGATAAACGATCGATCGTAAAACACAGATCGCGACATTTCGATTTCGGTGAGTCCGAATAAAACGCGCGAGAGAAGAATAACGGCTATAATAATTTACCGATTTAAAAACAGACAAACACACCCTACGAGAGTATTTTTCGATGTAAAAATAACTTTCTACACTTTTTTTTTTTTTCAATTCGACGCGTCGCGTTTTCAATTTCATGGAATTTTCGAGAAGAGAAAATTCGGATTTCGTCGGAGTCGCGATATATCGATCTCTCGGTCACACCGAAAACCACAATTCGCGTCTATACAATTTCAAAGATTATATTTGTGCGATCACTCTATTTTAACTACATAAGATTGTATACAAAGTTAAGTGTCCTTAACGTTAAGCACATCCCGATTACACTTGGAGAAAGTATGATATAATAAAAAAAAAAAAAAAAAAAGAAAGAAGAGACAAAAGGAACGGTCAAGAGACGTCGAGCCCGCGTATTCGCGGACTCGCTCTCGGCTCTTTTCTCGTGTTTAACTCTAAAACGAACAAGCACAAAAAAGAAAAGAATAAGAGAGACGTAATTAATGATAGAGATGTAATTATTCTACGGACTATGGACAATCATGGACAATCATTTACACGTATCAAGATATAGATGTGTGTATACGCATTTTCCATTTTTAAGTAGAAAAAAACTGCGTTTGGACGAGAAAATTTTTGCATTCGATGACAATTATCATCATTGATAATCACGCTTTCAAACACTGCTGCATATTAACATCGGCAATATGTATAACAAACGATGTATAATCCACCGAAAATTCAAATATTTCTACGAAACGTTTTCCCATTTCACTCTGTTATTATTATTGCAAGAAGATGGCACACACGCTTTCAAAAGGAATTTAACAATCGCGAGAGATTTATATATAGTTGGAACTATATTTTTAAGAATTTTATCACTACACACACATTACATATCAAATACAAATTACTTCTCGACTCGGTTTTAATGCTCGCCGTATTGCTGAATGTGACAACGTGTGTATGTGTGTGTTGTGTGTGTGTGTGTGTGTGATTGTCGATCGACATTGTGCCAAGCGACATACAATCAAATTAGTGTACATTGTAATGTTGATCGACGCTTAGAAGCTCTTCTCGTCCAAACAGCCTGCATCGAGAGACACTTCGGTTTCTATCGATTTTACAAGTGTTGTTAACGCACAAACCGTGTCCCGCTTCGTGCAGAAGCGTTTGAGCATTATGTACAGATGAGTTTCGAACTCCTTTATTTACCGTATTCTCTCTCTCACGTTAGTGAATTATTATTTTAGGATGTACTCGCAACCTCGAGATAAATTGACGTGTCTGTGTAAAATGCGATGCAAAGATCAGCGCGTCATAATTTTTCGGGACTCAATTAACTCTCGTTAACACTGCAAGGCCTACATATGCAACCGTCAGACTGCAATAATAGAATTTATAATGTATTTTCTTCTCGCGTTTCTGCACTTTCCCTTTAGACACTTTTTTCTATGCACACACGCACACCTATTCTCCGAAGACTCGTGCGTGTTTGTGTTTCAGAAATAGTTTTTTTTTTCCTCGATTCGTCCCCTCGTGTTTGCAGAGATTCTCTTTCGTCCGTTGTTTTAATTAAGGAACACACTACCACACGATATAATATCACGATCGATTTTAACTGTGTATACCGTGTCGACTGAATCAACGAGAAGAAAATGAAAAATGATTTAAAGACGAGTAAACAACTTTTCTTTGATATTGTTAATTCGAAAAATGCGAACAATTTTCTGGAAAAACTAATATATTTTTACTTTTTATTCTCAAAACGCGATTATTTCTCGAATTCGATCTAAAAGAAAAGAAAAAGGAGAAAAAAATGTGAAGAAAACGTTCTTAAGATTGTCAATAAACACGCTACGTACACGTCAATGTACACATCGTAGTTAATAAATTATATATGAAAAACTAAAGGGAAAGTATATTTTTCTCTATTACAGACGACAAACATTATAACTCTTTGAAGTCGGAAAGAGAGAGAGAGAGAAAGAAAGAAAGATAAAATATCAGAAGTGTGTGTGCATATGTATGTGTGTGTGTGTGCGTGTCAAACACATTTTTGAATTCTAATTTCTTAAGTAGTATACATATATTTACATATATATAGACGTAGACAAGAAGTACAATACCTTAATATACATCCAGCACCTCCAGAATAAAAAATCGACAAAAAATATGTAAAGATATATATTATATATATAATACATAAATGTAACACAAGACTAAATGAAAATATTTTTCAACGTAATGTGTAATAAAAACTGTCAGACTTTCTGCATGTTTGTTATGCTCGAGAATACTTCTCTCACAGAGCAACCGAATCCTAAACATAGGGTTGTAGAGCTCTGTGTGTGTATGTATCGCGTATCTCTCTCTTGATTTGTACTTTAATTTATTTTTCATCGGATTTAAAATTCCCCATTTTCTGGAAAACTAAACTAAACGTGCGAGTAAAATAATATTTGTTAGCGCGTTTTTTCTCAAACGCGTGAGAGAAAAAGTGAGAGAGAAAGAATCGTTGTTAGCGTATAGAGAATTATTCTTGCATAGTACAATTGTTTACGACAAGTGAAATGCTCAACAGAACAACACTTTATAAAAGAAAAAAAAAATAATTATGTGTTCAGGAATGATATCGTAACTCTCTATTGTGACGTCGTTAGTGCAGTAAGAGATAGATATTCAGAGGTTTATTCACAGAGAATGCAGTCCTTCTACCAATTATATATAAAATTATAAATGTATATTTCATGTATATTTGTTTTTAAAAATACAGTAAAATCATCGTTGTCGACTTAACAACGTTCAGACAATTATTTCGCATCTGATATGTATATCTGTTGTCGCACTTGACGCACCTCTCGCGCATCTCCGCGTAGAGAAGAGTCAAAGCTCTTGTGTGTGTTGCAAAAAAAAAGCTAGAACTTCATTACGTTCCGAAAACATATACAAGAGTAATTGTATTTTATCGCCATCTAAAAAATAATAAAAATTACACATAAAATGCAAATTGTCGCATTTGCAACAATAATATTATAGCATATATGTATATATAAGATATTTAATATGTTATTCAATTTTATTTTATTAAAAGAAACTCAATCAATGTAATTATGTATTAAACCAAAGATAATATGTACACTTACACAACATCAATATGCTTGTTATTAACCATTGCTTTAGCAAACTCTTAAATCTCTCTTTGTTATCTCTCGACACATAAACCTTCACGGAAGCAATATGTTTATCAGTCTTTGGATGTGCCATGCTGTTGACAAAATCGTGCAATTTTATCTTCGCAAGTACTCCTAGTATAAAGCACAAAATGCGCATTGATTCGAGCAATTGAGATTTATCCAACAACGATACACCTTATGACTGATAAAGAGCTTTTCTCTTGGCCATATCGTGATATACTTTTACACATATTCTTGGTGAATATTTCGACCTTTGTATTCTGGTTTTAATAGATGCTACCTCGGTGGACGTTAAAGTGGACAGTAACTTTTGTATAGTTGGCGTTTTCTCGTACTGTTCAACTTGTCTTCTATGCTGAATCAACACCAATTGCTCCTCCGTTAGTTTTGCTCGTTTTCTTCTCAGTATTCTTTTTTTATAGTAAAATTTGAATCTTTTCTTTGTAAAATTTTGTTTCACATATTTGTCTAATATGGATTCAAGTGTTGGCTGTTCAAATAAACAAGATTTTGTCTCCTCCGGAGTATCCTTTAACAATGCACTATCTGTTCTTTCTCTTATCATGATTTCTTGATGTTTGTTCGCTTCTAATTCTGCGGCGGATATATTTATGCTTGTATCTCTCAATTCTATATCTCGCTTCGTATAAGCTTTTATATTTGGCTTGTCGGTAGCTGACTTGTTTGGCAGATTTAAAGAGGGCACGACGCCGCGTTTCAATTTTCTCGCTCTAAACGTTACCAAGTAATCGTCATGGGCGAAATGTCGGTAACAGACCGCACGCTTGCTTATTTGTTCGTCAGTCAAATGTTGAAGCTTCGAAGAATAAATTTGATTCTTCCATTTCTGAAAGAGAACCGGGTTCTTGGGAATCAAATGGGACGGAGCATCCCCTCCCGACGAGCAACCCAAAACACAACATGCTCTCCCCATAACCTAACTTAAAACGAACGAGTGTATTTTTTTAATTTGTTATATGTACTCGTGTTCGCGGTCAATAGTTTCAATACTTACAGATACGTTAATTGCACTATATACTCGTACGCACTTTTTCAAAGAACAACAATATCAGCTGACTCCTTTCATCGCCTAGAACCTGTTTGAATAGATTTCACTTGTCAATTGTTACCGATAAGAGACCGATCGCAACAATCACGCGTTTACTTCGATTGCACAACGATCCAATCACGTTGTGGAACGATTCGCTGAAATCATTAGAACGCGATTGGTCGATTTGCAAGGTCGAGTCACGGAATGCGCACGAAGCCGAACGGACGTGGCCAATTGCGAGAGATATGCGCAAAAGAACTCCAGGACCGCGTCGCGTCGCGATTGGCCGTGTCCGCTCGCCGCCGCGTTCCGTTCGAGTCACGCTCGTCGTCACAAATCTTGTGTCGCTTCATGCGCACGCGTCAACGCGTGCACGAATCGTCATTCGAGTTTGCTACGCGTACACATTTGAAAAGTGCGGTCGAATCGTGTGAGCGTTCTCTTCGCATTTTCCCGATCTCGTGCTTGCGATCGTCTGTTCGTCCCGTTGTACGCCAGCGTCCTGCCAGCAGCGTCGTCCTCGTGTGTCCCGAAAGTGCGAACGAACTCGCGCGCAACCCGAAACCAGTTTACCCTCGTGTTGCAGCACGCGTGTGTGCGGAGAGGATTATGATCGATGAGCCGCTGTGACGCCCCGTCAGCGGAACAACAATGCAGCGAAGCGGTAAGTCGAGAAGCGTCCTCCTCAAGAGGAGGAGAGCACGCGGTTCATCGGCTCCTGTCGACGACGAACACCTGCCCGACGCGGTCGGAGACGGCGCCGACCATTTTGGAGCCGCCGAATTTTCCCGTCAATACAACGCGCCCGGTCGATACGCTCCGAGACCTAACCCCACTAATTTTCGTCGGTTTTCACCAGTTTTTCACGCGTCGCAGCGACTTTGTCTCAATTGCACTTGTCTCGTCGCTGCGTTTTTTTTTTTTACCGACTTCCTTCCGCGCGAGTGGTTCCGAGACCGCATTTTCTGCGTTAACGAAGAAAGAGAAGAGGAGAAAAAAAATTTTAATTAATTCGGAGCACTGTCTGACGCATGAAATTCTACGAATTTTTCGTCCTGGAACGTTTTGTATTTTGTCTTGCGTAACACACGCGAGAGAAAACGAATTCCTGGTAATTATTGTTATATTAGTCACACATAATTGATCGTCGGAATTATCAATTCGTTGTTATATTGTGTACATATATTACGAAGTGTGTAGAGAGCTCGTGTTTGATAAATGACACATTTCTCTTTTCGTGTAACGCGTGATAATAGTTTATCGTAATAGAAGTTAGAGAGAGTTCAGAGCTGAACAAAATTTAGTGACACGTGTATATTTGTGTAAATAAAATCTTTTATTCTCCGGTGTGAAGATTTTCCCGGAGAGGGGAGAAAGGCCTATCGATGTACCGTTCAAAATTTCGGAAGCCATATTTGTTACACGTTTGTCGCATTATTCTGTATAATGGACATTTGTGATTTTCCGTATGTATTTATTAAGTAATTTATTTATGCTTTACACACACAAGATCGATAAAAATGGAAAAAAAGCGCCGCGTTTGATCGTCAACAATTTTACACATTATTTTTCGACGATTATTACGTTATAAAAAACATAAATTGAGTTTTTTAATAAAATAACAAAAACTTGATTTTTGATGGCATGTGTTTTCAAAGCCAATTTTTTTCAAGAAAAATAAACACAAAGAAAACTGTTCGAATAAGAAACTGATTCTCCGAGAAATATTTGCTCTGCATTGTGGAATTATCGCGTAAGATCGATTTCCGCTATCTTATTATATATATATATATAGTACAATAATATCGTCCGAATTCTCTCGCTGACTTCTATCTTGACAAAAGAAGTTTTTTTTTGTATTAGTATTCTATTCAAATGTACGTCACACTCGATTAGTTTCCCGCGTAGATAAGATATATATACGTGTATGATAAAACATACATATATGTATATATATATGTCTTATATATATATGCCGTGCCTGTGTAACTGGTTCTGTAGATAACTCATCGCTATTTTTCATGGACATGTCGCGTTTCCAGCCCATTACGATAGATCTGTACAATAATACGTTATGCATATTAAATCTATTTATAATATTGATTACATTTTTTCAATTATCACACGCTACACGTGTTTCGCTACACTTCGATCGTTTTTTTTTTTTTTTTTTTTTTTTTTAATGTTGAAATGTGTTTTTCTCTGTTTTTCTTGTTTTTGTATTTTGTAAATCCTATCTGAAAACAACTAAACCGGCGAAATAGCAAGATAAGATTTTTGAAAATAAAATTGGGGATTGAATGAAAAATATGCGCGTGTAAAAACGATTGTGACGGAGATAGTTACGTGTGTGAGGTTAAAGAATCAATTGTCTCAATCGATTAAGAGAGTAGGGAGAATGTGAGAGGAGGAAAGTGTGACCGATGGATGGGCAGAAAGAAGAGCAGTGGACGATGATAGCGGAGCGCTTCTTCGTCGCGTGTGAGAGAAGCGATTTCCGAGCGATCGCGAATGAACGAGAGAGCCCGCGACCTGCCCTCAGTGCGAATTAAATATCCGACACGTGCAGCAATAACGCGGTGCAGTTATTTCACACATTTTCCGCGTCGGAAAAATTTAAATTCGTTTATATCTTGATCTATTTTGATTTAATTGTTTTCTAATTCTTATTTATCATATTGACGGTGTCGCGAAAATCTATGACGGAATCCCATCGGAGTGTTCGACGCGATTTATCGCGAAAGGGCCGCGATTGTCCGCGATTGTAGAATGACTTTTTTGTTTCTTCGCGCGACGTGATGTATAACAGATGACAACATTCAGAAGAAGGAAATTGAGATCCTATATCTGAGTTTGGAGCAATATATCGTTTCTTACAATCGACTCTTCGTAAATCGACATCGATTATTTACTCTATCTAGATCTCAATATACTATTAACGCAGATAAGTCTGTGTGAAATCTTATTTGTTCGCGCGTGTGTTTTCAATTATTTCGAATCGCGCTTTTGATCGATATCATAGTTATTTAAAATCGCTTGTGTGTGGTGAGTCAAAATTATTCGCAATTGTCCGAGTGTCATCATTTTGACGTTTTTAAATCCTTGGAATGTGCGCGATTGTGTTTTTCGGAAAAAAGTTATTTTTGTCGCTGTAGATTTTTATTATTCTTGACGCGATTTGAGACAATCCGACAAAATAAACACGGCGATAGTAAACAATCGAAAGATGGAGACTCTGCATGACGCACGTAAGAGAAGCGTACACGCATAATTTATGTTACACGTACTTTTCGTGTCGATCATTTGTATTTCTCTGATCGTTCTCTGGTAAACTTCAATTTTCCTCAGTGAAGATATCATATGTCAAATTTTTAACCGTAACTTGATCTTGACGTGCGCGAGATATGTCGTATATATACGACGTCTAAAGTAAAATAACGATTCTATACATTTTCAGGGAAATTGGTTTATATATATATATATAGATACATGTTGCAATTATAACAATCGTTTTATTCTCACAATATATACGTATGAATTTTATATTACCGGAAGATAATAGATGGAAAATTATTATATTCATATTATATGTCATTATAATTATTGTAACATCATATTATTATTATAAATTTTAAATTTAACGATATTTTGAAAAAAAGGTATCATATTTTCGAAACAAATGAGGTGAAAGTATGTTTATAGAAAAGTAGAAAGCATGCAGAGAAAAAGAGAGCGCGTGCAAAATCTCAGTTTTAACACGTAAAATATTTTCCTCTTCCCATTCCTTCCCAACAATATTCCTGTTCCTTATCGTTCCTTATCGCGATGATAATCCCGCTTTCCCCTCCCTACCTTGACCTCCACTTCTCTGATTTGTTTCCGGTGCTTTACGGATGCTGGACTACCGCATGGGGCGACGGCGACGACGACGATGACCACGACGACGAACGACGACGACGTCATCACCGATACGGTCAACTTGAGACACCACGGCAGCGGTGAGTCTCACTCTTTCACTCTGTGTGTCTGATAAGGCTAGTCGGATTCCGATCGTCGTTCGAATAGCACGTGCAGGTCGTAGCTTCGTGTTCGTAATATTAATAGCGACGCGAACGCACGTTAGTGTTCAGCTTGCGACGCTCGCATTTGAGCGCGCGGACACGAATCGATCGAGCGACACGATCCGTTAGCGCGAAAGAGAAATATTTTGATAATTGTCGACGCGAGTCGTGTGTTCAGTCGTACGTGTGCCGCCAATGAGAATATTCGATACGTATAAATTTGCACATACGTGAAATATTGAAAAGCAAATGTGTTTATTAATAATTTTGTATTTATTTAATATTTTTTTTTTAAAACTCTTTTAATCCATAATCTTATCTCTCTCGTGGGATTGTGTGACACGCGTTCCGAAGTTCTTACAAGTTAGGACACGCACTACGCGCAACACAAATTATCACCGCCACAACCACATGTGCGAAGCGATATTTGAAAAGTTTTACATTTCTCTATAGAGTCAAAACACACATTTTGAATCGATAAATACAGTGCTCGTTGATTGAATAAATATTGACTCTTCCATCAAACTTGTAAAATTGGATGGTGTTAAAATTACAATTTTTTTTTACTGAGAGTTTGCGCATGTGTGTGTATGTTGATCTTGCTGAACCGTATCAAATTTATAGGTTGTTCGCAACTTATATATGAACTTGTGAACGGATAAAAAAAACTTTTCCAGTTTCGAGCAAAAGTTTTTATCAACTATTCCCGTTATCGCGCTAACGATTACGAACGGTAATCGCGCGATGAGAAAATTGTGCTCGTTATTGCGCTCTCGAGTCCGTTCCTGATCGCTTTCCTCGTGTTTCTGCGAGTGTTCGGTACACATACACATATATACATACATACATAAATACGTGCGTAGACCGTGCGTTATCCGCGCGCGACAATTGGTGCTCATGCAAGTGTGACGTTTCTGTGTGCATTAGTGGCGAATTTTAAAATTGATCAGACAAACGGAAGAGTCGTCGTGATGTCGACAACGGACGCGACGCCGATCGCGACGTCGAGACGTCGCTTGAATCCGTCCATTCTCGCTAGATACAATTGCGAGAAGAGCAAGGAGTCTCAACAGGTAGTTACAAATTATTGAGCGTATGGAAAAAGAGGTCAAGAGAGAGTTCTACTTTTTGTTTTTACAAGTTTATAGAGAATTCTGTGTAAACTATGGAAATATAGTTAATCTCATTGTCGGGGATGCTAACTACGAAGTCTGTCATGATAACGATGGTCGTAAGAGATGTTTAGATTATATCCCAAAAGAAATAAACAATAAAGCTATTTAGTTTTAGATTTCCGTTGGAATGTTAAATTCTCTCATCGAAATCGATGTCCTTTCTTTGCAATTTGTGCATTGAACGATGTAACACGAGAGAGAATTGTATTTAATTTTAATTAATATAATAAAATAATTTAATTGTTTTGTAATATTAATTAAAATAATATATAAAACTAACATTTTATATATATATATATAAAATAATAAATAAATTTTGTAAGACAATAACAAATCAATTATATAAGACAATAATAAAATATGAAATTTTATATTAATTAATGTAAAATTTAGTTTTTCTCTTTCACTCTCTCTCACTCTCTCAAGTACATTACAATCCTAGGCAACTTGCAAAAAATAAAAAAAAAAAATAAAACAAATATTTAAAAATAAGATTCTTATTCCGCAATCGGGACAGTGTGCGCGAAACGCATTAAAAAGTGCTCTCTCGCTTCGTTTCTTCGGACGTGCATGGATATACGCACGTACGAATGCAACGTGCGTATATGCAAGTACGTACGCACAATCAACAGTTCGATGCTCTTATTAAGAACGTCCAATTAAGGCCGCGAATAACGTTCTGAGTATTGCGCGTAATTTCCTACTAGTGGACGCACTAGAATAACTAGGCAACACGATTGGAAAGACAATAGAGAACGTTGACATCGCGGAATCGAGACCGCAAGCGCGTGTTGAATCACTTTAGCGCTAAATACCGTTTTAAAATTTATATCCGGGAAGCGTGCCCGATTATTCTGTGTACGTACGTCGTTGAAACTCGAATTAACTCGCGCTTATTAAAATTAATTTATCGCGTTCGTTAACTGTACCGTTTTTTTTTTTTTTATTTTGTAAGTTTATGTACTTTTGCGGAAAAAAGTTGTAAGATTACTACTTCAAAATCGGTCGAAAATGTTTGAAACACACTGTGTATAATACACATTGAATTATTGCTTGTTCAATATTTAAACATTCTTTTTAATGAATTTGTTAAAAGGACTCACGTAAAAATCGTGAACTGCAGAATATCCCACGATCTTTGTAAGGGGGTTGAAGAAGCGCGGTCGGGTCGGGGGGAATCTACACTCTCGACGTTCGATAATTTTATCGATCAGGTTTTTCGTTCCAGTAGTTGAGTGCAACGCCTGAAGGCGGCGCGAACGTCGTCGCGGCCGACCGTCGTGATTGGCTGTGCGCGCGCGCGACGACGATTCTCTCCTCTAACCATGTTCACCGGTTGTGTGCGTGTTTCTATCTTTCTTTCTCCCCCGTCGTTCTCTCTTTTCCGACCCTTCCTTTCGGGCTCTCACGGCAACGCGTCAGGCGTGGTCGGTGCAGTACATCCGAGTCGGGTGCGGTGGTTGCATTGCGCGAGGTAATTGCACGTAACGATTCATACCTTTTTCTGTGTGTTATTTTGTGCGGTGCGCGATCTTGTGTGACATTTCGCCGTACGTTTAATTAATAAAATTTACACGCGTTCTGTGGGTTACGGTTTTGTGTGTGCTGTCACATTCGCGCACGGAAAGAAGGATACGCGCGATGAACGGTCAAGTGAGAGTGAAAACACGGCCACGCTCGGCCGGTTCGCCGCCGCCGACAGCGTGAATCATCGGCAACACCGGCTCCACCGTCGCCGCTGCTCTCGAAACCCACGCAGTGCGACGCGCACTGTTTCGGCGGTCTTCCTTTTTTTCTCACAGTCGCTTCTTTTTGGATGTCTTTCTCTCTCTCGCGCACGCCACGCGTCTTACCACCGTCGTCGTCATTTTTTCGACAACAACGTTCTCTCGCGCGCGCACGTACCGGGGATACTTCCGTACCCGCGCGCAACGCTTGAGTATACCTTGCTTATTGTTAGCGATATATATAACCGACTGTGTTTGTAGCGTGCAAAGGTAGGATTATATGGTAGCGATATCTCTCAAATTTTAACATGTATACATATCACACGAACGGTTATTCGAGACTCGGTTTCAACGAGCGAGAAGACGAGTAAGACTTTGGTTGTTTTTGGGAGAGTGGGGAAGAGAAGAGAAGGCAGTTTCGTACAACACTGAAAATTTACTTCTCCCTCCTTTGAAATAAATTACATTCGAACGCAGTTGTTCCGATCGTGTGCGCGTTTCAGCACAGTTTTTCTTTTTTTTTTTTTTTCTTCAAAATCTTGCGATCGCGGCCGTGAAGCTTAGACGCGGAAGCAGGAGAGTCGTCTGTGTCTTTTCGCGGAACTCGATTTATGATGCGCGCGATCGCTCTTACTTTCGACGCATTCCTCATATCGGAATCATAAACCTGAATCGAATCGCAGAGTGTGCGTATCCGTGTGAATCAGCGTATCGAGTAATCGTGCGTAAACAAGCGCGCGAGTGTCCCGACGAGCTCATCGTGAAACTTTGCGTGCGATAAGCCCTGAATCTGTATGTGTAATATTCTCTTGAATGTTTCTCGCGTACATGAGTACGCGAATCTTGTTCTGTGTGTGTGGAGTTACAGGTATAATTAATTTCAATATACAATTATGACATAAATAAATGTAAAAAAAATGTACATTTAATTGCTATCGAATCGATTTTCATTACCGTATTAGCGTAACATTATTATACGCGGGTATCTGTGATTACATCATAATATAGATTTGATTCGGAACAAAATCATTTGTTTCAGTTTACTGATACACGCGTCGCTATTCATGTGATTTTGAATTCGTCGGTAGGAGATATATACAGTTCAAAATATAATTTACAACTTTGTTACACTTTTTTTGTTAAAATCTTTTTAAATTTTTATACCACACCCGCACGTATCCAAATTATATTTTTTATATATTTTCAAATAAGAAGAAAAACAAAATTTTTAACGCGACGCTGATTCGCTCGTCTGATTGTGCGTGAAAAACGCACAGGATAACGCGCCACGCGTTTCTAATTTAAAAAAACAATTAAAAACTGAGGAATGAGATCGGTATTTTTTTCTCCATTTAAGTCTCGCTCGTCTTCGTCGATTTTCATATTCGTTTCCAAGTACGGATGAAAAAACTAATATGTACATATACATCGTATCTCGACGTCGCCGTCTAGTTATCCTTGGGGACGCGTAAGACGAGCCGTGCCTTGTCATGGAGCATCGCTCTCTCGTAACGATAAAGTAAAACCGCACCGCTCATATCGACTTTCAACGTGTTCCGCCTACGTTACGATCGAGATATTATACTCTTCCTTCTTCTTTTCTCCCGCGGGAGTAAAAAGAGTTTTTGCCGGAACGATCTATCTCAATCGCGCGCGTATTGCAATTTTGATCCACGGATTAAAAATTCAACGAAGAGCCACGGATTTCTGTGGTAAAGATAGTTTTCTCGCGGTATATTCGAAGAACGCACTTTGATCTGCGCGAGCGCGTGTGTGTGTATGTATGTATGTATGTATGTGAGCGCGCACATACACGTGTTAAACAGATTGGCATGAAATTAGCTCCAGAGAGAGTCTAATAGATTTATTAAATTATTTAGTTTAATAGAGATTCTCTTGGCGAACGTGTTTAAATGAAGAGCCTGTAAAGAACAAACTTAAGATCTTCAATTCTCTCGCGTATGATGTAATCATTTGAAAATATTACTCTTTCTCTACAGGCTTTGTATTTAAATATTTTTGCTGAGCGCAATCGTTACAATTTGTTCTTTTTGGCTCGTTCTTGTTTATAGGTTCTATGAAAAAAAAAGTATACATTGTGTTCAAATAAGTATACAAGCGTAAGAGAGAGATACATCTAGTCTACGGAACGAATCCCCGGGTACATTTTTTCCATTAACGGACGATGGAATTTGGATAAATGTGTTTCACATAAATAAAAAAAGAAAACTCTCATAGACATTCCGGGGACTCACTTAAATATACAATCGCGAGAGAGGACTGTTATCTCTGTGACCTTTTGGTTCGAAGATTAATTAAACTTCTTTGTGGTGATTTTCCGACGAAAAGTCGGCGAACGAGAGACAAGAGAATCGCGTTAAACCTCGTTTTTCTCGAAGAGCGAAAAAAATAACAAACTTCGGTCACATGTCGACGACGGAGAACCAGAACGGCATCGCCGCGGCGAGCGCGCAGAGCAACGGCATCAAGACGTCGTCGTCGTCGTCGTCGGCGTCGTCCACCGCGTCGTCGGGCGTTTCGCCGTCTGGCGCGCGTCCTGTTACCGGCAACAACAGTAACTCGTCCTTCCTCTACAGCAGCAGCACGATGTTAAATCGCGAAAAGGTGCGGCAGGTGCCGCCGCCAACCTTGCCCAAGTACACGTCGAGTTTTAACGCGGGGTCGAACGGCGGCGGCGGCGGCGGCGGCACCGCCGAGCGGCTCACAAGGGAAACCGGCGGCAGCTACAGGCTCGCCAGCCTGGACAGACTCGCTCTGCGTCAGAGAATACTGGATGGAGAAAAGGCGAATGGCGAGCCCATCTCGGTAAGCTCCTCTCCTCTCGGTCGATCGCACGTACAAACGTGGTGTTGGGGGGAAGATCGAGGGATTTAAACCACCGTCGCTCTCGAATATAATATTCCGAACTGTTTTTCTCTCTCTACTTCTTTTTCTTCTCCGTCTTCTATTTATTACTCTCGGGGAAAAGTAGAAAAAACGCGCGGTTTAATATATGTTCGTTATAGCGCTTGGGTGCGATTCGACCGTGTTCGACCGAGAGATTTAAACGATTACTCTCGAAATATAATATTTTAAAGTGTTTTCTTTTTTCTTTGATGATTTTCTAAAAAAAGAAGAAAGTGGCAATATTTATTTTTCAACGCACGTGTTTGCGGGTAAAGTTCAGCACCCCACAAAAATGAATGTGCTGCGATTTTAAACTGCGATCAAATTGCCATTGATGAAGGTTAATAAGCGCCACGACGCATTGATTTGTAGTATACACAGTTAAGTAAATACAGTTGCATCTCTCTCTCTCTCTCTCAATGATGTACATATTTACGTACGTACACGCGAGCGCATTACTTTGTCGTTTCGCGGGCACGATATTTCACATGGATTTTCAATCGCGTAAATTGCGAGAGAGATTCCCGTTTGAGAGTCACTATATTGAGCTATTACGCGTGACGAAGAGAAGAGGCGCACGAGATCATCTCTTTTGCAATGTGCTTTTTCGGAACCATCGGAAGGGAGGTAGCAGCACGGGGGCCGAAGAGCGAGGGTGCGTTATAAGTCGAGGGTCTCACCCTCGAGTGTGCGAATCGAAAACTACTACACACTGTTTCGTGAGTCATGCAAAGATGAGAGAGATACACTGTTAGCGAGACTTACAGCTGCGTTGCTGACTCACTGTATTATTTGCTTAAATTGTGAGAAAAAGCTTGTATTAGTTGTTATCTCTCTCTCTCTCTCTCTCTCTGTTATTATTACTCATCCCGTTTGCTTGTTCATCTACGTCGTGTGTTTTGAAACGTAATTAAAAGAAAAAAACAGAATCTTTTCAAACGTAATTAAATGAAAGAAGTGAGATCTTTTCAAACAAGAACAAATTTCAGTTTATTTTGGTTTATTATCTGCACATGTACGAAATTCGTTCAAATTGAAAAAAAAAAAAAAAGAAAGACGTAAGTAATTTACAATTTTTTTTCGATTTGCACGCGTCGTTGCGATGCACGTGGTTGATGGTTTAAAATAAACGGAGACGTTCCCTTTTGTCGTGGCGTATTTTATCACGTACTAACTATTGATATGCAATAAGACACTGTCTACTTTTTGGAACAAGAGGAAGCCGGCAGCAATGCGGCTTTTTCGATGCGTGTGTCTTTGCTCTAGCGAGCGCGATGAGGAAAAATGTAACAAGGTACTCGAAAAAAGACAGATAATAAAAGTGTCATTGAAGCATCTCGACTGCTCGAGAAGGGAGCGTGGATGAGTTTTCGCGTACCTCGTGAGGATTAATCGTCCCGGCACGTTTGCAGAGAAGAAGAAATGACGACGATATTCGTCGTTTTTTCGATGTGTGTGAGAGAGAGAGAAAGAGGAGAGAGAGAGAGAGGAGAGAGAGAGAATGTACACACATTTGTACACGTTATGTACACATTTACTTGTGGGAGTTCGAACAATCGCGCCATTCAAGTCCACCGATATCCGAGGAGAAGTTATAAATTCTCCCTCTTCCGATCGCGAGAGAAGCACACAATCCGACTTTGTTCTTTATGAAATAACAATACTTTTTCGACGCCGAAAATATATTTCACGTCGCTTTACGTATTTTCTCACACGGTAGTTTTTAGTAAGTTTTTTTATTTTTTGAAGATTTAGAACAAAAAACTTTTTTACACCAAGTGTTCGTTGATATATTTCGTTTTGAAAAATAAATTATTTATCGCGACGCGAGCGTTCTAAAAATTGTGTGTGTAATAAAAACAAATTGTTCGCGATACATTTGTTACATCGATTTTCGCCTTTTGCGGAAAATACGCGTCTCTTCTCTCTCTCTCTCTCTCTCTCTCTCTCTCGCTCGTTTCGCGCATAATGAATCGAATCGTGCTACTCGATGGCCCAGATTTGCAGCGGCATCGAGCGTTTTATTCCCGTACAAGTGAGTTTGAATTCTTCATGAACTGCTGCCGACGCGCGCGACGAAGAGAAAGGGGATAAGAGATGATAATTGACGTAGATGATAAACAACAACGAACACAATGTGTTAGGCCGTAAACGAAGAGTTTAGAGCGCGCAGCGCGAATAAGGATACTAAATAAAATCTGTCTCTTTTCCGCTTCCGCGTCATTTGCGAGTTCGTTGAGCCGGAAAACTCACATCGCGGGTACTCTCGAGGCTCAAGAGCGAATTTGTGCCGCATTGTAACACGCGCACGATTTCATCTAATTATCATAAAATTTTCCGATATCGCAGCCGCGCATAAAATTCGGTACGAGCCTTTTAGCAAATTATTGCGTCAGCGGTTCAGATCGTTTGGAGAGGGTTAGAGAGTTTTATCGTTCGAGAAAAACCAGAGCAATTATTCGTTCGAATGCGCGTTGTAAAATGTAAAATGGCCCATTTCGAAAAGGACTCCGAAAAACCGGCCGGTCGATTATTATTATCGTTCAAAGGGTTAACAAACGCGAGCGCGCGATCAATACGCGATGGAATTAAATCCCACCGGTTGATAAAAAACAAAAAGAGAGGAGCGTACAAAAGAGGAGCCGATCGAATTTCGAATAGTCAGCGTTCTCTCGTATAATAAAGTTCGAAAAGGAAATTGCGAAAGAGAGAGAGAGAGTAGTAGAGAAAGTCATTCTTTTTTTTTTTTTTTTTTGCCACGGGAATTTTATGAGTATGCATTGCGGGCGATAATCCCGCATTCGTTTTAGTCGGGTAATCTCTCGAGTAATCCGCGCTCACGGATTCGAGAGATCCGCGTGAAGAGATTCTCGGCAACACGAGTTCCTCGAGAGGACGATTTCCCCGATGTGATATCTCGCATACATGTATTTTGTTCCGTATAAAGTAATGCTGTTTTTTTTTTTTTTTTTTTTTTTAATTAATTAAGATAAATGCCGCAGTATTCCAACATTTATTACAGAAATAATCAGCTGTGTAAATAAATAAAACAATTCTCGATGTTTTGAGCAATTTTTAAGATATGAATTTAAATATCAGTTTTCAACATGTGTGTGCATAAATATTTGATGATATAATTAATATTTGATGATACAATTAATTCCCTAATAAATGTCCGCGGTTTGTCAGTTCACTGGGACGCTTACCTTGCACACACAGATTATTTATGAAGAAAAATAAATATATTATCGGAACAATTTTGCAAATTATATGACGTGACCTAATGACGTGATATCATGTATCGTTTATTTAGGACGTTAAGCAAGTGTAGGTAGGTGTTAAGCTATCGCGTATCACAGTTTCGCTTCGGTATGTTCGCGGGTTTGTTCCCGTTTAATTAACACCGCTTACGTGCTCGAAATATTCATGCGCGTAATAACAATTGACGGAGTAATAGCGTGTCAAAAGTTTTTTTTTTTTTGGGTCGAGGAAAGTTGCACAAGTTTTCTCGTTCGTTCGATGCCGTTGTTGTATAACGCGCCAAGTATTTTATACGTAAAGAGAACTTAAAGAAAACATATATTTTACGTGTACTTGCGTACGTTACGTTTATTGCGCTCTCTTATAGCGAGCGCGCACAGACATATATATTTTCGATACTTTCGTCAGAAGAATCCGATGAAGGAAACCAAGCTCGTTCTCATCAGAATTCGATTTTCTCGCGCAAACATATTCCGCGCGCTACAAGGAATGTTCTGTAAAATAAAATCGCGCTCGTATTTTCTCTTCGGAAAAAAAACGAGAACAAGCGTGGTTTTCTGTTGCGCGAACACAAAGCGTCGGCCTTTAAGGGTGAAAGTTCATTTACCGGTGAGCAAGATGATGAAGCAGCGGAGCGGCAAAGATTCCGAGCTGACGAAGACCCGGAAGAAAATGAAAACGAAGGCAAGACGCAGATTTAACACACACACGCACACACATGACGGTACATGAATATATATGTATATATATATATATATATAAAATGCTTGCCCGGCTGCTATAATTGCAAGAGCAGCTTAGCGCGTCGGGGAAACACAAAAGCGTCGTTTGAAGCGCGCGATGTATTTTCCACGGAATCGATTTAATCGACTTCACCAACGACGATGACTCCGCTACTACGGTGGTGGTATTCTGGTCGTAGGTGGTGCTGGTGGTGGTCAACCTTGCCGAGAGAAAGAGAGAGAGTATTGACCTATGACAGGGGTTCCCAAAGCTTGGGAACTGAGAGTTAGGTCATGTGGAAAGAGGAGAAAAAAGAGGATACTACTTTGTAGGTCGTGCGAATCCACGAATGAAAAGATAATGACGAACGACAATTGGAACGATAATAACCCGGGAATAGAGCGCCGTATTTTGTGCGCGAATTCTATTTTGCGAAAAAGTTCAAAGCTTTCGTCTGGGGTTTTTACGAGGCGCTTAAATCGGAGAAGGGATTTTTAGTCCTTTTAATGGTATTACGATTGACCTCTCGAATGTTCCGTGATTTTTATCGACTCTCGATGCATTTCACGTGTCTTCGATTTCTCTCTCGTCACACATTTCGGAGAAAAATCTCTGTCTATTTTATTCCCGTCTCCGAGTGTTCATCTCGAATATTTGATCAATGTCTGAATTATTGTATAATGTTTTGTATTCCGTTTAAAAAAAAATGTATGTAACGCGCGCATTTCCTTTAACCTTTTTTCTTGTTTTATCTGCACGCGTTTCGTCAGGCTGTCGCTCTTATATGCACTCTAATGCGACGTAGAAGATAAAAAAAAAAAAAAAAATTTTAATAGAGACGAGAAACAGTCGTATACCTCTGTGAGTTTATGCTCTTCCGAGAGAAACGTTTTCGAGTGCAAAATTGTGTTCTCGTTCTTTTTTTTTGTTTTTTTGTTTTTTTGTTTCTTCTCTTTTCTCGCATGGTTTTTACAACACACGTATGATCTGCAGGCTACGTTTTCCAAAAGACTCGTCAGAGCGCGAACTTTTATATATTCCCACGCGCACACTCGGTCGAGTGTCTTTCCGCTCGCGGTCTCCGATACTCAGTGGACCGGTTTTTGTCGCTGCATCGGGAAGATACGGTACAGAGCGGGGCGCATTAACGGGTCTCCAGGATGCTGTCGCATCCCCGATAAATTTCTCTGTTTAACTCCGTTATAATTCTCTTTTTTTTGAAAAACAATTGTGTTCTCGTAAATAAATAAATGGTGTTTTTGCTTTTGTATCGTACGCGCGTAGATACAAAAAAACGAAAGAAAAATAAACATCCGAGTCGTATACATATATACGTTCGAAAATGTCTTTACGAAACTCGAATACCACCCAGACGTGCACCCGATTGTAAATATATATGTATGTACGATATCACTCAGTCGGTTCCCAGAGTCCGCTTTATAAACACAGGCGAGGTAGTACCAAGCGCCGTGGCACATTGGTATATAAACTCGCTGTTTGCGCCTCCCTCGGAAAACAGGCGAGTCCCAGAACGCGCACTGTGTCATCGTTTCTCGACGGCGGCAAAACAATAATCACGAATGGACGTTATATGCGGAGAAGTGGCTCTCGGAGTCGCTGTCCGGTCGCCCAACTTGCGAACGACATAAATCGATGATTGAACATGTCAATTTAATCACCCTTAATCCGACAAAAATGTGAGAAAATTGAGTTTTAAAATATTCTGTGCTAAAAAGCAGAATATTTATAGATCTCTCTGTACGCACAGACAGGTGACAATTTAATCCGAACAAAATTTTTTCGTACGATTGTTATTTATGTACTTGAAATTAATTATTAAGCAAGATTCATTAATTGCACACGCAATTAATGAATCTTGCAATTAGTAATTTTTTTTTTTTTTTTTTACCAGAAGTTTTACGCGCGAGAAATATGACTCTTCGTCAAGAGTACTCGGGGAGTTAAATTTAACTTCTTGTTACAACGTTTATTCTTGTCAGGATGGTATGATTAAATTTTTTCTTTTTTTTTTTTTTTTCTTTTTTAACTTGGATATAATATTGGTTACTCTACGTGAGTGAGATGTTTTTATTTCTTTCGGCTATTTCCGGCCGGAAATATTCACAAGACATTGCGGTGGCAGAAACCGCAAACTACTGTGCTGGCTGGCTGGCTGGCATGCAATATCGATCGCTTTTCAACGCGGCACGACGCGAGGCGATCTTGTCGCTCTTGCTTTTACACGCTAGTTTTTACATGTACCGCGCGGTAGTACGAACAGTCGTACGTAATGCATAAAATCGGTGCACTTACGCCGGAATCGACTTAATGTTTCCTGCGCAAAGTGACGCGAACTGGCAAGCCACACATAATGTTACACGCGTTTCTTCGTTCAGTCGTGAAGTCAAATAAAACATTTCGAGGATAAATCAAGTGAGCTGAAATCACTTGAGATTTAAGCAAATAGATCGTTATTCGAGAAGAAAATTAAATGACGCATTTTTCTGACATATAAAAAAATGTTCAGTAAGATCTCAAGTTATTGATTGAAAATACAAAGCTGTTATTTGATAAAACATTGAGTTATAAAAACGATCTTATTGCTTGTACGTTTATTTTAATTTTTACTACGTTTCTAAAAAAAACAGTCGTGCACATCTTTGTAAGTTAAACAGAAGAAGAGATTTGACGCGGTTCGGATTTAAAATTCCAATTTCGCGTCGGGGTTTGCACGTCCGATGAGAACGTGGTTGAATATGTATGTTCTTTTTCTTGCTGCGCAGATCCAGGCGAAGCGCGAATTGTTCTTCAAGGGCGACGGCGCGGGAATAATCTCTTCCTCACCCTCGGTGCCGTCGGTGCCGCCGCCGCAGCCGCCAACGCAGCCACCCGGTTCTCAAGTGAACAACTCGTCGTCGGCAACGGTGAACACCACACAAGCCAGTAATATCACATCGCCGAACGCGGCGCCGGCATATTCGAGCGGCGGCGTCTCGACGATACCCAACGCGAAACCGCGATTACCGCCCGCAGTGGCGACGCCGATCCCGAATGACGCCTCGGAGGACAGCAACAGGCGCGAGACCGCGCGAACCGCCGTTTCTTCTATCAAGGAAGACAGCAACAAGGAGGCCGCTCTGCTGCATCATGCGCGACCTACGCCACCAACGAAACCCAAGGAACTCGACGGCTACGTCGGTTTCGCGAATCTCCCGAACCAGGTGTACAGAAAAGCCGTGAAGAAGGGCTTCGAGTTCACGCTCATGGTTGTAGGTCGGTAATATGTAATGTGCGCAGAAAAATATATGCGAGCAAAATATATTTTTATTAAGTTTAATTATGTGTTAAAAGCAAAACACAGTAAAACGTTGAAGGAACCACCACGATGATCTGATAATTGACGACTCATTAAATTTCTCGCGAGACGTTTCGATCTCTTGTCACGTTTTTTATCTCGCGCGCGCTTTGTTTCGTACGAACAACATCGCGAGAGGGAATAACCGATAACATATAATTTCTCGCAACTCCGCAATGCGTCACTGACTGAGTCGAGTGCGTTCGCCGCCGAGAAACGCGATCCCGTTTTACGAGAGTAAGGCATTAAAATGTTCGTTATGCGACGGCGACGGAACAACAGTCGTCTGTCTTGCGCGAAAGCGCGACGAGTACGGTCCGAGGGTGGGACAAAGAGATCCGTTTCTTCGGCGGTGGCATTCCTACTTCGTCGGGAGTATCGTCCTAACGAAACCTCCCATATGGCGGCCACGTGCGTGTTTTCTCTCGCTCGATATTTCCTCGCAGCTGGATCAAGGCTGTCGTCGAGATATTCAGCGGTTCTCATGCACCGAGGACATTTCCCAGAACTCGCGCGCTCTTTACGAAGCGGCAATCCTCTTTGGCTGATGTGAAAAGCGTCGTAAATTGTTAATTGCCGCCCCTGTGCGCTTTAAATTGATTACATCCTATCTCTAAGTTTTCACTTAATAGAAGGAGCACCGTAATTGCTATTATTTCGCGTGTCCCATCTGTTTAATATCAAATATTTAAAAAATACTACTAAAAAAATAAACAATTCTCTAATAAATTAAAAAAAAAAAAAAAAAAAAAAAAAAAAAAAAAAAAAAAAATAGTATTATCAGCGACCGCAAAGCTGGTTTTAAGAATTCCACTAGTTGTTGTCGAGACGGAGAAGGAATTAAAAGAGCGCTGAATGATCAGTCACGCACGCATGCGTGAGTAAAAGAGTGTCATCGGGTCTGGAGAAATTTGAGAGCGCACAGTTAACTGCGTGAACGCGCGCGCGGGGGTTGCTATTATTAGACCATGTATAAACGCGGAGCCGTTCCTCCGTAAATAGAGCAATTCAAATGCTTACCCTTGGCTCGAGATGTAGGCGCGGTATTTTGCCTGGTTCAAGGTTCCTATATATATATTAAGAGGGTCGGTAGCTTTTGTCTCGTCCACATTTCGCTTTATTTTTCGTTTGTGTATAACCACTCCGCGTGTCTTCGAATTTATTCGACCGTGGATCTCACCAGACGCGAAATATATCCTAGAAACGTCGACTGTAAATATCCTTAACTGAAATTAATGATCGCGTTTCTCGTGAGAGATGTTAACGGTTACGATGTTATTTTATTTCGAGAATTGCTCGTCGCGTTTCGAATGAATTTAAGAGAAAGTAGTTTTTTTAGTACTTTTGCGCTGGAAAAAGAAATAATCTTCATCTCGTGCGCGCGAGAGATGAAGCACGTGTGTTACATGAAAAAATCATTTTTAGTTTTATTAATGTATTTTTGTTATTGAAACGTGTATTGAATATTACAGAAGAAAATATCTAATCGAATCTACTTTTTTCTTCTGATCATTTTTATTTATTCAAGATATTTTGTTCCAGCGTGTGATTGAAAAACTAAGTGTTTCGTATTACATTTGTTTTTGTAGGAGAGTCAGGACTTGGTAAGTCCACCTTAATCAATTCCATGTTTTTGGCGGACATATATAGCGCTGAATATCCCGGACCTAGCCATAGGATAAAGAAAACGGTCGCCGTGGAAACTAGCAAGGTGTTGCTGAAAGAAAACGGTGTTAATCTCACCCTTACGGTCGTCGATACCCCCGGTTTCGGCGACGCCGTCGACAACAGCAACTGGTAGTTACAACAAATACAAATAAATTAATTGAACACACACTCTCACGCGCGCTGTTGAATCTATTTTACGTTCATCAACTTTTGCATCTCTCTAATGGATTTGTTTTTAACAATTGTTTAACAATTTGTTTTAACATCATGCAGTTGGGTGCCGGTGATCGACTATATCGAATCGAAATATGAAGAATTCCTCAATGCGGAATCTCGCGTAACAAGACGGCAAATTGCGGACAGTCGAGTGCATTGCTGTCTCTACTTTATTGCGCCCTCCGGCCATGGATTGAAGCCGCTCGATGTGGAGTTTATGCAGCGTCTTCATGACAAAGTCAATATAGTACCCGTCATCGCTAAGGCAGACACTATGACGCCGGACGAGTGCGCGTACTTCAAAAAACAGGTACCAATTTGAAATATCGAATATCGATGTAAATAAAAAAGTTATGAAAGACGTTTTAACATTGTTATAAATTTTCAAAATTTTCTTCAATCTTAAAAAATAATAAAATAAATGTACAGTGGTGATAAAGAATAATAAACTAGAGTTTTTTTTGCATGTGTGTGTGTGTGTGTGTGTGTACATTGCAGCATTTAAATTATTATTTTGATCTTATACGTTGTTTCTTTTCTTTTTTTCAACCTGTTTTCCAGATCTTGAACGAGATCGCGCAACATAAAATAAAGATTTACGAGTTTCCGGAGGTCGAAGATGAGGAGGACAATAAACTCCACAAGTTACTAAGGGACAGAGTGCCATTTGCAGTTGTTGGAGCGAACACTATAGTCGAGTACGAAGGCAAGAAAGTTCGCGGCAGGAAGTATCCATGGGGAATAGCGGAAGGTAAATTTTGAGTTAAATTTTTAATTGAAAGTGCGTGGAAATCAGTGTTCTCGCGTAACTTTCTACAAAACTATAAGTGAGACTGTATATTCTTGTAATTCGTATTATATTTCCGTGTACAGTCGAAAAACTGGAGCACTGCGACTTCATAGCGCTCCGAAACATGGTGGTGAGGACTCACGTGCAAGACCTGAAAGATGTGACGAACAACGTGCACTATGAGAATTTCCGATGTCGTACCTTAGCCGGTCTGGGTGTGGACGGCAAGCCGACGAAAGCCTCGAATAAGTAAGTACGGTCGTGTCACTTGACACAATTTCTGTTTGATTATGTGGAAGAAATAATTATGTTAGAAAATACTTTTCCGAGAAATATATAGTTGTATTTTATTTTGTCAAAATAGACAAATCGGACATTTTAATTTTAACTAGCCAAACATACTATCTGTCTTCAATCAAGTTTAAATGTTTGTTATTATTATCAAGTGAGAAAAATCAATATTATTTCTAATGTTGTCTATGAAAAATATTGGGACAAAGGTATCTTCAGATAATTTCATCCAAAAATATGATTAAGTGGATATCACGATGTGATCTTTTTACTTGCAACAATCGTGTGTAACTTCCTATGGGCATAATGTCATCCAATTTATTACTTATACTCAGTGACGCGATATCAGTATTGCCGGATGCGTGTTAAAAGTGATGTGATGGCTGCTTATCTTCTTAAATCAACTTCAGGCGATATTACTGTCGCCCGCTTTGTCTATTTGAAATACGAGCAAGGTTATTTTGTTTCGTTGAGTTTAATTTGAGCACGCAGTGTGTCTCGGCGAGCACTCGACTATGTATGCGTGATGAGATGATTGTTTATTTCGTGCTTTAGTATTGATAAAACGTTTGATTCTTGCGAATCAATTGCGTATATATTGTTTCGAAGCGCTTATGACTTACGCAATGTGTGTTTTCGTCTTTTTTTGACAATTCTTCCATTTTAAAGACAAAAAAAAGAGAATTCAGAGAAAGGTTGTGCATGCAAACTGTCGAGAAGACTCTCCCAGTGATTCTCGCGTTTGAGAAGTATATATCGCAGCGTATGTCGATATCGCGAGCGAGATCTGTATCTGTAGATTAGACACGAGAGCGCTGCCGAGGGGGAAGAAAAAGGGCAGTCAACTTGACCCCTCGACAGCGTGTCGCCCGTGCAAATTTTAATGGTGAATTTCTTATTGGTCAGTTTGTGCCCACCAGGAGTGATGAACAGTTTCATGACAGTGTGGTAAGTCCTTTAATAAGGCTCAGAAGGATGTATTATGGTTTTGTGTGCACAAGCCTTGTCAAGTTTCGCGATTTTTCGATACGGGAGAACTCACTGCCGCACCAAGCAGTTCACACTCAAGAGTGCATAAGAGAAATCTAACAACGGCTTGATAGAAGAACTGTTTCTGACTATAACATCAAATTAGATACAATATTTTTGTTTATTTTTACATATGTATATGTTACAATTGATAAAAAAAAGAATTTCGCAAGTGAGATCTCCTAATAAATATTCAAACAAATTGTAAGCTGATTAGATAGAAAATTTGTATGTAGAAATTTCAATGTTTTACATTTTGAATGTAATATTCCCCAGTCTAGATCTGTTTGTCGCCTTTATAGTTACGCTTTAGTCTCGCATTAGTTTGTAATAACAAATCCCTAAGACGAGAATCCTGTATTTAGTTACATTCTTTATCTTTGTAAATACATACATGTATAGTAATCTTAAATATATAGATTTTATAATATAGTATAGTACATCGATTATACTGATTAGATAAGTATTGAAGGCGCCTAAATGTCAATACATAAGCGTCGCTACGTTTCTATTCCGAGTGATACAAATTTTATTATCTCACATGTTTTTAGGAATCCATTGGCGCAGTTGGAAGAAGAAAAGCGCGAACATGATAACAAAATGAAGAAAATGGAAACGGAAATGGAGCAAGTCTTCGAAATGAAAGTTCGCGAGAAGAGACAGAAACTGAAAGATTCTGAAGCGGATGTAAGTAAGTTGCTGCTACAGTAGGGAGCACCATATCGTGCGGCTCCAGGGGAAGTATTTTTCGGAAATTTTTGTTCTAGCTGCTCCTATTACCGCGCGCTGCTGCTCTCCTTCGATCTCGGGCTGCTGGCAGAGACCGAAGGAGAACGACGCGCGATAGTAGAAGCAGTCAAAGAAATTCCCGAAAAATACTTCTTCTGGAGCTGCACGATATGGTGCTTCCTACTGTACCAGTTTTTTGTTTATTTTACGATCGTTCCATTGATTTTAAAACTTTACAAAACAAGTTGCTTCATTATTTTTAGAAATATATAAACGGTTAGATAACGGTTAATAACCGATTAGAATCAATCAAAGAAGAAAAACTGATTTTTAATTGTGATAGTTTAACTCTTTACATTCCGAGAATTGTGATGCAAATTACGCGTGTGGCTAAGCAACATTAAATGGAGTGTAAAGAGTTAAAATACGATTGGCATCTTTTTCATTGTAAATATACATGTGTGGGAAATTTGAAAACAGTTACAGAGGAGGCACGAACAGATGCGACGGTCTTTAGAGCAGCAGGTGCGTGAGCTGGAGGAAAAGAGACGGGCGTTCGAAGCGGAGAAGACCGCTTGGGAGCAACAAACTGGCCACAGTATTGAAGAATTGCGTAGGCGTAGTTTAGAAGCCAATTCAAAAGAGTAAGTAACTTGCCAGTAAAACAAGAGAAACATTGCGTTTATGTACGTTTATGATAGTTGATTTTTATTGTTGCACTCTCAGACGTTTATTTATTTCTCTATATTTTTTGTGTTTTAAAAAGGATATATCGTTGTTTCTCGCACAAATAAGTTAAATAAAATACGATTTTCAGTAAAAAAAAAAAAAAATGTATTTTATTTAACTTTGTTAGGTAATTCTTTATTTAAAAAAAAAAAAAAAAACTAACACAATTACAAACTGTTACGTAGTAATCTCGAGGCTTGGTTACTGGTGGTTGAATATAGCTCTCGGAGTTGTTTAGAAATCTAGTTTGATAATGGAAAAAGATTCGGTGTAGTTACAGGCTGGTTCAGCTTGATAGCTTCTTTTTTTTTTGTACACTGTTGTGTCACTGTCGTAACTTTTCTCTTTACAAAAGACACGTCGAAAGTGAAAACAATTTTTCAACAAGTTTCCTATTTTTTTTTATTGTGGAAGTTATTGGAATTTGTGGAATTGTATTATGGAATTATTAATTTACGATTCAGTGAGAATAAAACAAAATATAGTGAGAATATAAACAATGACAAACAATGTGAAACATAAACTGACAAAGTGATTTGTTTGCTTTTTATTCTCACAAGCAAATTTAAAAAGAAACTTTCTCTCTTTGAAATACTGAAACTGATTGTAAAATTCGTTTAAAAAATTCTTTAAAAAAAAAAAAAAAAAAGATACAAAGAGACTACGATATTGATACACGTTGTACTTATATGGATATCGCTCTCGCTATTACTTCGTAGCCGCTATGTGTTTAGATTTTGATGTGTAATATATTTTATATAGTTGTTCGCATCGCAATATATTCTATTCACGCTTGATATTTACGATCCTTCACCAATGCCAATTATCTCACGAAGCTTGCATTATTAACAATTAATTAAATAATCTTGTTATATCAGCTCTATTTTAAAAGTAACAATCGAAATTTTGCATTTTGTAATGTTCACGTGATATTCACATATATGTTACATATTACGATTTTCATTTACACTTTTTCATCGTATTTAGCGCTGAACAAAGCTGTCTACTCGTGATATACAGTGAAAGATATTCCGTTGTATAATTATTGCAGATTACTAAACTAAAATACATCAGTATATTAAAATGTTAATATATTAAAATATATCAGTATGTTAAAGTATCAGTATATTAAAATATATCAATGTATTAACATATACTAATATATTAAAATATATTAACTAGAATATGCATTATACATACATTAATATTTGGCATATGTTTGTTATTTGATTAAGACACATTCGAGCAATATAAATACATCCAAAAAACATAGTTTTGAAGTTTGCGTTTTCTTGTATCTTGCGCGTGAGATCAGACAGCTGAACATTTAGCGCTAAACGCGATTTATTACATTAGTTTTCGAAAAAAATTTCCAAAACAAAATGCTTTCTGCAAAGTACGCTGGCGGTTTTGTATAGGACACACTGTTAATATCTTGTTGATTCACAAGTCAATCACTCTCGAGCACACGAGCACGAATTTTTTTTTGAAATTCAAGAGATCGCGATCGCGCGTTATTTTTTTTTTCTATTTATCACACGCGTGCGAGCTTCCGTTTACGGACAACCGTACGCTCACAAAGAAAACAAACGAAATCCGGCTTGTTTGTCTTGTGTGTATACCATATCGGGGTGTCCTCCTGATCTAGGACGGGATCGATGTCCTCCGAGGGATCTGGAGGCGGCGGGGGTACGTTAAGAGGGTCCCGAGGGATAGGCAGCCTCCTTCGCCGTCATACCAGTTTCAAATCACCTCAAGACAGCCCCGCACAGATACAACTTGTCATACAACATCCTGAGCACTCCTAATATAAACGATTCCGTCTCCCAGAACCAACCGCGTTTTGCGCGCTTGATTCGTTCCGAGCATCTTCGTGCGGACCTCTTCCACGCACACACTCCACCCTTATCCGGCTACGATATAATCTTTTTTCTGATGCGATACAGAAAGAAAACAGGTTTTTTAGCAATATGATGAGTCACATACAATGAAAATTGGCAAAAAATGAAAATCAAAATATTTTGTATCAGTCTTAGAAGCACAATCAAAATAGTAGAAATAAATAATGCGATTTCTTGTTTAAAAACAATATGTAGAAATATGTAATTGCTCGAATAAGGGTTGAGGAGAATCGTTTTATTAACGAGGGATGTAAGTACTGGCTATCTGAACAATAATCGTATTCTTATTTCGGTAATAAATCTAATGATAAAATTGACGTTCGCCTTGTCAATAGTAACTATATGAAAATCAAATTCACGCAGTTTTGATTGGATATTTCTTTTTCAAATTCTCTGCCGTTACGGCGACATCCTTTTAAAATCTGTTGAAAGATTTTAGTTTGTAGATTTAGTTTTGGATTTAATACATAATTATATTTAAAAAAAAAAAGTAACTTTAAGTTACCTTTTTTTGCGAAATCTGGATTTGAAATACTCATTGTCGTGGCAGGCAGCATTTACTTCACCTCGACATATGTGCGTGCACTCGTTAGATTCGATACATATCGTAATCCAAAGCAAAAATGTACATTTTTAACAAAAATGTTCGTAAGCCATTACGTGAAGACATGTGCGACACATACGTAAGACGTTCACTAAATGTAAAACGCGTTTTTAAAGTGGATTTCTTTGCTGTTTCGTATTCGACCTTCTCGTGTTTATTTCACGCTTTTTGCGCTTTCTCATATTTTTATAGTATAAAAATATGAATAAAAAAATTGAGAAAAAATAGAGAACGTTGCGGAAAATGTAGAAATCGATGGTATGCTTTTTTCTTTGTCACACGGTTGATGTTTTATTCAATTTTTATATCGGCTATTTAATCAGTGTTGTATTTACAGAATCAGTTTTTAGTACGTTCATCCGAATTCAAGATTGGAATATCTTTATTTGTCGCGAAAGTGACATCACTCGGTGACATTTATATCTGTTTATTTAACAAGTTGTTTGAGAGAAAAGATTGAAACAGAATCGTCGCGAGAAAGAAATTTTTTGACGTGAACGATACAAAAATTCCAAGACTCTAAATACTTGTTATGATAAATTCTATCTGTGAAATTGCGTCACGCGATACGAGTTCGGTTTTTACGTTTTCCGGGACTCTCTCCGTCTCAACAACAATTGCGTAATTCGCTCGTTGTGACGTTGGACGTCTCGCGTTACACGGTAAAATTATGTATACATCGTACACGAACGGTTATAAATCGTTACTCATTTTTTTCTCTTTTTATAAACACAAGTGTCACATATTTCTTTTCGTGTTACATGGTTTTTACCGTATGTTTTCATTACACTCGAACTCGTAACGTCTTAGTTTACATTGCGATAACTTACAGTCAGACATTTTAAGAATAGTGAACGACACACCAAACACATATAGTAGTACAATGTATACGACGTATTTTTGGCACAAACTTTGATAAACCTTTAAAAACCACGTACATGTGTAACAGAAAAAAACAAAAAAAAGATGCGAAGTTCATTCGCTCGATCTCGTGTAATTTTTCGTGTCTGTTTTGTACAACACTTGTGTTACCGAACATACACGTGTTGTTGAACATGCACTCTTTGATCCTTTACCGCATTGTGTAAGTCATAATCAGCCCTGCTTTTTCCACTGATAAAATACTGCAGTCCAACTCTCATAGGTACTAAAATCACATGTGTTCATCTTCGATCATGTATTTATATGTATTTTTGTACACATCGAAAACGCTGCAAATGTTTGAATGTTATTCTCGAGCATTGATGTTAGCATAAAGTTGTAGCTTATCGTTATCTGTTGGACAAAGTTGTGCGCATTTTGATACGTTGTCTCTTTTTGTTTTTTGTTTTTTTTTTTTTTTTTGTTTTTTTTTTTTTTTTTTTTTTTTTTTTTTTTTTTACATACAACCAAGAGAAAAAATCTTAAAACACTGTTTTTTCCATTAAAATAGCTCTTGCAGAAAATCGATGTTTCTTATTGCTTGTCATTTTTATTGGAATAATAATAAATATTGAGTAGAAACAAAAAAACACACTATGCGGTAAAGGAATCGAATAATATAACGATATATCTTGCGCGTTTTGTAAAATCAAGCCATTGTAAACTCTAAGCAAGCTGTCAGCGTCGCACGTTTGATTTACAGATCTGTTTTTATTTAATATTACTCGCGATAATACTAAATTAGAAAAAAAAATTACATACATTTTAACAAAATTGCTTGCCTAAACATGACTGGACAGTATGTTAAGATAATTGCAATGAATTTTTTGTGTTGCGGAGATTTATTTAAAACAAGAAAAAAAAAACAATAAAGACAGCTTGGTAGAGGATATATATATATATATATATGTGAAATATATACATATATACAGGGTGTTCCAGAATTGGTGTAACATCTCTCGTAGACAGGTAGAAGGAGTAAAACTGAGTCGATAAGTCCTATATCATTTTGCTAGATTCGCAATAGTTACCGAGATTTTAATTAACAAAGATCCGCGAATAAGCGTGCATCGGGCTGTCTTACGCGCGTAGGACAATCCGGCGCGCTTCGCACAATTACATTTTAATACGTATATGTTATAGTATATGCTGTTATATTAGTTCCTCTTATATGTCGCTATGGGTAACACCGTTAGCGCGCGAAGCGCACTGGGCTGTCTTACGCGCGTATGCGTATTTGCTGATCTTTGTTAATTAAGATCTCGGTAATTATTGCGAATCTAGCAAAATGGTATAGGACATTTTGACTCAGTTTTACTCCTTCTATTTGTTCACGAGAGATGTTACACCAATTCTGGGACACCCTGTATATGTGAGAGATATGTATATACGATATATGTATGATATATGTATATATATACATACATATGTACATACATTTATACGTATATATGTAAATATATACATATATATACATATATATACGTATATGACCGCCTATTACTAATTAATAATTATTTACTATTAATAATCATTCGCAAGTGGATTATATACATTGTTAATTTTATGATCAAATCTCTTTTTGCAAATAAACGCAATGCTTACTTAATACAGTTACTAACCATTTTTTATTGCAATTTTCTTAGCTTATATGTGTATTTGGATCGTTTACGAGGCGACGAGGAAAAGCTGTGTGTCGTTAGAAAGAGTTTAGATATAAAGGAATTTATATAAACGAAACTGTGGAGAAATATTTTATTAAAATGTGAAGGTTTTTTATCGAAAGTATCAACACTACTTTGCCTCATCGCAGTTTATCTTGTATTGTGGTTTGCTACAGGTATCTAGTTTTGTACGTATCGTTTTATCACGCATATTGTCATTTTAAATATTGAATATTTTGTGTCAGTTTTATTTCTTTCCCCCATCTCTCTTTCAGTTTCTCAATTTTACAATATGTATGTTACAATACATATGTATATTGTTTTTTTCCTTTTCTCTTTTTTTCTTCTAAAATGAGTCTCATGTTAAAGTGACGATATGTGTGTTTAACATGTTTATACGTATCTATATAAAATCGCAGATAGCACAAATATAAAAATGGTGGAGAGTGCTTTGCTACATTACGTAAATATTGGAGAATTATATACGAATATTGAGAAAATAATTTTCAAGCGGTGATTTTATTATTTGTTCGAAGACATTGAAAACACAAAAACAGATAACATATTCGAGCTATAGAACTACAAAGGAAATACAAAGTAACATGTAACCATAATTTCCAGGTATACATGAGAATAGCATGTTTTATTCCTTACCCGCGAGTGAAGAATGGATATAAAGCATGGTTTTAGGCATGCATAGATTTTTTACTTGCAAAACATTTATTTTGCGCAGCAACACAGAAGGCAGTACACATAACTTTGTACTGCCGACGGCAGTACACATAACTTTGCATAACGATATGTAAAAACGTAATATCGCTTTAGGTGTTTTATCTTCGACGCTTTTATACAAATTTCTCTCTTTCTTTCTCTACGATATGAGCATATATCGAAGCAACATGTTGATAAGGGGTTTCTGGATATTTAATCAATTCGTACTGTTCCCAGAAGCCTTGCGCAAACTAAGATTTCATTCATCTCACTCAGAATTTGTAGACGTAAAGTGTTGATCATCACGCGCACGTCAAAGAAGAGAAAACAGAAAATAATCACGTGTATCTTACATCGTTTATTATTAGATATGTTATATGCGCGACGCAAACACTACATAGTCCGGCTGCTTGATGTTTAAAATTCTCCTTTCAGGACTGTCGACGGTAAAGACAAGAAGAATAAGAAGAAAAATTTCTTTTCTAATTGAATCGATCGAGACGAGAGATGGCGGGGAAAAAGCCGCCGCTGCCGGCAACGCTATTGATGACTCACACACCACATTAGATAGTTTCGATAAAAACAATAATAGGCTCGATTCGCGCGTGATATACACACACAGGGGATCTGTAATTCGAAGAGGAGGAAACTGTGTTCCGAGTTTTGTTTTCTTTTTTTTTTTTTTTTATATGTTTTCGATCGAAAAAACTGACGAAACCCTCATCGTTCTCATTAAATGGAGATACTGGGAGAAACAACTATACGGATTCTGCGAAACAGTATTCGGGAGAGACGAAGATAACATACCTTTATAGTATTCGTGTGTGCGTCGGTTCGAGGAAACCGAGTTTATTAAAGATGAAATAATTAGTATTAGCTGGAAAGAATTTTTTTTTTTTTTTTTGTAAATTCGTAGCGACGTGTGAAGATATCGTCGAATTTTAGCAATCAGTGGAGCAAAAAGATTTCTGCTGGATTTCGGAAAACAGAATTTACAGAGAATCGGATGTCTGCGAGGACGAGGGAGATCAAGAATTGCGTCAAGAATCAATCTAATCGAAGGCCTACAACACTCGAGATCTCAAAGAAGCGAAGTCTTGCGAATTTAAGTATTAATAGTACGTACAACAAAATACACTGAGGTAATAATTCATGGAGCAAAAACAAAAAACAAACAAAAAAATGAAGAATCCGATAATCCAGCAAAGATCTTTGAAACCAATGCTTTGCCGTTTTATTCATTTTTTGATGACCACCCGTGGTTTGCACGCCAATAGATCCACCGATTCAAGAGCCGCACAAGCTTGACTTGCGAACTCATCTGTGCGTGTAGATATTTAGTGGTGAGAATTTCTTGCCGATATAGAAATCGTCTTGAGTTGCATTTAGGTTTGCGTGTTTTTATATCGACGAGTATAATTGTGGTTTGTTTGTCACGTATATTTCTATTGTGAAGCTATTAAGAGGGTACTGAAGTCGCCTATATATTATCGTGACTATTATCGACACAAGTGACACTAATCATCGAACATCGTTAAAGAAACAAGAACAGACGTATGTACGGAGAGATTATATTAAATCTTTTTTCTGGCTTTTAAATTTATATTCTCGTTACGTTCTTGGATGTTATATTTCTATCTCTGTCTATTCTTTTTTATATATTAATTCTTGACCGTAAAAAAATCGAGATAACTGCAAACAATTGCTTAATTTTGAGAAAATTGAAACTTGACAGAGATATTTCTTCGATTATTTTCTTTTATTTTCTGGAAAATCGTTCATCTGTCTGAGCAGTAAATGCAAAAATAAGTATAAATTACTAGCTGCTTGTTTGATTATAGCAGAAAACGAATTCGGTACTCTCTTAATAAGAAGAGCGTGAAGATAAGAAGAGAAAGAGTGTATATTCTCTCCCGTGACGATTGAGTGTTTTCGCTGCTAGCATTTGAAGTTATCAAAAAAAAAAAAACAAAAAAAAAACAAAAAAAAACAAAAGAGAGAAAAGAAAGGAACAAGCACAGAGGGATAGTTTTTCGACGCTCATCATTGTTCAATATATCTTAATCGTCCCCATTTACTTACGACGATAACTGTACAAAAAAAAAGACACAACAGGTAGGTATAATTTTTTGAAGGACGTAATTTTCGTACTTTTTCTCGGCGTATAAGCTAGCTCTATTTAAATTTGTGTATCTTTCTGTATAACAAGAGAGAGAAAGAGAGAGATCATGTTCACCGACCTCCGCTAATCGTATTTACGTCTGCGCCATCGACCATCATATCAGTATCTTATGAAGTTAATGGGATACGCGCGATACGCGCTTCGCGCTCGAATACAGACAAAAAAAAAAAAAAGGAGATTGCGAATAGTGTAATCGTGTCGCGGAGGGCGGTCGAACACGGTATCGCACAAAGAGGCCATATATATTATATACATATATAAATATATTTATGTATAAAAGTAAAAACGATTATATATATATATATACATATATATGAAGCGTAAGTCTCTAATTCATGTACATGTATATGTTAACTGCGCCTCGCAACGGATGCGAGAAATCGATTGCAAAATGGAATACAGAAATCATTGTATAAAATAATAATAATAATAATAAACTTAGATATGTGTGTTAGACTAAGCACAGTTCGAGACGGGGTGCGCTTTATTCCCTTCCTTTTTTTTTTTTTTTTTTAGCAAAAAGTTATTTGAAGCTGTTGTTTTATTGCGTCTATATTATCTGCTGCCTCGTGTTCAACAACTAGATGTAATTACGTATGAGGGCACCTTGTTTTCGAATTTTTCATGATGCTGATATTAGACAAAACAAATAAACACATCGATATCTCTTTATATATTATCTTTTTAGATATTCTGTTGGGAAATAGCGTGACAATTGACAAGCAATTTAATGTCTGTGGTTGCGTTTGAGGAGCGCGTTTTATCAGCTATTGCTGTTATTCTATCTTTGTTTTTATCTAATGAGCGATAAAGATAGAGTGATGAAATAGATAGCGCGATCTCCGAACGTAGCCTATATATATATATATATATATATATATATATATATATATATATATATATATATATATATATATATGTATATATACATATATATCTATATATTATATAATATGCAAAATTGTTATATTCGAATCGACGCGCGCCGTCTCGAACCCGCCGTGTCCCGCGTCAATATGTTTAGAAACTAAGTAAGCTAATACAACAAAGTTACTTCTGTGCCAAGATGAGCGAGAAAAAAACAATGAAGCACTTGCTGTAACAAGCGATCTCTTCGTTCGTTATGAAGAGAGTCACGCACACAACATTCTTCCCAAAAAAGATTCCTCGGACTCGGGTCGAAAGATCGGGAGAAATATACTTTGTTCTCTCTCTCTCATTTGTTTGCTTTTTATATTTTCTTATTTTATACTATGCCTTTTGTATTCTACGAATTTATCGTTGTGTCATGTTGGGTAGTAAAAAAAGGTAAAATAATAACGCAAAAAAAAATTAAAAGACATATTTATTTAAGAGAACGCGACGTCGAATATAAATGTTCGATATAAATGTTCGACGGATTTATTAATTTTTATTTGTGACAAATTTATTTTGTCTCAGTATGTTTCTCCCGTTTCTTTCGTCTCACGGGAGTGGCACATTCCTATTTTGTACGCATCTTTCTAAATAGGCTCGCCGGCTCGAGCGTACGCCGTGTTTCGCTATGTACGTAAAAGTACGAATAGCTTTATCTCTTCTTCGTGCTCAGCATGTACGCCGAATATCGAAGATGAAAGAATTGAGCAGTCGAACGTTTAACGGGAATCTTACTTAGAGATTCTAGTTCCGAAAGACGTCCGCGCAAATGCTCAAGAAACGTGTAAAGAACAATGTGTGAAAAAAAAAAAAAAAAAAAATCACATCTTTATAGTGTCTTTTGGATATTTGTATGAATTTGGATATTGTCTTTTGGATATACTTGATCGAAGTGTTAAAACACGCAGTTAAAAGTATCTAAGGACCCGTGGTACCTTCAATTTTTATGACAAATTCAAGAAAAATGCGAAAATCTTCTTCGGGAGATTAGTATTCCAGATGCGGATGTACGCGCGCGCGCGCGCGAGAATCCTGTAATATTCCGAGTGAACAATTCAAGTATCTGAAAATGTCGCGCGGATCGAAAGACTATAGCTGCAAGGATCGATAAGTGATGAGAAACAGAAAGGCCAGATTCTTCTTCGCACGCATCTTCCTGAGATATTTTATATATCGTCAAGCTGCACGTAAATGATAAGATATTGTCTCAAATCAATCACGATCGAACGAATTTGTGTAGTACATGTACGACGGATAAATTTAATGAATATATATGTATATATGAGGATATATATTATAGTTTTTTTTGAAATTGTTCTAACTGCACACAAATCATTGAATCGAGTCAGAATCGTGAATCGTCTTTTAAGAGAAATTCAACGCGCTATTGTTCATAGCGGAGCAATAATAATAATACGCGTAGCACACATCAAGTGAGAATTAAATGAATTACGTGTAATACTGAGAAAATTTTTTTAATATGATTAAATTTTACAGAAATTAAAATAATTTATACACGCGCGTTTTTTTCAATTATATATGTGTATATATATATATATATCAATTTTATTTTTGTATGACAATTTTCTTTGATATATCAATCGGATATATACGTATATGTATATATATATATTCATACTGGAACTAGCTAGGATATATATGTATGAGGGAAAGGAATGTATGTGTGTATGTACATACGCGCGCATACATACATGTAACATCTTCGCTTCGCACATACTTGCGCGAATCGCAAACGCACTCAATTGTACTTAATTGTAGCGTAAAATAATTGTCTAATCGATTTCTTTCTTTTTTTGCAAATCATCGGAAGAGGACATCAAAGTTGGACGAAAGGGATCTAATTCACGTCGCATTTAATAAAAGGCCAGAAATGCCGAACGGTGTTACCAATAATTATGTGTATTTCTATGGACGATGCTTGTAATACAATTTTAAATGGTTATATTTGTAGGATCATTTAAAGTGACCACTTAAGTATGAGATAAAATCTGGATAATCGATGTGATTACGTTTAGAGATGAAAAATTGAAAGGACGAGACGAAACAAAAGTAAATGAACGGAGCGGATAACGAAATAACGGAGGACGCAAGAAGGATATATAGATAGACGAAAACAAATTATATATATTTTACCGTGCCAGAAAACGAAAACGAAGCTGCCGATGCCGCCGCTAATTGTAGACTAGTTGTAATAACGACTCACTATTGTATCGCAAGCACTTTTAGATTAAGTATGTATTCTCCAGTAAATTATGTATAAAATCATATAACGGGTGTCCCTGTGATCAACCCAACAACAGGTGTTTTTGCTCTTCCGAACATGCCTCTCCTCAATGATTCCATTACGTGATATTACTTAAAAAATACATATGCGTACATATACATGCGATAAGCTGATCATTAAGACTTTTACAAAGAAAAATATAAAAGATTTTTTAATAGTTCTGAGTTATTTTTGTGAACACGAAAATAATATTGATGAGACTTTTTTATAGGAAGGAGAGAGGTATTTCGTAATTACATATTATCTCAAGATAAAAGTTTGATCTTGTTTTTACTCTAATATAATTTTAGTATAAAGAGATCACATTCATACGCACACATATTATAGATGTTTTGATAAGTCATAACGTAATACGAGTAAATAAAATTTTCCAGCACAATTAAAACAGAGAAAAAAACTTCAAATTGATCTTTTTTATAGCAATAACGTTTATTGGATACCAATAGCATTAAAAAATAATAAATGCATAGCATTAGTATTTTATTTTTTATTTTTGCAGTTTTTGTTTTTTTTTTGTTTTGTTTTTTTCTTTTAAGTAGAATATGTAAATAAAATCTGAAGTCATATATATGTACATTCTTAATTGAATTTGAATCAACAGTTTCTAGGTTTTATGAATCGCGCACCGATCTCACATGATCGGAGTAGACGTATACGTTCTAGAAATTCTTTCTTGCGACCTAGTTTTACTTATTTCTTAACACGCTTTTAACGGAAATCGCGAGGAGGAATGACAGTGCGTAACGGAAATTGGAAAGTGATGACGCATTAAATATTTATTTACATATCTTATTTGCGTGTTCTCCGACTCCGCACGTATTCTCTACGATTCCGTGTTGTCCAATGGCGAGCCAAGTTCCTTATCTACATATCTATTGTTCAGTTTGACTTGTTTATCGATGTTTATTTTTGTTTTTATATAAAAAACATGTATAAGGTACGAGAAGATATTAATATACATGTGGTTTGTGTAATACAAAGATGAATATTAATTTATTATCATACATATACAATGTATTATATGTGTGTGCAAAAAAAATAAATATCAAAGATACACACACGTGTAATTAAAAATAATTGTTTTTAAATCAAAAGTTACTTCAAATTTAATTTTAAACAATTTCAAATTTGTCTTTTCAATGTTTAACACGTAGAACAATCAGAGTTGAATATATCTTAATAATTTCTGAAATTTAAAATACAAAATCTGAAATCCATCATTTTGACGAGTTTGGTTGTTCTACGTTTCAATCTACATATTGAATCATGTCAGATACATAATGTCAGAAATAAAAGTCGTATCGTATTCGGATATTGCTGTTAATTTGAATTTATGTCAATCAAAGACTGACTGAGATTACGAATTTGCATTGTTAAATTAATATAAATTTTTATCACACACTTTTTAGTCATAATTATATACATTTATTTAATCTATTTTTTTTTTCAGCGCGGAGGTTTCAGGAAGTTTTACTATCGGTCAATTTATTGATGACCTTTAAGAATTTATAAAATCAACTATATTTACTTCGGTTTGTGCTAATCGTCTTTTTGTATACTCTTTAAGTACAGCGTTGGTGAGGAAAAACTTTATTTCTCGACACACATTTGTCATGAATCCCAGAGTTCCGACTCATTTTTAGTACGTATTAATTTTTTGAACTCGATAACTTTTTGCTTTAATAATAACCGTTTTGTCGTATTAACTTTTTGCGTAAGCACGCAAAAAATTGGGACAACACAAGTTGAATATTTCGAAACATTTGTTACTTTCAGTAAATAAATAAATGTTACATATATATACAAATAAAACCGCGTTGGCTCCACTGTCAAATTTTTATTTAATTTAAATATTTTTGAGATATGGTTTAATTAATAAATGCTTCATATTGCGAATCATAACGCACATGTGTATGTGTGCGAGGCACTACTTCTCAATACAGATATAATAATTATTTCACTTTTTGTTATATACGTATGTATATACATGAGTTTTTTCTTGCTCTTTTACATATCTCTTATTTCTTGTTAACTATTATATATGCAAGATACAAAAAAATAAATGCGTGTGTCGTGTGCAAAGCAGACGCACGCTTTATGGCTAACATCAATCAATACATAACAATTAAAAAAAATGTATTCAAGACAGTTTCTCTTAAATAAATATAAATTTCTCTTGAATAATGTATATATATATATACACACACACACACAAACTTGATATCCAATCCGACCTTTGTATTTGACGCAAACGGTTGGTTGTATTGTTTTGTCATCTCTCTTTCCAAATAGAAGAACAAAAAATGTATACAAAAACAACTGCTCAAAATTTGACTTTAAACAAATAAATATTGCAAATACACAAATACTTCTAATGGAAATTGTATCTTGTAGAGGCAATACTTTTAGCGCTGTTTTCGAACTTAATGATTCAATGACCCGATCAAGATCAAATATACACAAGAGTTATTGACTATAAAAGAGAATAAAACATTTGTCTGTGATCTTATCTATCACTATATTGCACTGCTATACTTATTCTATTGTGTTGTTACTTACAAAAAAATATTCGACATAGTCATCTGAAACATTGTTATGCAAATGCATATTGCATAATATATAGCAAGTCTACAGCAAAACATCGGAAATGTAGCTAATTCTAATGCACACCATCTCGGTTCGTGTGGTCTCAATATGCAGCACTATGAACTTTGTCCTCTTCTTTTTCTCCACGTATTATTTCCCCTTCTCTCCTTCGTCGATTCCCTCGCGCTCCTCACCCTCTATCGCGCGGTACTAATAATACGGCGTCGCGTAAGAAGGGGATCCCGACCGAAAGGCATTCCTCGTCAGTGAGAGCGCGCGACTCGCATTATCGGCGTCGTGCGGCAAAGGACGGACCACCGCGTGAAACGCGGATAGAGAGACGAGGAGCGATTTAATGAGCGAGCGGCCAACTTAACTGAATTTAACAGAGAGACGAGACTAGAGCAAGCTTTGAGGTACGCGATTGAAAGTCGCATAAGCATCGCTTGGCGCGACGATCAGAATTTTTACCAAGCCGAGCGCGCGAACACGGAGGGAGCCTAGTTTCACTTCTAACCTGAATTCGACACGGCGTGCGCGTGTCCATGTGTATTACTTTGATATCTATCACCTGCATCGCCGACGAAGATCCACGCAAAAGTATATTTGAAGATATCGCGTGCGAAGAAAGATTGCGCATATTCACTTCTATATATTCCGTCTTCTGATTGTTCTTGAATCCAACTGTAAGTCAAATTTGTTGATTACAAACTATTGAATTTACTTAAAGTCAAAATTTGACGACACACTCTGTTATTGTTGAAACAACTACGTCAACATTTGAATCAATATTGTTTTTATACAGAAAAGGAAATGGCCGGAGCAAAAATGTGGCCGAAGGATGTCGGTATCCTGGCGCTGGAACTCTACTTCCCGGGGCAATACGTGGATATGACGGAGCTGGAGAAATACGACGGCGTTTCGCCCGGTAAATATACGATCGGTCTGGGTCAGACTCGAATGGCTTTCTGTAACGATCGCGAGGATATCTACTCGCTCTGTCTGACGGTGACCCATCGTCTACTGGAGCGGTACAACGTGAAACCGCAGGAAATCGGTAGATTGGAAGTGGGCACGGAAACTCTTCTCGACAAGAGCAAATCGGTCAAGAGCGTGCTGATGCAGCTGTTCCAATCGTACGATTGCACAGACATCGAAGGAGCGGACACCATAAACGCCTGCTACGGCGGAACAAGTGCGCTCTTCAACGCCGTCAACTGGATAGAGAGCAGCTACTGGGACGGCAGATTGGCCCTGGTTGTGGCGGGCGATAACGCGGTGTACGCCGCTGGTAGCGCGAGACCCACCGGCGGCGCCGGTGCGATAGCCATGCTGGTGGGTCCGAACGCACCTTTGATTCTCGACCGCGGTCTTCGCGCGTCCTGTATGAGACACAATTACGACTTCTACAAACCGAATCCGAACTCGGAATATCCCGTTGTAAACGGCACTCTGTCGATACAGTGTTACTTTAGCGCTCTAGAGATCTGTTATCAACTCTACCGCGAGAAAGCACAGAAAATGAATCCCGGCCAAAGTCCCGTAACGTTGGCCAGCTTCGACGCGATGCTCTTCCATTGTCCGTATACTAAACTCGTGCAGAAGGCGTTCGCCAGATTAAGCCTAATTGATTTTCTTAATACGCCGAAGGATCAAGTTTCCGATAAGTTCGAGGTCGCGGAAAAGTATCGCGATGTCAAACTCGAGGATTCCTACTTCGACAAAGATCTCGAGAAGCTTTTCGTGCGATTCAGCATGGATGACTTTAATCAGAAGACGAAGTGTAGTTTGAACATACCGCAGAATGTTGGAAATATGTATACTCCTTCGGTATACTCCTGCTTAGTGTCGTTAATCGTAAAAACACCGTTGAATGAATTAGCAGGTCAGAAAATCGGTATTTTCTCTTACGGATCAGGTTCGTGCTCCAGCATGTACTCGCTGTCAGTAACAAAAGATACAGGAGAAGATTCCGGGTTGTTAAAACTAGTTAACGCGCTTTCTTACGTCTTACCGCACCTGGAACGCCGTCGTAAAACCCCTCCCTCGGAATATGTGGAAGTGTTAGATGAGAGAGAGAAAAATTGTTACGTTGTGCCATTCGTGCCGCAAAGTAGCATTGCTGACATGTTTCCTGGAACATATTATTTAACAGGGGTAGACAAACAGTATAAGAGGACTTACGAAAGAACATAAGATGAACATATAATTTAGATGATCTATAGTTAATTTTTCGAATTGTAATGGTATAACGGCAATTAAATCGTGTGGAATTCTTAGAAAATTATATAATTATAAGAGTGAAAACAAATATATATATATATAGTATACATATATCAGGTATTTTTCTCAGGCAAGAGGTGTTATTATTACTTTAAAACTTGATAGAGAGAAGAAATTCTTATTTGCAATGTTTTCGCGATCTTCACTATTACCTTACATCGTCAATAATAATACTTTCAAAATATATTTGTTGAAATTACTCTGTTATTGCTATATCTTATTAGTATTTTTATAAATTTAATAACATATTTATATATAATATAAAATTAGCATAAAAAGTGCCTTATGTATACAGTGCTTTTATATGAAAGAAAACACTTAGATATATAAAAATGATAAAATTTTCATGTATGAGAGTTTTATTATTTTTATAAACCTAAGTGTTTTTATATATATGTATATTATGCAGCTTATTTGTAATATAAAACTTTATAAAAGACATATAAAAATATCTATTTTTTAAGAATATTAACGGACGTCTTTTATTGTTTGCAGTTACGCTTGACATGTCACAAATATTTTTGATGAATTTTTTTTTTAAATTATTTACAGTAGAAGAGAATCGCCGAATCTGTACCACTTAAGAATTTGATATTATATTTGCTACTTTCTAATTTATATACAAGTTATTATCAGAAATTATAGTTTGAAATTTAAGCTACAATTTCTTTAAGTTTATATACCTATTAGTGTATATCTTATTTCTTATCAACTAATAACTATGTTATAAACTTCGTTTTTGTAACAGTGCAAAAGCTGCTTACATCGTACCGGTGCCAAAATCGCACTTTGTTTTTTAAATGCCAGTTTTGATATCCTGAAGCATCTGCAACACTCATTAAATTTATATTTTTTGTTGTAGATATTTATTGCCTGTGGTTTATGTATCATATGTATCACAAATTTTTTACATGCTAGTCACGTATATATTATCTAGCATGTTTATCTCATACAAGAATATTTTATTTGAAATATTAATAAATTCATACACAAGAAATCCTGCAAACATTGATTAAAAACAACAACTGTATGCAAGTAAGTTAAGTTAGACTTTTTTCATTGAAACGTTTGTCATATTCAATGAGAGGATTTTATGCATTGTATCGCATAAAAGCCTTTAAAAAATCTTCCTGTTGATTATTTCAATTAAGTTAAACTTATTAATGTAAATGTTGATTGAAACGGCAATAAATAATTTATCTTAAGAGTTGTAACAAAACAAAGTTTTATTTAGTACAAGATAGGATTTAAACATGTACAACACGATATGTTACACACACAAAAGCGTAATATATTATAAATCCGTTATTAATAAATGTGTTATATATACATATACGTTAAAAAAATATATTTTCCAATTGTTTATGAAAAGGAGAGAGAAATACAATAAATATTTTTATTCTTGTTTATATGAGATAAATTTGTATATTATTATTTACGTATACTCTGAGCAAGTGTGAAAATTTGCCAACCAGATGGTCTTATAATAGTGTCATTATTTGGATAAATCTCATGAAGTAGCTCATACGTTCAACTAACCGGTTATATAAAACTATCGCAAACCTCGCATCTTAATTTTGCAAATCCGTCCCTTCATTGTCAATTCATTCAGTCGCTCACTTATTTATACATTACATTTAGCGATTTACTGACACTTGCACATTTTGTAGTAAGTGCGCGTTAAAATGTGAAAATAAATTAAAATATTTTCTACAGTTTAAAACTCGCCCGCAATCTTCTTAAGTGCACTTCGTGAGTATTGTGCGTTTACAAAAAACTGTGTAAAACGCTCGTTATAAGTTTCGAGGCACTATGTAGGATCTCGTCAGGTCGCCGTAGTGTTTGTAGAGAGCCAAATATACATAACAAGATCGGTCACTATAACTCAACATCTCAACTAATCGGAAATCTTTTTAATGAAATCAAGTTATATTATGCAACATGTGTGCGCCCCGTATATATTTTCTAAGACACGGTTCCGCAACATCAAAACTATAAAGAAAACAGTTAGTTGAGAATACTAAGTTATAACTCACTATATGTATAAGTTTGTATGTTCGTTAAAAATCGATATAAAAACTGCGATATAAAAACTTTTTTTTCAAAAAATAAACTTTTTTGAGTTTATCTACCAAAATTTTTGAGAAGAAGTTTTGTGCATACACATTAATGTTATACAATAATGTTCGAAAAGTTGGCTGCGATTTCAGGCGGAAACTTGGCAGCATATCTTTCCCTATATATTCTAAAACTGGTTCTTTAGAAGTATTTTGTCTAGACAGAAAGTTTAGGTAAACGGTTTGTATCTATCTAATGCCACTTGCTTATCATATTTTAGCGCTCTCGGGTCCGCTCTTTAAGTCCGTTTTGTCTGATTTTCTTTCTTCGAGAACAATTGAGAAGATTTATGAGATTCCTGAGCACAATGGGCCTGACCATGAACTTTCAAATCGCAACCATCTTGCCGTCTGTTTCTACTTATCTAAAGATGCCACTCATCACTAAGAAATGTATAATAGCTATTATCATTCGTTTGGTAGCCACCTCACGATATTCTACTACAGACGATCTCGAGATCGTTTGAGAAAGAAAGGTTAAAGAATCAGACTAAAAAGTAAGTTCCTAGTAGTTTCTAATAAATTCTATTCTCTAATAAATATTTAATGAGAAAATTTTTTTCTTTCTTATGAAATATTAATGTGTGACTATCAAACAGTTAATAAGAACTACCACACAAATAATAATTAGAGTCTAGTTTCTCGATGTAAAAAGAGCATCTTCAGCTTATTTTTTTAGTTATCTACATTCTACGCGAATAAAAAAATATCTCTTGGTATACAAACACGTTGTGAACGTGGCGAAAGACATTACTGTAAATGTCTCTTAAAATATCTTTTTCTTTACACAATAGTTTTTCTTGACACAATAGTTTTGATCATTCTATATAGTTGGGAAATAGATAATAATTTACATACTAGAGAAAAAAATTAGATTTAAAAACTTTGAGATTTTCTAGAGACATTTGTATTATAAAAATAAGTAATTTATGAGAGAGAATGTATTATTTAAAAAATTGAAGTCTTTGAAATAATCTAATGCAATAGAAGCAATTATGTTTGTTCCGTCGAATGCATTTTTTCTTATCGCTATGCATTTTTGTCATAAATATTTCAACCTTGTAAGTAAAAACTTTTTCTTATGCTAACAACCTGAGCAAGAAGATAAATCTCGTCCAACACCGAGTTTTACTACGTCATTTTCGCACGCGCTAATTTGGCAATTATCATGTCGTTTCTAAAATAACAGTTTGATTGATAAAAAAAAAAGTATAAAAAATTTATATGTAAGAATATTTTGCAATAAAAAAAAGTTAGATTTACCTTAAGTTCTGATGCCAAGTAAAAAAAGATGGAATCTATATTTGTATTAGTTTTGGCTGATGTCTCTATTATATGCAAAACTTCAGGCAGATATTCACTTAAAGCTTCAGCTTCAGACTTTTTTACTTCTCGAAGTTCTTCCAAGTCGCATTTATTACCTATGTAAACAAATGGACAAAGAAACACTTGATAACCTTGAAAGCACTATGATTACAACATTATGTGATAATGTATACATACACATAGACATATATTATATATGTATCTTACCAACTAATATTAATAATACATGTGACGATGTATATTTCCTAACTTCTTCTACCCAACGTTGCAGACTTAAAAACGTCGTTCGTTTTGTAATATCATAAACTGAAACATATATGTATATTCATATATTAGTTTAAAAAAAAACTACAACAGCAATTTTCAAAGATTCCAAAATTACAAAAAAAAAAAAAAAAAATAATCTATCTTATCAATAAGACTTATTTCTATTTACATACCTACAATCACTCCATTTGCAGATCTGTAATAACTTTGAGTTATTGTTCGAAATCTTTCTTGGCCAGCAGTATCCCAGATCTGTAACTGTTTATAACAGATCGATATATATTTTTATGATGTAATAACTATGTATCATCAGATATCAATAACTATAGTAGAGTTTAAATACAAACAAATATACATGTGTATATTGCACTTTTTTGCAAGAAAAAACATAGAAAAGTATAATCATACAACAAAGTTCAGCTTGCTCCGATTAGTTCTTTTTTTTTTTTTTTGTTCAGAAAAGAAATATATAGCAATGTATTTTTAAATGCAAGAAAACTAAAGCAAGTGAATTTATCGATATCAGATAGCGAGAGAAATGTCTGTGTGCGCGCGTATCAGAAAATTGTTCGAAGGTTAAGTCGCAACAAGAAATATTTTTACTATTTGGGCGCGGATCGCACCTTGACTCTTTTACCGTCTATGAGCACGGTCTTCATGGAGAAGTCAACGCCGATGGTACTTCCATGGCGCTCGATAAACGTGCCCGATCTAAAGCGCTGGACAACGCAAGTCTTGCCTGTGCCGCAGTCGCCGATCAGCACGATCTTGAAGAGATAGTCGAAGCTCTCGTCGTCGTTCATCATCAGGTTGTCGGGATCACGACACGACATTCTCACCGGGTGTCACGCAACGACAACGCACACAAGATAAGCAGAAGACCGAGCATTCGAATCTCGATAATTTTACAGTTGGCCTTTTTACGCCGTCATCACGAGAGCCTTTCTTTCACCTAATTAACAATCCATCTTCGTCAATTTTTGGTCCATCTTTCCGCCTGGATGCAACTCGTATCACTGACGAATCGCGTGACAGATAATCCCTCTACGTCTTGCATGCTCTCTCTTATCTCTCTTTGCATCTCTTCCTTCTGTTTTTACTCCCTTCGTCTCTCTCGCAACGGAAAGATTTGGAAGAGCAAAGCGATAGGTGTTTAATTCAACACGCTCTTCTCAAAAGTTTGATAAAAACGTTTGTTTCATTTTTCTTTACGAAGGAGAAATCGAGAGGAATTGATTATGGACCATCATCTCGGATGATCTCGAAGACATCTGTTGCTTCGCACGTTCACCGCATGAGGTCTTCAATTCTCTCGGAGTTGTCACTTCTGCCAATTTCTCCCTTAACGCATAAGGTGCAAAAGGTGTAAATAAACCGAACAAACAAACCTTTGACCGGAGACAAAACTATACGTATATGAAAAGATACCTTTACATATGTATGCACGCATGAGTTACGTCAGCCAATCCGGTCATCTGACAATCCGACGGTTAGGTCGGATCCATGAAATACTGGCCTGAACATGACGTTTTATTCCGCAGGTTTTTCGAGCCACGAGCGACCACGAGGTCCCACGTCCCACCACGTTCCCAAAGGGGTTGTGAAAGTTTAAAAATAGTCGAATACAAGAGTTGGTGAGATGAACGTGTAAATCTCTGTCTTCTCGAATTTTGATTTCGAATTCAATATAAATTTATTGTCGAGAAGCTCTATCTGATCATGGCTTCGAAAGTCACGCTCTCCCAGGCTCTGGGAACGGACGGAACTGATTTCAGTCACAGACAAAAAATCGCCACACATTACCACATTAGGTGAGAAACTCTTGATTGAAGTGTGCCTATTGTTATTATAGTGATACAGTGATGATGAATTGTGAGATTGCGAGCTTTATTACAGTACGACAGTTTTTAATTTACATTTGCGCTTCTATTTAAATGTGATTCTATGTCATGACTTGTTTGTGTATGTATATATACAGATACATTATATAGACACATTTGTGTATTTATAATTAATAATATTAACAAGCACAATCGGTATTAAGCAAATTTAGATTGTAATCTCTTGTAGTATGTATTGGATCTCCTTAGTAAATCTTGCAATAAAAATAATAATGTATTTAATTGATGTTATTTGAAAATTTGTAATTTATATAAATGTAAAAATTTGTAAGATATGTTTACACAAAAATAAGACGTGTATAGAGAAACGTCCAAGATAGTTTTTATTTATTGTGTTAAAATACTGTACTTATTTTCAGTGCAACAAACAAATCAAGACTTAAGTATTGTATCTTCTTTCATTATCTGTTATTTTTTGTCATGCTCGCCAAGCTGTCTGCAGATATATTAGATCGTCTGGATATATTTATCTTGGAAATAGAAGAATTACAAATACCACAGGTATGCAGTTTTATACTTTTACTTGCATTTATATGTGAATGTGACATTTTATTTTAATCAAAATTTATATATGTATTAAAAAAAAAAAAGTGTTTTAATAAATTTTATAGTATTTTAAGTAAATAATTTTATAAAATTATGTACCAAACAATATTTTTCTTGATAATCTTGATATAATGTACTTTGTTGTAGTTTTTTTCCTTGATATTGATTTAAAGTTTTTTATGATGAACATATTAATAGATTTACATTACTTTCTGCTTTTAGCCATTATGGTGGGAATACATATGGTGTACTAGTTTATTTTTATCTTTTCTTGCCTTGTCTGCAATTAAAAGAAATAAAATCAAGACATTGCAAAAATATATGATGGGTATTGTTCTGTTGGGGTATGGTCCGTTGACTTATGCTACTGTGTATTATTTTAAGGATGTTTGGACATATTTAAGTATAGGTAAAACCGAATATATCCATATATGGCAGGTATGACTAATTGCAATTATTAAGTTTTCTTAACTTTCTTTTTTTTTTGTTGCGAATGTAAAATAGCAGAATCTTCAGATTTCAAGAGATTGTAATTTTACATTCATACGTTATAAATTTGTTTTTTCAGGGTTTACCATATGGCCTACTGTGGTATGCTTTCATTCTCTTAGCCTCACAGGTTCATTGTTTTTCTTTATACTTTTCTTGGAATCTACTGGTTGCTTGGAAGACAAGAGGCACCAAAAAAGTGGACTGAATCTAAACAAGAAATCATTATGCTTATGAACTACATATAAACTATGGACATCTGTCCTACAGTATGAGAGAGAAAGAGCTATATTGTTCATGGTGTGAGAAAACAATAACATATAATTGTTGTACAAGGAATAACATCTAAAATATGTGAAATTCAATGAGAAATGTATTTTATAGATTTATATATATGTATAATATATATATTCTAAATATATATGTATATATATATATATCAAAGCGGTTATATTAAATGTATTTATACATTTATGATAATGTATATATGGAAATACAAATAAGTTAATTAGATTAATATTTTTTAAACGATGGAGTTTTATGTATCAGATATATATATATATATATTTATTGTATGTTGTTTTCATCACAAAGAATCTGAAAGAACGCCCATCAAAGCAAGAATGAACAGACAATTACAATACAAGAGACTTATACATTGAAAAAATATTTTAACATTAAAAAAGATTAAAGGTAATGGGTCAAAAAATTGAACTGTTTTAACACATAGTTCTGTTGTTACCAATTTACTCTCGAATTGTTTATGAACCACAAATATACATTTTAATCAATAAAAAAAATATTAATTTTTGAGACATTATCGAATTGAAACACCCCCAATCAATAATTTTGTTTGTAAAAATTTCAAATAAAGAAAAAGAATGCCGATACAAGTCCTCTTATCAATTTAACATTTAAAAAAGTACGAAACAGGTTTTTGTTCGTTCACACGATGTTTTGTTTATATGTTTTATATGGTTTCGTATTGTTTTCATCATTTGATTTCTGTCCATCTGAAACAAATAATTTTACACTTTAATTTTTAATTTTGTTGCTATCGTGCGATCGTAGGTCTTTTAAATTATAATTCTTAACAAAATTGCAAGAATCTGAAAAAAAATTAATGAAAAGTTCAACTTAACGAAATTGTTTAGTAAAATGCTTATGTTTTTTAAGTAAAAAAAAAAAACGTCTAAAACATTGAAAAACTACGATCGCACAATAAACAGTATAAGTTTTTCGACACACTATGGCAGTCGATGCACAAACGATCAATAGTTATCGAAAAAGCTCGATTACTAGTTTCAAAAAATGTGATCTTGAAAAAAAGACGCTTACAGTTTTAAGATAACATTTCAAACAACATAGTGCGCTCTCGAAAGTTGTTTCACAACTTGGGTATTTCCTCTAAATGTGAACTGAAATTCTAAACAATATTTTTCAATAATGAAAATTTTTGATAAGACAATAAAAAACCAATTGTTTTTACCGTGGGTGACTTTGACGTCTCCCGTTCAAAACCAAAATCCGCGTAGTCTGCGGTATATATCACAGTGCCTTAAAAAGAAAAGAGAATAAAACTAAAATAGACGGGAAAAGAAGAGGAAAACAATTGGAAATGGAAAATTTGTCTCTTGTTTTATAAAATTATTTTATATTCTCCTAAGTTCACAATTATAATATAATGAATTCAGAAAATATAAATGAACTATATGAAATTGAAGCTATCAGTGACTATGAATTGGAAAGTTACACAAGTAACATTCTGTGTGTTTGTCTGAACTTCTACTATTCGAGAAGTTTCATGAATAATACTTCTAGGATGTTTTCATCACTCAACACTGCATGCTTATTAGCGATACAAAATACAAATTTAACCATTTTAGTAAGTAAATGACTTAGACTTTAACAGAAAAAGTGATCATCAGCGTAAAATTGCACACAAGTTTCGTAATATCACATTATATTGCTAGTCACCGTTGAGATATCGATCTAGTGGATTTGGTCCTATTCTCTTCGTTTGATTTACCGCCTTGTTCAAGTTTGATGCTTTCTCTATATCTCTGTCTGAAATCGTCGAAATGTACAAATTAGTGAAATATTTAATAATAATCAATTTTGTTAAATATATTTTTTTCTCTATTCTACTACATACAGCAATGCGTATATACCTGTTAATGAATATGAAACGTGAAGACAATTAAGCCATTCTGTCATACTGATCACTCTATCATTGTTCACGTCACAATGTTTCGGTAACTTTTTGCCGCATTTCCGAAGTTGTTTATCATTCGATACAAGTGTGCGAAACCCTTTCCATTCTTTTTTTTCTAAAAGCTGTAAAATTCGGCAATATTGCATGAAACACGATGGTAAAAATCCGCGATTTCACTTCCAAAATAAAATCAAGAATCAAGACTTTAATAAAAAAAAACAAACCGTTCTCTATATACACGATATCGTTTTGTTTTGTGTAAACTTCGAGTTTAATAATCTGTAAAAAAAAGTTGCATATACCTTGTTTTTATTCTTATCAAGTATTACAAAGAGCCAAGTAGAAACCTTTTCCTGCGGAGAAGCATTCCACTTAGCAGTTTCGTTGGTATCAATAGATGCCGTCATTCTCGTTTGCATAAGATTTACTAGATCTTGAAGAAATTGTTGTTTTCTTGACTCTGAACAACCTGTCAATGGTAAATTAATGGTAATCAATAACAAGCACATCACATGCATACACAGAAAAAAATGTGATAAATGATTTTTTAATGTTAATTGTTATACATATATATGTAATTTTTTAATAATATAGCACACGTATCGAATCTACAAGATAAATCTACTAAAATAAATCACCACAGAATACACGTAAGCAAATTATGTTACAGACTATAAATAGATAAAAATTGAATTTACATAATTATTATTATTATTTTACGTAATAATAAAATGTAAAATATTGTAAATCTCCTTTTTTTTTTTTAATGACCGAAAGGCAAATGAAATAAGTGTCTCTTGTACAACCAGACCTCTCATAATTCAACTTCTCATTTCTTTAAGTACTTTTCATATCTAAAAAAAAATTGCTCTTCTCGTACGATGGAAAAAAAATTAGAAATGAGAGAAAGGTCAAATTGTGAGAAAAATCCGAATGCAATAATATTAACACCTTTTATAGGTCTGCTCGGAGTTGGAACTGGATTACAGTTTGGTGATATCGGTTGTTTTATCGATGTTCCTGGTATAGGTTTGCCCGAATCCTGAAGCACACACCAGCAATAACCGGAATAACATTGTATACGGTGATACCTTCCGTCGGGCGTGCATTCTGGAATGTATAACTGGCTTCTCGAAGTTTTATTCTGATCTTGCAACGGTTCCAGTGCTGATCTTCTATCCGACAGGCAATCATTTGCTAAGAGGATTTTAACACACGATTACACAACACGCCACAAAATTCGACATGCAACATTTTGATTGATATAATTTACTTGAAAATATGCCAATACATACCTGACTAAAATACTTTCTATCTCCTCTAGACGATAATATACGAATTCCAGCACATTGTTTTCGATCCTTTATTATATTTCTTAAACAAACTCGGTGTTATAATTCTTAAAGCTGCTTTAGATATTATCATAAACACGGCACCGTTTTTTTTTTTTTTTTTTTACAGAGATTTTGTCCAACAAACGAATTTGTTGGGCTTATAAATAAATTCTTATTCGCCGGAATTCGATTCTTCTTCTGTTGATCTTTTTCCATTGCCAAAAAAACACCTGAAAGGAATACATTTTGAAGAGATATTGATATCCGAAGTAACATAGCGGCAGCTTTAAGAGCTATAACACATAGCGAGTTTACTTAAAGTGAGTTAAAAAAGACCACGTATTATACTAGACCAGTTCAACACTAAGATATGTATTGGCATGTGTGTTACGAGTTAGCGAATTTTTTATTATCAGATCCTCGATCGGGATCTGCAAACGCACAAACTTCCGCAAGAGATAATAATAAACAATTCATTTTTATTTACAAACACACCGATTATGCAAACAACACTACGATACGTCATGCAAGCGGAAGAGACTGTGAGCACCAACAAAATCTGATCGAAAATTTTAATCAGATTGATTTTTATATTCCGATACGATTCAGTGTGAAAACTTGTGACTGATTTTGTCAACGATTGTGTGTTAGGTATACCGATTTGTAACGCAAGTTTTTGTTCATCGTCTTTAATATAAAATCATCTACAATTCTGTTTTGACACTAATTAATTTTTATAGTTCTAACAATCTCTTCTTCTTTAATTCGCCGTGATATATTCGTATATTTTTATATACATTCTTTTTTTACTTTGACAACCGCAAACAATTACTTACTATCACTCTCTTCCTTGCTGTTAGCGTCCAGAAAATCGTTAAACGGCTGGATAGTCGGTGTGGTTTGAAGAGACACGTGAATACCTTTCAGAGCTGCGAAACAAAAAATACGTAGAATAAATTTGTCACGAGCGTATTTGTTTTCCTTATATTTAATATGACAAACAAATCGTATTGTTTGAAAAATCTCCGCCTGCCCATCCGAAACATTAATCAGCCAGAACACACATTTTATCAGAAACTTGTGACTATACGTGCGCATTAAAAGAAATTGTTATACTTCACTTCATATATTAGTAATAACTCTCGATTAAGTGTGTGTGTGTGTGTGTGTGTGTATGTGTCTGTGTGTATGTATGGCAAATAATTAACGAAATTAAATTCGCCGATGTGTTCACATAAAAAAAGCTCGGTATTGTTACGTATTCGCCACACATTATCTGTAACAATTTCTAATTAACAGTAACGAGTAAACACACGTAATATTGATACATGTTAATTAGTTATTACATCTTATGTACATTTACACGTATGTACAACTTGTAAAGATTTTTATCTAAATTGTTAATTGTAAACAAAAAAGATGAATATGTACATTACGATCTCATACGTCGTTTTTATCAACTTAATTTTATCTAACATAGTCGTTTCGAATACATTTCGATATCAACTTCGTGAAGCTAATATACGCAGAGAAAGCGCTACCACGTAATACCTAATTTTCCGTTTCGATGTTATATTTCGAACGTAAAAAAAAAAAACAATCTTTTTTATCGAGACAATATGCGAACGGGGAATATATTGCGTTAAAAATCATCACAGACTTCTTTTCGAATACAGAAAAAACATGATATATATATATATATATACGTGGAAACGCTTTCGATGTGCAAGACTGAAACTCACCTTGGTCCATGGCCCGTGTCCTTTGGGCCTCAGGGACCTCGGGACGCTCGTCTGCGGGGTTCAGCGACAAGAACAAACGTACTAAATGATAACAATGATGTCACTCAGCCGACCGGCCTTACCTATATATGTACAATTTTCGTTTTGTGTCATTCACGCATCGCAGGAATTTTTTTTAGCACAGTAGCGAATGGGGCGAATAATTGATAAAAATTCAGCAACGATACAGGTGTCACGAGCGCAGAACACAGTACACAGTAGTACATGCACGTTAATATCAAGCGTATATAAGATGTACATCGCGGGTGTACTTGATTTTACATTGCTCGAACAATAGGATAATTGCAATATGGAAGCAGAAAGAAGCACGCGCGCGCAGATTAGAAGACAAATTTGAAACATAAAAAACTAGAATTCTCTTCTTCAAATTATTTGATATCTTGTTTTTTAAAAAATCTCGAAATCTCTCGTTCTCTCATTTTCTTCTGCTTTGTCGCAAAGTTGTGTTCATTAAAAACAAAAAAAAAAAAAAATTAATAAACAAACAATAAATCTGACTGTTTTCCATTCCTACGAAAATCTCGCTCGAATGATTATTGTGGCTAGAAACAACACGCAGAGACATGCGGTATATTACTTGTTATTAGACTGTCATAAATAGCAAATAATCTTTGTCGTCGTGTGACGCATGGGCAAGAATTTAACTCATACATGAGGTCAATTACTTCATTCCTCAGCAACCGGTCGTGCGCGCGCATTTGTGTAGGCAACTTCCGGCAGGATTCACGAATGTTAAAGCGAGTCGACACACGACAACATATGTGGTCCTTGACACGCGTGACATCCTGTGTTACGGCAATATTGTCGTTAATTTATATCACGATTTAGACACCGAAATGACACTCTCGTCTTCCAGCATTTATTATATGTAACAGAAATAATTTGTCACTTCTCTTCTATCTTCCGGATTAAAACTCCGGTCGCTTTTTTGCCAACATTTTGTGACACGTTTTTTTTTTAAGCACGAAAATATATAAATCTACACAAGAAACAATTTTCGATTCTACTTATTTGTGAGAACTACATCCTAATCTTTCTCTTTCGAATGTTGTTTATAGAGAGCTTGCGTTGTTTGCTAACTTTGTATTATCCGCTGAATTGAGTAAATTAATGTTCTCACGCACTCAGAAAGAGAAAATTACATAATACTTTGTTTATAAACGTCTGTTTAGAAAAGCTGTGCGCGTGCATGCTTGCCTTGTTCGCTTTGTGTGTGTATATTGCCATTGCCCATCACCCAAACCGAGGAGGAAAAGAGAAACATGCAATATATATGTGACTTACGCATAAAATCATTCGCGAGGCAAGCACCCCATTCTTGCCTGGATAGCTTTAAATCCCGATTAAGATCGCACGTACGCGCGAATGTGCGCGCGCACTTCTTCGGCTTCACCGCCTTCCTGGCGAGTCTTCTGAGCTCCGTGTATTCTGATTTATTTAAGAAGCCGTCTCTGTCTTTGTCCAGGGTGTTGAATTTCCACGACAACACCAGTTCTACATTCTTATCGTCTGTCAACAATCAAGGCAATAAATTTTTTTATCCGTTTACATCCGTTGTGTTCATTTTTTTTTTTTTTTATATCGCGCGAGTACGCAGCTGTCGTACCGTCGGCAGACGACATGTTGGTCCGTCTGAATTCGATCTTGAAGTTCTCGATAAGATTTCCATTGAATTTGGACTTCTCGGTGCGATCGCAGGTATTTCGATGCCTGTTGCTATTGTATTGCCTGTGTGAACGTCGCCTTTCGCCGCCGCTCCTGGTTGAAGCAGATCTGAGACTGGATTTCGAGCATCTGGGTCTTTTGTGTCTAACAGACGTGTCGGGCAACGCTCGTCCTTGCGGTGTTACGCACCAACAATAGCCGGTTTCCCCGTGGCATTGCACCGGCGCGTACGTACCGTCTCTTCGGCAGAGAGGTCGAGCACCGGGTCGAGCGGTTAATCTCGCTGAGAAGCACGGCGGCGTCTCTGAATATAAGTCCAAGCAGCGCTGTGTCACTCGTCAAACTTAATTCAATTACTATTATACGAAAAAAAAAAAAAAAAAACGAAAGAAAAAGAAAGACGACCTGTTGATGACGACGTTATTTATATTTTATTTATATTTTTTTTATGAGTATGTGTGTGTGCGCATGTGTGTGTTCGTGTATGCGTAACTAAGAGAGATCTGCGAGCGTATTCTACAGCCGTTTTAAAAAGAGAGATTTCAGAAGATTGATTGAGGGTGTGTTCGCTGATACCTGCGGGTTAACGGACCTTACTTTAAAAAAAAAAAAAGAATCTGCGTTTCCTTCTTTTCAAAACCAATTTTCAGGTCAAAATTCTTTACTTCTCACGAATTTAAATGTACAAACCTGCGCAAGGCCCGGTATGCTTGATAAGAACGGACACCCCTTGACATTGCTGAGAAATGACCTTACACTGACTGGGGTACGTGACACCGTCGCTTCCGCACACCGGCACGTTTCCGCCATTCATTGTGCATTCGGCTATTCTCGTTCTGCATGTCTCCTGTAACGATAAAAAAAAAAAAAAAAAAAAAAAAAAAAAAAAGAACTCAACCGGTTTAATACACACACACACAGGTATAAATAGTGATTCAGATGACAAATTCTTTTCACATTCTTCCCGTTCTTCAAGCGATGACATGCGCGCGAGTTTCTTCTTCCTTTCGCACATTTGTGCGCGACAAGACGTATCCCGCAAGCAACAACCCCGACGCGACGGAAAGCGAATAGTTACCGTCTTAATCATAATTAATTCGATAAGGAGAGAAAACGGCCGCGATATAAATAAAAATGATTTTCTCTTCAACGCGGCTGCGTGCATTGGGAATCACGTGTACAGAACGACGATTACATTATCGCCACGGAAATTGATTGGACCGCGCGATCTCTTATTCGCGTGTCTTAATCTTTGCATTTTCTCGCGCGCACGCACGCAACTCCGGGAAACGCGTCGCAATGAATACGCAACGCGTATAAAAAAAAAATGGAGCGCAATAAACGCGCGCTAAGACCAACCCGTGAAGAAGTGGACGCGGGCATCGATTACCACGTGTTATATAATTGAGAACAATCGTAATGAAGTTACGGGTACGGCGCGCGAGCGTACAGAAGCTACATGGGAGAGCAAAACCGCGAGCGCGCGATCGCGTAGCGCAAGTGGCGGCGGCGATAAGCCGTGTTTATAATTAACTGAAAAAGGATTATAGAACGTTGTTCGTCGGAACGTTTTTAATCGCGATGTTAGATTCCGTCGAGAAGTTTACCTTTCTTCTTTACTTACCGCAAATAAAAGATTACTTGTGTCGCGCGGACCCCCCAATACGCCACGAGAAGAATAAAGAAAAACATTTGCGACAAAGCTCCGTCTCGCTATACAATCATTAGGGCAAAAAATTTATGAACCTCAGAACCTGGCAATTTTTATCTTTGCGCTATACATCTTCGAAAAATAGCTTTCTTTTTCTTTTATTTTAGTTTTTAACAGTCTTTTTAATAACAGTTTTTAATTGTAAATCATCTTTGCAAAAGTGCCTTATAAATGTTTATTATTAGGTTTTAATGTTTTAACATTTTTATAATCTGAATATACAATCTAAGCGTATTTAACGTGTATCGCGCGCGCGTATAATTTACACATCTAGAAATCATCAAATATATACACAACGTTGAAGAATAATCTTTCGAGCAATTGAGCTCGCGTTAAAAGACACGTGACCGTGCGATTAAATTTATAAATTTTTGAAAGCGTACAATTTAAATAAATTTTCGCGCGCGACACATCTGGACAATTAAAACTCACCTACGACGATAAATCGCATTTGACTTGACTTTTATAAAAACTATTTAAATTGTTTTTCTCTGAAATGTGCACAAAGATATAAAAGCGCCAAATTCTATTTCGCGCTTAAGATCAAGAACCAGAATTCCCTTAGAGTTTTAATTTCCTTGAAAACGCGTGTAAAACTAAAAAAGAAATGTTTGAATATATACTCTGGCTGTAGTCACGGTGCTGGTTGCCGCGTGAATATCAACGATCAGCAACAGAAAAGTAGCGGCGTGTATCAGCATCATTTTTCTCTCTGAAGTTTCCTTTCAACGTGCGTTTCCAAAGAATGATAAAAGACCGAAGGCAATTGTCTGAAGAACACGCGCACACACGACACACAACACTACTCACGTACACACGCTGCACTCGCTACATTCCTACATTCCCCGCACATAGCGTGTGTTCACGCTAATAATTATGTTCTTCTTATCCGAGCGGAATATACTTCACGGAAATTCTCGGTTCTCTCAATTGATGATCTTCCGCGTGTCTCGAGGCGATCGGAACGACCGTTGGATGCGGCAAGATAGATCCTTACCGGGGAAACGGCACTAACTGTATTCACGAACGAGCGTAGCGAGTGCTGTAGAGCAACTGGTACTAGAGCCAGCCACTTGTTCCGCCGCTGGAGCAACCTCTGCCGCGGCCTCATACCAACACACTCCGACACACGCTGCTACATACTACGTTCCTTTTCCAACATCGACAGAACTCCCCGGTCCCCCTAACGGGGAAGTATAGATTATTACATTAATATATTTTTTATGTGGATATATATAAATCGTATTTTTACTTGTGCATATATATTTGTATATGTTTATACAAATATATGCGCGTGGACGTACACATAAACGTAAAACAAATTGGTATTAATTTTGTATATTATTTGTTCCTTCTCACTTATACCTTGACATAAGGATTACGAAGATTTCTTCGGACATCGAATAACCGTTTAACAAACATTTAAAAACTAAAAATTTAGACATTAACTTTTAGCGTAAATTACAACCATTATGTGTTGCAAAGCAAGCGCGGATAGCTTCATCTAAAATTTCTAGGAAGCTGAAAAATAAACAAAGTTAAAATTAAACTGAAACCTACTGAAGATCAAAACTTTTTGAATTGCGAATTAAGATTCATCATATAAACTACTTCAAATTCGCGCGTGCACACACACACATACGCGCACACACAGATATACATTCATAAATAAAATAAAACTTAAATAAACAAAAAAGATATTAATAGTGAATTCAAAGTATGACCTACTTTTTCAAGAAATTAAGATCTACACGAGGGATGTGTTTAACACGTGCTCTAACACAACGAGACTGATAAAATATAAATGGTACTTTATTTTAAATGGTACTTTTATTTTACTAACTTACATTTTATCTCTTTTATCATCTTCAATGTGTAACTCCCCCTTTTGCATTTATACGCCGGTGCATTTATGTCTTTCATTTGACTGGAGCAGCGTTGCAACTATAAGTTTGCGCCGGCTTGCGTTTTAGTACATGACCCCGCTTATGAGTTTTTATCTTACGGCTTGAAAAGATGAAAAATAAATTTTTCAATGACTTTATCCGAGTGCGTCATAGTTTCATACGCGAAGCAAAAAGACAAATCGCACAATGCAACGAAAACATTTATGTTGATGTTATTTAAAGAACTGCACGCGCACATAGTACATTAATGCCGCATTCAGTGAACAAATATACAATCGCGATCGATTCATCTCTTTATTTTATTAAGGTCGCAAAGAGTGACCGAATTGTGACAAAAAGATCAAATTCCGTGTGTGAAATCAAATTCGGAATATAAAGCAAGCAGAGCTTAACGAGCTCTACCTAACCGGAGAAATTATGTCGAGTGGTTACTTCCACTTTCTTTCTTGTTCGCTATGCAGATGCGTGGTGCCGGGACGAGATCGAAGATTCATGAGTCATCGGGAATTCGAGACCGATTCAAAACTGGTTATTTGGTCGAATGGAATGTAACGTTTAACGCACACACACACACATCAACATAGCAAGTCTGGGGTTATAAGCCGTTCTTTAAGCGTGTAGTGTGTACATATATATACACATACATACACACACCAAGAAAGATCAGTTGACGGTAAGTTACCTGCCGTGAATTAGAGATTTTGATATTGTTCTTTTTCTAATTTTTAACAGTTTAGTTTATATTCATGTGTATAATGTATAAATATTGTCAAATTATTTTTATTAATAATTTTTTCAAATTTATTTTAATTTCTAAAATATCTCTTCTCTTAAAAAGTTTCCGGATGAAGAAGAAAGAGAAGAGAAAAAATATGAAAGAAAGAGTTCTATGTTTAAGTTGAAGACTATTATTTTTTTTTCCAAAGTAGACTACAATTTAGTAGTCACAAGTCTATCTTGATAGCATTTGCTTGCATCTCTTCCTTGTTCGATTTTTTCTCATTCTCTCTTCTCTCTAAATATAATAAAGATTATACTTCGCAAGAGAGCTCCTCTAATCAAACGCGATCAGACACAGTACAAATGAGCGCGTTTAAGAGAGCATCTCTAATCTTCCGATGAATAGTGTATTACTTGTTGTAGAACGCGCATTCCATCTTCGAACACGCGATATTTGTACGATTGCATTACCGATGATCTACCGGAGAATTTTTCCAACACGATCACTTTTCCATCTTCCTTTTCCGTTAAGTTCCAAATATTGCGAAATAAGACGGTTTGAGGAAAATCGTCGATGAGAACGGCGCTGGCCCACACGCACACATGTACCTGGATGTTTAATTAAATCGGGTCAAATTTGGCGTAGAGAAATTTTTAACTCGAAATTTAACATATTTATATTGTACATACGTACAAGGCTTTAATAGTTACTTACATTCATATTTAAAACTCGCGAACATGAGTTCATCGAATGAAGTATAAGAGCACAAGTTTTAGCAATAAACATCTTCGTATTATTTCTAGCAGCTTCATCATTGAGATAATCATCTAAACTGTCTATCAAAAGCACAGAAGGTACGGCTGCGTAAGTATGCAATTTAATAAGATGTTCTACAAGACTTTCATAATCTTTCAAATATCTGTAAATAAATTATAATAAATCTTCGTAGGTGTGTACAAAAAAAATTATTTTTAAATTTTTTTAATAGAACAATCTATATTCTTTCTTTTCTAATAATTTGTAAGATATTTTTAAATATTTTTTTATGTATATTTGATGTATTTTAATGTAAGTATTGTTTTTTGTGATGAGAGAAGAGATCAATTAAAGAAATTTTCTATTTTATTATTTATATACATGTAGTGACAAATCTGCAATAGTTTTTTTTTAATTAGATCTGTAATTTCTTTCTTTTTAATTGAATCCATAATCTTTTCTTTGTGTCAATCAGTTTATTTTATTTATCTTCAATATATCAAAATATTTAAAAATAGAATGTATAGAATCAAGTATGTTATACGTATGTGTATGTGTATCTTACACAAATCTCATTAGTTTAAGAGCAACTACTGTTGGATCACTTCTATCATGACAAGCTCCTGGTCTTTTTTCTAGAGGCACTGGTGCAATATAAATGACACGTCTCCCTTTTTCTGCCCAATATGTAGCAGCCTGTTAAAGGAGAACTTACTTTTGTGAGTTAGCTAATAATTTATATTGAAACAAATGGACTGAGATAAAAGGGGAAAAGAAGGGAAAAAATACATATATGTCATTTTCACAATATCTTCCGTTCATTAAAAACTGCAAAATATTTTTGCTAAACTTCAAAATCAAGATAATTTTAAAATGGAAAACCGCACAACAAAAACAAAAATATTCACGAGTTAATAAAATTTATGTGTGTAAGTAAATTTTCTCACACGTAAGTAATCTAACAACTTTAGCTTTGTCATTCGACTTATTCACGTTCCATACCTCGAACATAAAAGATTCGCTCAATTTTTTCGGGCCGCACAGTAATGTTGCTTTGACATTCTCCGAGAACATAATTACTGTAAATACACAACTTTTTCATTTACGACACCTCCTTTATTTTTCTCTTTCTCTTTTTCTCTCTTTGTTTTATTTAACAATTAAAGCCTAATAGAGAAGAGATTAATATTTACAATAATTTAACAAAATTCAAGTGCAATAATAAAATGGAACAAAAAGACTTTTTCTCCTCCTTCTTGCCGCCAGCTGTCGGTCACGAACCAAGAAACTATTAGATGCACGCATCGTATCTATTTTTGCGCAAACTGTGCCCCGAAAAATAAAAACGAAAAAGTTTCCATCAAAATGGCAGACAATTCCCGTCGATTTTCTCTCTCAAATTTTTTATGAAGTTTTAATCAACTTGATTTTTCAACGACAAATTGCATCAAAACTTTGACGACAATCGAAAACAAATCGTCACTCCCTACGTACAATTACATAAGTGTCACATATGGGATTTTCAGTTTATTGCATAGTGACACTCAGAAAGTCATGTTCTTTGTGGTCGCCAAGTATTAAAAAAAAATATTCACAAGTAAGATAAAAATTTAAAACCGAAAGATCCCTTAACCAGGGACATTATATGAAGCTTCAAACTTTTAAACTGCTCTCCTCTAAAACTTGCGTTTTGGAGTTACGGGATTATACGTAGGGAGTGACGAAATAACCTTGCGACAACCGATTCGCCGTTTTCATCAAATCGAGCGCGAAAAAGCGATTGGTTCTCACTTATTATTCTCTAGCGTCGTCGCGTCCCGTGCGCGGGAGCCATAATAAGTTCGCTTCTTCACACCTAGATCTAGAATTGTAATACAGCGTACTCTCAACAAAAAATAGTAATTGCACTTACTTTCAACGTGTGCAAGTCACGCGTTTGTTAGTTTTATTTCTGCGATCCGTGTTGAAGTTTATTTACGACGCAACTCTCTTTAGGGTTACGCACGAGGTCCGATGAGTGGCCAAGAGGTCGATGGGGGTCGGCCATCTGCCTTAGCCGCAGCCAGAGCCACGTCATATTCGTGGATGCCGCTGTGGAGCGAGCAGTACGAGCTGGCTTCACCGGGAGTTTAACGTGAAAATTATCGTTCGCGCGTTATCGCAAACATGAATATATTTCGACTGCTGGGCGATCTGTCGCATCTCCTAGCTATTATTATACTTCTCGTCAAGATATGGAAGACGCGGAGCTGTGCCGGTGAGTGACCGCATTCTCAGTCTCGTGTCACTCTATATTGTGGTATGGACGCGGTTAAAAATTTTGCCGCGTCAAATTCACAAGTGCCGAACGATCCCACGTTACGATTCTGTTCTTACGTTCGGCTAAGTTTAGCCGACGAGAGAACTGATCGGCAACGATTTTCATGTATTCGCAGGTATCAGCGGCAAGTCGCAGGTCCTCTTCGCGATTGTTTACACCACTCGTTATCTAGATCTGTTCAGCACTTATATTTCGGCGTACAACACGCTCATGAAGATCATCTTCCTGACAACGTCATTCAGTACGGTTTTCTTGATGTACGTCAAGTTCAAAGCGACGTACGATCATAATCACGACACATTCAGGTGAGTTTTTTGAACTATTGTCGTCTCTCTTTGACGTGTGTGTGTGTGCCCAGTGTTCTCTCGTAATGTACATAAATTGACATCTTTTTCATCGTTTTGCAGAATCGAGTTCTTGATTTTACCAGCGTTTGTACTAGCTCTGTTGATCAATCACGAGTTATCGTTTATGGAGGTTTTATGGACATTCAGCATTTATTTAGAATCGGTTGCGATATTGCCGCAACTGTTTCTGGTGTCGAAAACAGGCGAGGCAGAGAGCATTACCAGCCATTATTTATTCGCATTGGGATCTTACAGAGGATTATATTTATTTAACTGGATTTACCGTTACTACACCGAGGATCATTACGATTTTATTGCTATTGTTTCTGGAACGGCGCAAACAATTCTTTATTGTGACTTCTTCTACCTCTACATTACCAAAGTACTCAAGGGCAAAAAGCTACAACTACCCGCTTAGCTTCGAATGAGAGAGTATTGTTCTCTTATACTTTGGAGAAACATACAACTGCCTGTTTACATCATCGCCAATTCAAGATACATCTCGGCAATCTTGGAAAACGCGAGAAACGCACATTTTATATAGTGTACGTTTCTGCTAAAGTAAGCGATGTCCGGCAGCATTTTCCTCCTTTTGAACAGTTTCTTCCTCTCCCTCTCATGTATCATCCCTTATATATATATAAGTAACGCATTACAACATATAGTGCTTTTACTTAGGGCGCTTACGCGCTTCGAGCGTCAGTCCAAATTTGTTGCTCATTAAATGCGGAGAAAAAAAAAGAAATGAAAGACGAAACCCCGATTCTCGTAAGCGCCCAAAGGAAACGTACCCGTGCTGTTTTCTTTTTAGAACGAGAGAGAGAACTGATGAGACATGTTTCTCTGAGAGTTTCTTTCGTATTTCTCATTTCCAGAGACGTACATTATTACAAAACAAAAAAAAAAAAAAAAAAAAACCGAGATATTTATCCATTTTATAAAATTAAATACATTTACGAGAGGTGAAAAAATGTTTCTCTAGGAACAGAAAGAATTATATAGAAACAGAATTTTCACTTGTGTACATTTACAGTTTGTGTATTGTTATAATTTTCAGTAATAAACATAGTAATTACGCATATTTATAGAATAATCATCACTGAACGAAAAATTCGACGAAAAAAAAGATCCAGACACTTTGGCAATTCAAGAAGAACGCAAAGCAATATACTTAACTAAATCAGTAATGTGAACTGCCTCGTGAAGAGTGGTCGAGCGACTTTTTACATGGACAATGCCATTTTTAAGACTAGTCTTATCTACTGATACGATAAACGGTATCAGATACATTTCTATAATTTGTTCGTCATTCGTCAATATGGTAGAAATTCCTTTTCCCCTGATCATATTGTTTAAATATAGTACAAATTGATTTAAATCTTCTACTTCTGAATCAGTCCCCTCAGTCCGATCAGTCCAATCAGTCTCATTCCCCTGTCTGTTTACGAAGAAGGTCGTTTTGTACGGCGATAACTTGGGATGGATATGCGCACTAGATGAATTGTCCGACATGTAACTGTCGCAGAGCAACGCCAGACAGCCCCAGTCCAAGGAAGCGACATGCTCGATCATGTGCACATCCGCGACGATATCTTTACCACTTTCAGTCTGTAAATAAATATAATTCATTTAAATGAAAGTCATTCTCTCTTCTTTTGCATTCTTTTAGAAGTTACCAAAAAAGACTCTTGATTGTTCTACCTGAGGGAATAATTTACGTGTGTCGGAGTGATGAGTAATTGTCTCCACAGCAACGCTTCCAAAGGGGAATCGCGCCTCTATATCCGTCACGTCGACGTTTCTCGCCTTCTTCGCCTCGGCAAGAACGAATCTCGAGGGATACTGTGCGAGTTTGCGCCACCAGACTTTGCGCTCTCTCTGAATCTTGTGTAGTAGATTCGTCGACTCCGACGCGTCGACCAACATTTTGAGCTTGGCGATTCTGTGCGACGATATTTTGCCGCCGGCCGGCAGCGCGGATTCGTTCCACGTGGTTTTCGACGTCGCGAACGTGGCGAGCGCAAACGGCGTCACGTCCGCCTTCGTTCTTCGCAGCAAATGCAGCGTGTCCGCGATGTTCCCGTCGTAAAGGAACACGTTGTGACGCGACATCGTGACGCAGTGCGCGAACCAGTGTTCCTCGAGGTTTCGCAGCACGAGTTTGCCCTGAGGACCGTAGGCGAAGATCCGCTCGGACAGGTTGAGAAAGTGCGGGCTCACGGTCCTCAGTACGGTTTCCAAATTCATCATCCTGAATCGGTGTTGCTCCCTTTCGAAGGCGCTACAAAGTACTCCTCTTCTAGCACCGCGGCGTTCTTCAATATCTCTTTCCGACTAACATCGTTTCGCGCAACGTCCTCTCGCAATCGGATAAAATCGTTCTCCAGAGTGCTGTAAAGCGGACGCACCGACTCGTCGATATGTACCTTTCTCAATCGCTCGGCAAACGCTATCGCTTCTTCCAGAACGCGTTTGCTGTGCTCGTACTCGAAACCAACCAGCGCCAGGTTTTCGATTTTTCTGATTGTTGCCTCGTCAATTGCGACTTTTTTCTTGTCCGGCCGATTGTTGCAGTTGTTCTCTATCGATTCTTGTTGTTGTTGTTGTTGTTGACTTGCTCGTATTGTCGAAACAGAAAATGTTCTGGGTAAAAGTGCGGTAAACCGATAAAGAGAAGTAACGATATTCTTGTTGAATGATCGCTGAAATCGCCACAATCCGTCCATAATCCTAGGACGTTTCTAAGATGACGCGATATAAGATGATCTCACGAAGAGATCAGATATTTACACAGTACATGTGTGTAACATATGATCGCTTATGTCAGAGCTCGTTACCGTTCTCCGCAGACTTTGAGGTAGCTGCTCATGCGTGGATTTAAAGTTCCTATCAGCTGCGCTCTTTCACCTTTTTTGAACAATACTGCTATTAGTCTTCAACATATATTGTTAATAAATAATACAAAATATCGTTTTATATTTTATAGTCAAATTTCAAAAATTTTCGAATTATGAGAAAAAATGGAGAAAAAAACGATAGATGTAAAATACTTTTAAATTTATTTCTCCTAGCGCGATTCTACAAACGGTAAACAATTACGCAATCTTTACAGTATTTGCAAAGAATTTTAATTACATACCGCAAGCAGGACGCTTCCGCGCGCGCGTTTCCGGTTACAAGACAAAAGACACAACAGCTTTGAGCTTTGGTTAGAGGAGCGCGTCAGATCGCATCAGACTAGGGTTGGGTTAGGTCGAGTCTACTCATCAGTACAAATTTTCGAGCGCCATTGCGCTCGATGTGCACATTGAAAATACGAAGCGACGTTCACAGACATCTTCGAGTCGGTTAAATCCGGTTCTGTTCCGTGCTATGCGCGTACAAATAAACAAATAAATAAATATAACTAATTACAACTGATATTTTATTGAAAACACATTGATTTTATAGTTTGATCAGTTTTATTGAACTTGGACACATATAAATAATGAATGTGCAACATATTTATAAAGTAACTTCACTGATATTTGAACAACGTCCAAGTCGATCAGAAATTTCATCTTTCGGCAGCACGATAAGCTTTCCTCTTTCTGTTTATCTTCTTCATTCTTTTTTTCCAACGTTTTCGTCCTAATTGCCGGCTATAAATTGACAAACTAATGACGTTCCAAGACGTATTTTTTTTTAATCCAGAGCGGCAGCACCGGAGATGATTTCAATCAATTCTCTGGTGATCACAGCCTGCCGAGTACGGTTGAATGTGAGAGTGAGCTTGTCGATCATTTCGCCAGCGTTTTTACTGGCGTTGTCCATAGCCGTCATACGACTGGATTGTTCGCTACATGCACCTTCCTTCATTGAGTAAAACAGCAAGGAAGCAAGCGAGAATTCTAGATAACTCTGTATCACCTCTTCATCTAGTGAATCATACACGGATAGTTTCGGTGCGCTGGTCACCGCGTTCTTGTCGAACAACGGCAGATCATCTACGCCATACGACACCACAGACTTGAATTTGTTGTACACAATACGTCCGGAGCCAAAGGAATAACTGTGCAAAAAAGAATAAGTTCAATCATAATCTGCTGTCGCACACAGCAACAACCGAATCTCAAGATTCAGAATCAATATAATTTTTATGTAAAATAAAAAAAATTCATATAAAATTATTAAATCTATTAATAAGTACTTTAGCGCGAAACATACCCGCTGTTCATTATCTCTATGGCTATCTTTGCCGAGTCATTAAACGTCGGTGGTTTACGACCGACCTCGGACGCGACAAAGAGTATGTTGTTTGCAAACAATCGCTGCAGGATCGATCGTGACTTCTCGCCGATGCATATGATTTTTGTGTTTTCGCGTTCCTTAGGATCGGCTAATAAACTGTCACGGATATTACGTGACACGCCGGTGTGCACAGCGCCGCACAGACCACGGTCGCTGGTCACCGCGACGACCAGTTTCTTTGGCTCTTCTGGCGGTGCTTGAATCTCAGCCTGCTCGTAGAATATCTTGGTACCGACTCCGAGAGGACGGGCCTGCTTCAAGTCACGCTCAGCTCGATTGTACTTGGCCGCGGACACCATCTTCATGGATTGTGTGATCTTTTGAATATTCTTAACGGACTTGAGACGTATTGAGATGGCCTTGAGAGTGGCCATTCCTCTCTGTTGCTGCCATTGCTGCTCCTGCGTGGCCAGCCGCAGGATCGGTGACACACGATTGCTGAACATTGTTGTCAAATGATCCAATCCCTAAAACTAAATTCGAATCAAAAGTAAATGTTATGGGTATTTTTAGCTGTTTTTTTTATTTAAAAAACCAATTCTTTAGAAGAAATTTAGCATCTTCTACATTTGATCATCTTTTTTTTATATCTTTACAAAACACAGTGTTCCATTACTTGTCACTTTACCAATAAGATAAATCGATACACGATGTAAAATTTGAATTACACAAAATTAGAATTACAACCTAGGTGTCAAATTTGACAAATGTTTGATTAGAATGTAATTTAAAACGCGGCACAATATCATTTCGTTTACATAATCGCAGATAGGACATACACACATACAGTAGTTCACACAGTATTCGAATCAATTACGGAATCAAGTTTGTTGTAGACAACTTGGAAATTATTCGAAAACGATGCAAACAAATCGACTTACCAATCAGCTGTAAAACCAAATCTTACAGAAACTCGAAACGCTATCAATCAGCCGAAACAGCCTCCGCACACACGGAAACTCACGGAGGAGATCCACGCACACGTAACGCGCTTTAAAGGCGAGTTTGCATTTATCTAAGATCGGTGCGCCATCTATACGCGTAAAAACTATCGACAAGAAAAAAATGAAGAATGTTTTAAATTTTGTAAACAATTTACTACATAAAAGAATTATTTTATCTTTACATAATATACAAATGTATATTATATAAAATCTCTACAACATTATACATACACACAATCGTATTTTATAAATTTGTATAAGATAACTGAGAAAACACATTTATACACAATAAAAAATTAACTTTGTTTATAAATTTACAATTTTATATTTTAAAAAACGGAGAAAATAAATTTTTAAACATCATTTGCAGTTTTTTTAACAGAACAATGGGACTTATATACAATAAGTCGATGCGCAATATGTTTTCAGTAAACAGCACATATCACCTTATATAGGCGTTTATTAAATAAGATGTATAAACACTCCTGAAAGAGTGCTCACTTATACATGTACTATATCCATTGTATATACTATATACATTTCAATAAAAAGCAGAAATTCAGAACAAATCGAGCGGAGGGCAGGAGCCTTTGTCGAACATTTCCTCCCGTTCGCCATTCTTTTTTTGACGCTCACGCTCGTTATGCATATCAAGGACACGTCTCGTTCTCTTCCACATAAATACACACTCGTACATATCCTCTATTATCAATCTGCATTTCTCCTTGCCTCTGTGATAACCATACGCTTCCATGCAATCAGCTAACTGTACTTCATAATGCGCACAATCCTTTCTGCATTGAAGATTGAATACTTGATTAAACCAATCTGTAACCGGCGTCTTGATAAAAGGCGATTGCCATTTCATGGCATAAATTTTGTCGTGATCTATCATGATGTACCTGGAAAAAAATGACGTTTAAGAGACAAGTTTTACCATCAATTTGAAATTTATTCATGCGCACAGAGTACTAAAAAATATTTTGTTGTAAACATTTTTTTAAATCACAAGCTGCACGAGCTCCTAAGTTTCTATTTTCTGTGTTCTGTGTCACTGAATATACATGTTTACTTGATTTCAATGACACAGTATAAAAGAATGATAGAAAAAAAGAAGATGTCAAAAACAAAGTTATATCACTTCTTAGATATATCGTAGACCAGATATCTTATATATATATATGAATTGTATGTCAAAAAAGAGAGGAAAATAATATACCGTAATGACATTAAAAATAAGGTATGTACATTGTGTGCACAAATATAGATGTAATCTCGAATCAGTTATTATTATTGCCAGAAAAAATAACCTCATTAAACTTGAAAAACTTTATATACGTACAACCGTACGTAAAAAAAAAACAAAGAAATAAGTGTGATACACGTACCAAAAATCTACTCAACTTTGTAAGTAATTTTCTAATTACTTCAGTTTTCTATTCAATAAAGTTAATGCGCGAAAGCAGAACAAAAACGGGACGATCTCTTTGCACTTTTACGTAATCGCCACTAGAGGCAACCATATTACTATTACTAACCTATTGAACGACTCCATTGAGAGGGAAACTCAAAATTACTGGTCTATCATCATAACAATCATCGACGGAACATTGAAAATTAATTAATTTTGACTAATTAAATAGATCTAATAAATAATCAATAAACACAATAATTGTGATTCATATGAAGTATATCCTCAAAGTGTTATATATTCAAATTTTATATACACAATTTACAATAAGAAATATGAATTAGGTTTTTTGGAATTTTTAATTACAAAAATTATATAACATACTGTTCCTAAGATTTTAACTTTCCTCATAATAAAAAATCGTTGATTTCTTCTCTCATCTTTTTTAAGGACAATTTTCGTTGGGCGGCTGTCAACAACGGCGCTGGTAAAGTGTGTAAAATATCGGACCGTCGGAAAATTAATTTACAGCTATAACAGAGACAATCCCAAACGTTTTCAGCAGTTATTTGTCCTCTTTTATTATCTTTACACCCACACTCATTATCGTCATTGCACCGCGCCACGTTACTTAGTCTCGATATTGCGCAGTTTATTTCTCCATTTTTCTTATTATCAAAAGTCTGCGTGTTAACGCACTTGGTAGATACCAATCTGGAAACTTCGATCGCTCTCACAGCGGATACTCGGTCGTTAGCAGACGTAGAGTCCAATACTCCGTCGCACAGTACGCAATAATCTTCTTCGTCTTGTCTTTCGAGATTTCTTGCGCTTAATTTCTCAGCTGTACGAAACACAGTAGACACCGTGCTGGAGAATTGAGATTCCAAGTTCATTGTGAAATTGTGCGCTAACGTTTGTATGGAAGTCGCAGGTGCTGTCACATCGGATTTCCGGATTTTAACACAATTTACCTCATGATATTTTGCATAGTGCACCAATTCCTGCTGTGTAAAATCTCTCATCGGTTTGAGTATCTTGATATCGGCGTATCGAGCATCGCAGAATTGTGATAAGGTGGAAAGTTGTGCACCTCGTCCTAAACATACATCTCCGATCACTTTGGCGGCAATGTCTGTAGAGGAATCTGCTACAAGTATTTTGTTACAATTGAGTCTTCGAGCGGCTAACAAAAGCAATCTCCGACGTAAATAATTGAGCAAATCTATCCTGGAAGTGTTATCCGATAAATTGGCCAATATTGAGCGAAACTGATCATCATTTTCATTGTTTATTTCTCGATTATCTATCCGTTTTATATCCAAGTTGTCATTTTTGTTTAAAACTTGACTCAGTGATACAATGTAACCATCAAATCCAGAATTATTCACTTCCTTAGCAACTTTCTGTCTCTCAGTGTCTTTTTCTTCATTTGTGTTTTCCACTATACCACTGTCTTTTAAAACATTTTACAATCTTAATATTTGTTGTGATATAAAATAATTGATGTATGAAAAACACTTATAAAAGACACTTACCGTCTATATATAAAATTGTTGTTTTAAACATGAGTTTCTTATGAGCTGATTCGCTCATGCCAGCTTTGATAAGATGTAAAAGAACGGAAGAATTCAATTCGCCAGAAAAATCGACCAGCATAGAATCGTCACGTCGAATAAGCTTGGATTTGCCAAGATTGGCTCTGAACTTATGATTTGCAGCAATTAGAAAACATTTTTTACAATAACCACTTTGGCCAATTAATAAAACATCAGCATTTTCACATCTACATTTTCTGCACAGAGTCGTCTCTTTGCTACAAATAAATAACATATATATAATCTCAATAACATACTTATACACGAATTTATTTCCTTGTAATTATACTTACGTCAATGTGTTTTTATCATTAACTGATATTTCATCATCACATCTGTAATCATTTAACGAGCACATCTTGTTTTTAGCAAATTGTTACGATGTATGTGTTCAAACTAATGGTTAATTTCTATAAACTTTATTTGAACACTTGTCTTATATTTATTTTAGTCTTTTTAATAAATAAGCGATCATTCTCTCTCCCGCTCCGAACTGATTTCAGGTTAGGTTAGGTTTTACGAGATGATTCCTCGTGTAAATTGGTCACGTGATTGTGATTCTCGACGATATGCATCGATTTTATCTCGATTGATCTGCATTTAATGCTGATTGATCCTATATTAAAAAAGGCACGAGTCGAATCGAATCGGTAAGATCGAGAGAGTAAATAATGAAAAGCGATTTTGTGCACGTAGTTGGAAAGCATCCATAATTCTTAGGTTCCTTAGCATATAATTTTTGCTATAACATTCTTTTATATCTACATTTATGGCGTATGGACTAACCGATTTCGATCCAAGAGCCACAAACGCATCAAAACCAAAACCAAAAAAAAAAAAAAAAAATCGAGATTGTCGATTTCTTGGTAAGAGTTTGATGCTCAGATGTGGCTCAGTCTAGATGATTTTTTGGAAGAAGAAAAAGTCCCTAAAGATGAAAAAACCATTAGATGGTGGTCAATGACATCAGGATATCGGGCGAAACAACATTGAAAGCATCTGATTAAGTTCCCATGAGAGCATCTCTATGAAAAATGTACTTATTCGAAAAATGCACCAACTTCTGCTCCGTTTCCTCTCCCACTTGTATATCCTTCCCCTTACCCTTCCCCCTCCTTCTTCTTTTCCATCTGAAATCCAGTACATTCAGCGCAGCACAGTTCAGTACAGCTCTGTCAAGTTAAGTTCCACCAATCGAAGACTGGCGTATGCTCCTTCCTTACCGGGGCAAGAGCCATTACAGCAAAGAAGAAGAAGTATTCGAAAAATGAGGTGTCACGGCACATCCTCTCGATTACGGACGAAAGAGAAAAATAATATATAGTATAACTAATTTATATTATAAATTATATTTTATAATATATAATATTTGTGTATCTCAATACAAAAATAGCATACAATCTTGTAAAGGCACCTTTTTTGGAAATAGAAAATATTTTTTACAAGAAATAAAAAATAAAATGTACAAAAATGTTTTTTTTATGAACACAAACTCTTGTAAACATTTATATAGCTGTTGTCATAATATAGTGAGTAGTCCGAATCATCATCATCACAACCTTTGTATGGTTTTAAACTAGCAAACGGATTGGTGTAACATTGATATTCTATCGTTGCGCGCGCGCCAAACGTATTATTTATTACAGTATTTTCCATACTATACTTTCTTTTTGAATAACACACGAGTAAGGGACACTTTAATGTAGCTATTACTTCAAGAGACGATGTCCACATATTTTTATATACATTACTAAGAGAATTATAATTATTAAATCGCATAATAAAATCTGGTTTTTCCTTAGATATTTTTATATATTCGTCGTACGACATATTCTGACACATTGTTAGAATTAGTTTATTATTCTGTTTACAAAAATCACACTTAATTCGAACATTTTGACACGTTGTTACTGATCCTAATGGTCCTATCACGACAACTTTTAGAAACTTTAAGTTAGAAAGGATGTGTAATAAAATTTCCCATCCTGGCAAAGTTTCTAGTTCGTCCAAGTGTGTTGCTATAATATGAATGATTAATGAAGTTTTTTTACAGTTTTCATAATCTGATATACAATTTAACAAGCGCATTCCGTACAACAATGTCAACGGTCGTGTTACATATATGGATTGTTCGATTTCTACTAAATCAGGCGACACATCTATTTGAAACCCTTTTACGTTACCGTAAATATTGATGAACATTTTTATGTCAGAAAATTTCTCCTCATAGGAAGAAACGGAACAATAAGGACTAAGAAAATCCACGGACTGGCACTTTTGCATATGCGTTACGTCTGACTTTAAACATTGTTTCAAACGATAGCAATTATCATCGTCGTGCATGTTTTTGTGCTGTGCGCACAACCACACAGCCATGCAGTGCGAACATTGTTCCAATTCGTCACTTTTTGTACGGCACATCAAACAGATCATTGGATATTGGAACATGTGCACTTCGTATAGCAGCAACTCCCGTGTCATTCCAAGTCTCACTCTATCTTTTAGAAGTTTCATCATCCTTGAACTGTCTTGATATGCTGATGAAGCTGCAGAGAATGATGGAGTTTTACGCACATACTGTATAATTGTGCATAACTCTTTATGATAAGGCCAATGTAGTTTCTGATGTTCTTCACTGCAATAGGTGATCATGTTGCATCCCACACACTGGGTCAAAACGATGTTACCACCGGCTTGCTTGCAGACGTGGCACAGAGTTGAATAGAAAAAGTTATTGTAACTCCCAAGCTTCCAATAAAAATCCATTTTTGTTCATGTACACACGTATATTATGTTACTCAGAAGATAAATATTCTCTCAGGAAAGAATTGCGATAAATATACTTGTTTTCTTCTTGTTACAATAAATTGATAAGCGATGAACTAACTAGTAATAGCTGCATGGAAGGTTATAGAAGATTATAGAAGGTTATAGGTGTAACAAAAGTTAGAGAACCAGTGTTCACAGTTTTAGCTTCCTTACAGCATGCTGAAGCGGTGGAAGAGATGCGCACAACAGCAGCGAGTTTATGCAGGTAGAATTCGCTGCTGTTGTGCGCATCCCTTCCACCGCTTCAGCATGCTGTAAGGAAGCCAAAACTGTGAACACTGGTTAGAACATATGGAAATTTTATGAGTTTTAAGGGGGTTTTCTCATGTAACACATCCAAAACCTTAAGCATTTTTTTAGGAATTTTTAAATAAAAAATATAAAACGCAATCTTTTTAATCTTTTTATATGTTATTATTTGAATCTTCTAGTGTTTATTACATATATAAAAAGATTAAAAAGATTGCGTTTTTTATTCTTCATAAAAAAATTTCTAAAAAAATAAGCCTAAACTTTTAACTTGGTCACATGAAAAAATTCCTTTAAATGTAGTAGGTCACATCTCTTCACTATCGAATAGGAAATTTTGGGACTTCAGAAATTCTCTATAACTAGTGATTCAGAGTGTGTTCGTACAGTTTGGTTTTGTGCTAAAAGCGTTACTCTATCTTTGCACACATTTATTAAAGAGCAATGAAGATAGACTGTTATCTTCACACATACAAAAACGAGCTATTCAAACGCAGCCTCGCCAGCGCGTCTGAAATCTTTTGTTGTTTACAAATATAACGTCGAGGATATATTATCATCTCACTTTAGATGATAAATGTGTCATTAGTTACACGTTTAAAACCATATAGTTTACGTTACACTTATGTAGCTTGTTAGAAATAAATAAACACGTTTAGTCAAAATAAAGCATTTAGTTTTACAAATTTGTTAGAAACAATGCGTAGCTTTACTGCAACAAACACCGCTTTTCGATCATTGTTCCGATTATCGATAATTTTTACAATGTGTCTATATCATTTCTCGTGATTAGATAAAGCGTCATTTTGAGTTGAAAAATCTTCGCTTTAAAAGTTTTGTAATAATTAATAAGTTATTGATTCATAAGTTTAATAAGTTATTGTAATAATTAAAATAAGTTATTGATTTATAAGTATCTGCGAATAAACATGAGAGTAAAAAAATAGCTCAGCAATTCGCGCGTTCACGATTGCTAGTCGCGCGGCGACAAGTTTCATGTTTAATCAAAAGAAATAATTACTAATAATAATTACTATGAATTACGAATATCTAAATTAAAATGTGTCTCGATCGTATAAGTCTAACACGGATCCTACAAGATTTTCATTATATGTTGACGGATAAGACCAACCACCGAATACTCTCTCGATCTCTTGCGCAACAGCAATTGTCAAATGATCACAACCTGGATTTGCGACAATCTGTCAGAAGGAAAGAAACACGATATTAAAAAATGAGCAAAGCTCCAAATGGATGAACTTGTTTTTTTTTTTTTTTTTTTTTGAATAAAAAACATATTAACAATGATTCCAACGTAAATATTAAACAGACGTTACAAACCAATGTAAACTGATTAGACTAAAGATACAAAAATTGACAAATAAGATAAAAAAAAAAAGAAACAGAAATAATAAAATTAAAGTTCCTTATATGTTTTCCACGTATTATGTTGAACGGAAAAATATAATGTTTCTTTACCTGAATTCCAATCGGCATTTGTCTGTTATCAAACCCAAGTGGACATTGCGTTACCGGTAGTCCGAGCATGTTGTAAATAGCCGTCAAGGTAAAATTTGGGATATTATACAACACTTCTCTAGGATAAGGCGCCGACGACAAATAAGTTGGAAAGATTAAGACGCCGTTATTACCTAATATCTCCTAATCAAGTTTTTACAAATAGTATATTTTAAAATATAATAAAAAACATTATATAGTTCTATATATACAGTTCTATATATACATTATATACACATTGTATATACAGTTACTCCAAAAAGTTTATGAATGTCAACAGAAGTTTACCTCAAATTCTCTTTTTAATTGCATTTTTTGTTCTATCATTTTATTATAAAACGACTGTGGAATGAGGGCAAAAAGCTTTCGCATTATCCCAAACATTATAGCGGGACTACTGTGTGGTGACATACCAAAGAGAAACTTCAATACTTCTTTCCATACGCTCTTTGTTTTCTGTGTAAAATATTACACGTAAGTTCTTTTTCTCCATAACTTAAATGACAATAAAACTTATTATTTACATTATATATATATATATACCTTGGGATCATCAAAACGATCAAACATAGAGTATACATTTTTAATGGAAATAAGGTTGATTAGACTTATTTCAAACACCGACTTCATATTTAAATTTGCCTGTATACATACATACAGATAATAAAAATAAAATAAACGTATTATATATTTACATATATCTGGTTATTGTGTATAACTTATATGTAATAACTGTGAGTATATCTTGTATTATTTATTACTTTCTAGTGTGACAACTTTGAGCTGTTTCTTCAATTAAAAGCAATTTATTTTGTTACAACAAATGCTTTGTTATTTTACATACCTTTTGCACTTTAAGATCAAATGTCGTTTCTATGTGTCTGATGAGGTTTTGCATTGCGTTTTTCATATCGCTGTTCAATGAGTTTATTACCTTCGAATTGCAATCGTTCATGTAAAAGAACTTCACTTCTTTCAGATGCACCTATAAGGTGATCATATATATATTTAGTGTGTGTGTGTGTGTGTGTGTATTAACATAGTACATGGTTTTCTTTGTTATACATAAATTATGTATTGTAGTATTTTACAAAGAATCGAAACGTGTTATTTATATTAGTATTTTTTTACTGTTATATACGCGCGTGAAAAGTCGTACTTCTGCCTGCTTGTTTTAGTATACTATAGATCGGGAACCGCAGATACATGTGATCATACAAATGGAATGAAAGTTCAAAAGCCGTTCAGTTAAAATATAACTAAATAAATTATGAAGATTCTGACCTTCTTATTAAAGCCAATTTTAGCGTTATCAGATTGTGACACCACTGTCAACAGAAGAGGCAAATCAGTGGCATACCTGACCAAAGGACCTACTGCAAAATACAAGGGCCAATCCTTGTCGAGTGCGCCAGGTTTATGACCCTCTACTGAAACCCAGTCTAAGAAAACAACATTTTTTTCATCTTGTACTTATTGCAATATTAATTTTGAAAAAATGCGCGAGAGACAAGTGCGCACGTGCGCATGTATTGCGAAATTTTAGATATTGTAATATCTTTCTTTTAGATTATTTGTTGGATGTGAAACTTACTGGGTGTAGGTTTATGACTGAAAACGCCGCAGAACATCGCTGGCAGTCTGATTGATCCTCCGGCGTCTGAACCCATGCCCAAGAGAGAGGCGCCAGCGGCAAGAAGGGCAGCCTGATTACACAGATAGTTTTTTTTATACTATGTAAATTAACTTCATATTTACGTAACAAAAATTTAAATTTTTCTTTCTATTTTACGTATATTTTTATTATGGAAAACTCTCATTTGTTTTTCTGAAAAACAAAAAAACGACGTACAAACCTCGCCACCGGAAGAACCGCCGGGTGTTTTCCGTATGTCGTAAGGATTCTTGGTGCTGCCGGTCACATTATTGTATGTATGCCAGAAAAGACACAACTCCGGCGTATTACTGACAAGTAAAATAATTCCACCCGCATTGCGAATTTTCGTCACAACATCGGCGTCGTGAGTTGCCTTCGAAGGATCGTCTTTTACCCCCACAGTATGACTCATCCCTAATTAAGTTTACATTTTTATTATGTATCGTGCTAACTTACGAATTTGTGGTCAGCAAAGTATGGATATATCATTTTCTAAATTATTAGAAGTTAAATTAAATTATTAGACTTAATGTATATTTCTATCTTTAATTTCATATTTTTAAAAAAAGATGCCTGAAAAGATGTTTAAAGCACACAATAAAATTAAAGTTGTTATCTCTAGCAAGATTGTGAGTCTTTATTCTACACGCGTTTATATAGAAAACTACAGTCGCGCTTAAATAAAAATTAAATAGTAATTATTGAACGACTAAATATATAAATAGTACTAGTAATAAGTAAATAATATGTTCAACTATTGATCAAAGTAATATTTTCTATGCAATAATAATTTTACATTACAAAGATTGGTGCTTAACCAGACAGCACAAAAATCCAAAAGATATCTTAAAAGATCCAAAGAGAAATTATCTAAATTATTTTGGCTATCTTTCAGATATATTATGTCTTTCGGATTTTTGTTGAGTATTTTCAGAAAAAGTGTCAAATACAATCGAATAATAATCAATTTTAGATTACATGCAAGAGAGCAACTTACCTTGAACGGCAATACTTTCTTTGATCGTAATAGGTAATCCCAGCAGCGGTTTTTGACTCGCAATTTCCGACTCGGTCATTGTAGTTGAATGTAAAAAATCGTCGACTTCACACGCCTCTTGAACAGCATTCTCGAATCGATCCTCGACGATCGCATTGAGCAATGGATTCACCTCTTTGCACCGTTCCACGTACGCAGTGATCACTTGTTTGCAACTAATCTTTCAAAAATAATACAATCGCATTTTATTTTTACTCTCTGTGTGACAAGATATTGGTTTTTTTTTTCATACAATGTCTCTATTTAAAATTATCAAAATATGTATCAAATTTTAACTTTCAATGGTTACTTTATTAACGGATTTCTCGATTGAACAGCATATTATCGAGTAGATAATAGACTTACTTCTTTTCTGCGAATTCTTCGAGCAATTTCTGTTGCCGATTGCAACAGAATTTTATTATTGATTGACGGACATTGCCGTTTCTTTCTTAAATGGCGTAATTTGACAAATGGAGCAAATAAACATCGAAGAAGAAAGAACAAGATCTTTATTAATATTAATAATATTATTGTCTATAAAAATAAAAAAACAAGCATCGGTGTCAGGTAATTTTTCGCATATTATTATAAAAAAATCTTAATTAGAACTAGAATAATAAATATTTAGTCCTTACCATGGTAAAAGAGTATTGTATAATTTTATCGTATATACGTGTTATTACGTCTTTGCTCTTTTTCTTTTCTTCGGACTTGCGGCGTTATTTCTCACGTTAGTATAAGATGTGAAAGATTTGAATCTTTTAGATGAAAATTTAGAAATTTATTATTACTTCATTGTTGTTTTATATATATTATATATATTATAAAAACTAATATTTTATTGCTTACCGAGTCAAAGAAAATATAAATTTAAAGCACGTTTGCCAGCGATAATGAAAGCTTTATAAGTTGTCTTGCCGTCACGTCATATTATTGGCACACATTAATTAATTCATATCTCAATAATTATTGCAAAATGGTAAGTAACTTTTCTGTTGTTCAGAAATTGACCCAATCTGCCTAAACACTTATTTATTCGTTGTTAGACACTCTGTATATAGAACAACTGCAATATAATATACATAGTCAAATAAGGAAAAGAAACGCGATAAAATACGATGGTAAATTTTGATGTTAACGTGAAGTACAAATAAAAGTACCGTCGTCGCATGCAATACTTTCGTTCTTCGTCGTTCATTTCACAACTGATTTTATAATAGATGGATGTTGTCAAGTATTTTTTATGGAAATTTATGTGGACACTTCCTCAAGGTTTGTATGCACACACGTGGCTTCCAAATGAAACGCAAACAAAGAATTCTGAGACGTCTTACTCTCTGAATTCTACATATATCATCTTCTACAAACTTTGAATAAGAATTCTAATCACCTCTGTCATTACAAGCTTGACTTTCATCAAGCATTCGAGATCAAAAAACGTGATTACAAATAATAGCGCACTTATTTAGCAAGTACATTGTACATTTAAGAAAAATAATAAAATTTTCGAGAGAACGTGTATCTTTATGTTACATATTTTTTGTCACACGTTTGTTCGATTTCTAAGAGACTGATCTAACTAGTTTTGATTTTTGTTGAGCAATGAATAACACTCGTTATGAAGTGAAATTGATCGCTCTGACGCACGCATAATTACTGATCTGCACAGCTGTTCCAAAAAAACACATTACATTCAAAATGACATCATTCTGAGATAATAAGTAAAAGTTACTATTGTTGTGTCAAAGTGACATAAAAACATTTGCAAATAATAATTGTGACAAGATTTTAACACTTCAAACAAAACCCTTTTATGCACAAACAAAATTTTCAGGGCCAGCGCAAAGTTATCTTTCTGTCACTGAGTATCCCAGCAAACACAAAGTAACATTAAGTTACGTAACATTAATGTTATAATTTCTCACTCAACAATATGTAACTGCTACGTACAAGGCATGTTACATTACAGTTACATCGTTGAGTGGGAAATTATAACATTAATGTTACGTTACTGTTACTTTGTGTTTGCTGGGATACTAGAATCAATTTTTTATTACACGAGAAACACGTAATCAATTTGAAATAAAATCAAAAAAGTTATTTTGGTTTTATGTTGACTTCAGTGTGTTCCTTAGAACACACGCGTTAACACGTTCGTCGCCCAGCGTGATTCGGCTGAGTTTCTCGCCGGGCCCACTGAAAATCCTATTTACTTGAACAAGAAGTCACCCAGATATAGGTGACGCGGCGACGAACGTGTTAAGTTATTCACCGCTCTATTTTTTGAGAGGTGTAAAAGTTGCAATTTTGTTAGGTTTAGTGTATAAAAAAGTGATAATATATCATCGCATATGCGATAAAATAAAACGAAGTTGTTAACCGATAATCACTCGATCAATTGCCTCGATATACTTTACAATTAATTTTCATTCACAAGTATTTGATCTTCATTTGGTAAAGGTAAAAAATAATGAAATAAACTTCTAAAAAATAATAAAATTTTAGACAGGAAATAATAATGCGAAAATTCACACAGAACAAATATCTCATTAGATATTGCATGAAGATTGTGGATGTCTAATGAACACATCTAATAATGTTTTATATAAGAAAAAAACTAAATTACCTCAAAAAACGTAATTCAATGTAAAATCAAAAATTGATTGATTGACGTATAATCTAATAGTAATATCAAGATAGATGAGAAGATTACAGAATAAAATTGTCTACAAAAAAAACCCGTTCGACTTTTATTGACTTTTTATTTAATTTATTTTAATTTTGATTTTGACAGTAAATTTGTGTGTGTGTGTGTGTAACTATAGTCCCAGCAAACACAAAGTAACATTAATGTTACGTAACTGTTACTTTGTGTTTGCTGGGGTTGGACATTTCAATAATTAGTGATTGCGTATTAAGAACCCAAAAGAAATAGTTAATTGAAAAAAGTAATTCAAGATAAAATAACAATGTAAATAAAATAATTTAATCTTACGATGTACTTCTGCTGTTGTTTCAAGAATTAATGTTTCTTACCTTAAAACCTTATTACCTTAAATACCTTAAAACAAGTTTTCTCACACACAAACACAGTTTCAATTTGATCGAGCGAACTTGATTGTTCTGTTCTCTTCGGCTCACTATTCATGACTACTACTAATACGTATTTCAAGAAAGAGAATATCTAGCTGAGTTTGCGAAAAGAAGTGGGAGTGATGACCTAAGTTTGAGGACAAAGAAAGTCACTTTTTACACTTCGTATAAACATTTTTATTATTACAATTACGTAATAATAAGAATATTTTTACTGAATAAGTATTATCATGTATTTTTATAAAAAAACACATTAAACCCTTACGAAAAAGAACTACTGCCGATTACATATAAATAAAGTCAGTAATATAAATATTACTGACAATCGCATAAGAATATTATTAGATATTACAGGAATCACTGAGAGTATTATTGGCAATTACACAGAATGCCAGTAATTTTTTTGTACCACTGCCGCAATATATTACTGTCAGTAGTTCTTTTTTGTAAGGGAAGTGATTCACTTATAACACAAAATACACATGATATGACATATTGAAGATATTTTATTTTGATATAAAACATTTGAAATAGTAGACTTACATATTTAAAAAAAAAACTTGTGTACACTCGATTGAAAGTGGCTCATGAATACATAATAGTAAAGTACTCTACAAAAAAAAGAAGGTCATGAAGAGAAAGTTGTTTTTGTACAAGATGTCTCAAAACTATCAGAAAGAATTTTTAATGATTTTGTTTGCCACACAATAATAATGGCTCCAAATTTTTAAATACACGAATAAAAGAATAATAGTCTAAATACACACGGTTGATTGTGTATTTAAAAATTTTTTTTATTATTACAAATATTGCAAAACTTCATGTAATTAAATCAACTTTAAAGTACAAAAAGTCAATTATAAAAAATGAAAAGTAGCAGTTTGAGTGTAGCTGAGATTTATGTGTTTTCATTATTGTTTTACAACTTAACACCCTGGAGTAGTTATCGCGCGATAGTTTTATTCAAAAGTTTAATTTTACGCTACAGAAAAGTATTCTCAGAACTCTCGATTCACATGTACGAATATTTCAGACTTTATTTTATCAACGTCATGTCATTAATAAAATTTCACGAGCGGTTGCAAAGCCTTTTGCTTAATACGTGATTTATATTTGAAAGAATTGGCAAAAAATCGATTCTACGCAATAACTACCTTACAACATCATAAATAAAAAACATTGACGTAGCATCTCCCGGTCGAAATGTTTACAATCCGTTCATAATAAAAAAAAAAATCACAAATTAATCAACTGTATTGACCTTGAATTAATTTATACTTGCAAACTGATTATAAAAAACACTAATCTGAAATATCTATAGAAGGTCATTTAGTTTAATATCTTTATATCATGAAGTTGTGTGACTACTTTTCATTACGGAATGTTAAGATATTAACTGGCGTTCCGATATTTACTGTCAGTACTGGAAATCTAAAGCACATGTGAAATATATGAATTTCTAATACTGCCAGTGAATATTGGAACGCAGTTTTTATTAAATCATTATTTGTGTAAAAGCACGACTCTGCCTTTAGGGCATGAGTCATCCCAAAGAACGGGGAGCAATAGCAAAAAAAGTTAAGTTTTGCGAGATAATAGGTTCCGACCATTTAAAGGATTTTATCTTATTTATAACGATATATCATTCTGATTTAATAATGATAGAATATCTTTTTTTTTTATATGTCATCATCAATCCCATCCGGTAGTTTTATGATACTTGTCTTTAGTTTTATGCACACACAAAAAGTAGAAAAAAACGAAAATACAATTTTGGAACGATATTTATTTCAGAAAAGATTACAAGATTATATTCAGGACTATAAAACATTTTAGACGTTTACCCGCGCGATCGCGGAATGTTTATTCGCTTCGCGTTGGTTAAAAAATATTATTTACATTGCACATTATACACATATTATATTATATCACTAGCATTGTATCAGACACGAGCGGATAATTGGTCATTAAAAAAACTTTCCGCGAAAGGCCATATCAAACAAACACGTTTTTGCTTAATACATAAATAAAGAAAAGAATTTTTTTATATTTAAAAAGTTAAAGTTCATGACTAACTAGTTATTTGATCGATCAGATAGTCGCTATCAGATTACAAAAAATAATATTTCCCAGATAACCAATATACGAGTAAACATATTATGTCAGTAGAATGCAGACAGCAATCATAATGTTACTTTAATTAGTGTCGACAAAAAAAGCACGAAGAAAAAGAGAATATAAATGTATTACGCCGTGATGCAAATATTGTTGCATCAGTTAAGCAAAACTTGCCGACATAAATGTAGCAGATTTAAAGCATAACGTGCTATTGTCTTTATTTATTTCTATATTTTCATTATTTTTGCTGTGTTGCTTTATTTGCATATCGTGCCTACACAATTCACTCATATTAGGGACACAGCTGAGTGGAATCCGCTGCGAAGTGCTGATTAAATCTGCGCGCATACTGCTGACATACTGATATCATTTGACTATCTGGGATATTAATAAACATCAGATAACGCTAGCTAGACGCGTACGTCATGTTGACTTTTATATTCTCACGTTTATACTTTTCTGTTCGCCTTTGTAATTTTAACAGAACTTTGTGTGCAAAACTTCATGGTTTTTTAATTTTCTACAAGAGAGACAGACAGCTAAAATTAAAAAAACTATTTTTGTATTTCTTTTTGAGATTTCTACGTAACGCAGAATGACAAATTTCTTAGGTTCTAGTTTTACCATTATTTTTATCGATTTGTGAAATCTTACGATGGAATATCGAGATACAACTTCTCGGCGATAATCGTCGCGTTTCATAATACGACCGTGTCAGACGATCGCGTTTGAGGCACACGCGCGCACTCGCGCCGCGGAAAGCCGCTCGAAGAGAAAAAGGGAAAAAAAGAACACATATTTTTAATACAGGAGACTGTTGCTAAAATAAGTCTAAAAAAACATCACGAACGATAGTAATGATGCAAGTCGGCGGATAAATATACATAAAACGAAAACAGCTTCTGATTACTTGACTTTGACATATAATATCAAGGTGAATTACTTCAAGGTGAATTACTTTGAGGTGATAGTCGCTAAAAAGTTATTGATGTTCATTAAAAAGTTATTATCAAAAATGATATATCAATAAAATTAAATTTCTGTCAATACATAGAACATAATTGAAAAGTAATTGGATAGGCAAATTCATGTGAAACAGTACAATCACTTCGTTTCGATCCTAAGCAGGAAAAGATGCGAGTTAGTCCTCGCTTTGCGCGGAAAGTCGAAAATCTATGTGGAACAAAACAATTATAGACTTCGCTTCGCCCCGTAAGCAAGAGAGGGAGGGTGGATCTTGTTTTATTCGAAAATATGTCACATCTGGTCCCATCATTTATGCAATATCAGTATCAGGGGTTGCTCTTGAAATCCTGATGAACTGAAATTTTTATAAAATGTCAATATAAAAATGACACTAACGCGGTTCAAACCCGAAAATCATCTTCAAATATAGAAATTTTATTGTATTAATATATCATTTTCTTTTTTTTTTGTTAAAAACTTCTTAATGAACAGTGACCATTGCTTAAAACCTTTTGAAGGTCACTCAGGTCTATGACCTTGATACCTTGATATGTCAAAATCAAGGTTAGAAGCTGCTTCCCTTTTATTTATATGTACCTAAAAGTAGACATAAACGTTAGAAGTAAACTTCAGTTTAGGCGACCATCGTCCGTCGATTCTCAAACAAACACTGTCGTACTATTTCCAAAGAACACATACAAGTGCGAAAGTTTCTCACGCTTTCCGCTCCTTGTTACTCTTTCTTAAGTACCGAATACATACATTATTGTAATATTTTATTATTATTAATATTATTATTTATGTCTACGTCCAACGTGTACATGCGTCGTTTCTAGTTTTTTTCTGGTACTTAACGATAGCAATCATCATTATCACCTTACATCGCTGCCAGTTATCACTAGTTTGTGTCATAATAAAATACGTCAATATATGTGTGTGTATGTATATATATATATATGTATATGTATATATATATACATATATAATTTACGCGATATCGAATTCTTAACGTCTACCGCAATGAAAAAAATAATTTTTTCCCGTTGAAAACTTGTTTTTTTTTTTTTTTTTTTTTTTTCAGCACTTTAAAGCCTCTAAGTGGACTTATCATTATCATAATATACAATTTTTGAAAAAAAAAAAAGAGTCGTTTATAAAGAGTCTGAGTCGCTTAGTACGACGGTAATAATCATTGACAAATTATTTAGACAGAAGTTTTGTGCTAAATTACGCGTGTACAATAATTAAACCGAATTAAATCAAAAATGTTTTTTTGTTTACCTATTATAAAAATATACGTATAGAAGTCGGACGTGGCAATTATGTGGACTCCGTTCATTGATTAATACAATAAAAAAAAAAAAAAAAAAAAAAAAAAAAAAAAAACAAAGATAAATATAAAAGAATTCTAAAGTATATGCTATAATCGCAATAGCATTTACGAAAGAGTAGTAACACGCGTTCATTGCCCAAAAGTATATAAATGAAATTGACGAGAAATATGCGGGCATTTATTGCAGATAAAGACGACGCAAGATCTGAGTACTATCGGTACGTGTAAAGCGGGCTCTAAAGCGGGAAATATCACTCACTACGGGAACAAAACGCGCGCGTGTACAAAAATCTTACTTTTAAGTCTATAAGCGCTTAAGAAGATATCTTAACATAGTGTTTTACCTAGTGTAATAATGCAATAGCTTTGCGCGTTAAATTTTCTTTCTTTTAATGGATTTATATATATATATATATATATATATAATATGTATTACCAACAATGTATGTGCAAATTCTCAATAAAAAAAAAAAAAAAAAACATTATTCGAGATGCTAATGCGAAGTGAATCATTTTCTTTTTTTTTTTTATAACTACTAACCATACAAAATCCCTACAAAGTTTACGACTTATCGTTGAATTCGTATACAGATGTACGAAAACAATCGTATATAATCGTATCGATAATCTCTATAAATCATATTACATATAAATGACAGTAATTTTACATCCAAAAATAATCGAAAGTAATAACAACAACAAGAATGCGAAATTCGCGAACATTACTAGTTGAGAAAAAAAAGAATGCATCTATTGAGTGTTTTTCGAAACGCACCGATATTTCACACTTAAAAGCGATTCGATTGATAAGATGCAGTTGATGAACCCTATATTATATAAATATTAAGAAAACGGCCACACGAAATTGCAAAAAAAAAGCAGCGAACTCTACTATACTGGAATGTTCACTACTCCTGTTTCGAAATCAATCAGAATTGGGTAAAAAGAGTAGCGTCCGTTTTTTTTCCCCGTCTCGTAAACTTTGATCGGAAAAGTGTTCTATGTTGTTTTTCTACAAACATTTAGCTTTACTAATCAAGAAACTTGATGGAGGAATAAATTTCGATTTTTTTCTACTGCAAAGGCAAATTTTTTCAAAACATGAAATGTAAAAACTTCTAATATATTCCCGAATATAGAATTTAATTAATTTCTTCGGAATAGTTGTTATTTTCATAACGACGAATTTCGTGATCATTTCAGTTTACTTTCTCAGAATTCAAGAACAATATCATGTTTCAATATGTTTTTTATATAAATAGTACAATTAGAAAGGCAAGAATGGCAGTTTTTTTCTGTCTCATTTTTTCTCTGGCCGTTTTCTACATTTTTTTTTATTGACGTAATCGGTTTGCAATTTCAAACGAACTATAATATAGAGTTCACCAGTTATAATCGGTAACAAAACATGTTACGGACTGCTCGAAGAAAGTAGACTGTCACAGTGTAGTAGTACACTTTGTCTTAAAATTACCGTCGTTACCTATGAGTGTACAGTAGAACCTCGTTAAATAACGGTCCGATGTAAGGTCTTTTTTTTTTTAACGTAGACTGTGTTCGGCAGCAATGAAAACTTTTGTTTTGTTTTAGCACGCTGCGACAGCATCCATCAATAAGTTCCATCAATGATGTCATAAATGAAAGCTATATTTACACTGCATTAAAGTAATTTCAAAACAGCTATGACAGTACACCGTTATGACGTCACTTTGGCGTAATATTGTCAATAAAAACCAAACGCAGTTTTAGTACCAACACTAGTTTCCTTGCGCGCGTGACCGCTGTCATATGTATACAGCTCATCTTTGACTGCGCAATTATAACAGCGCAGCTGGAAAAGGTATACTTAATAAAAATAAAAATAAAAAAAAAATAAAGAAATAAAAAAACAAAACAAAAAATAAAAAAACAACTCTACTGACCGTCTTTTAACAATAAGGTCCAACTGTACAGAATAAATTCATGTGCCGTTAGAAGAATAAAGTTTCAGAGCGACTGCCTATAGCCAGGCGATCGTTCGCGTTATCACTCGTTCGTTTTTGAAATGACGACGGTCTACCGTCGATTCCAAATTCGAGACAAAAACAGATCGTAGAGTTAGTAAAACAATTAAATAATACGTTATATGTGCGAGTTTTAACGACGACGGCGTGGTGAAGAGATTCTTTGGAGAAATTTCAGAGAGACAAGTAAACTGTGGGCAAACTCATCGCGCATCCTTCGCTGTCAGTTTTTCTATGAGCTCTTGCAACGGTGCCAGTTCTCTTCTCTCGATCAAATTGAATTCCTGTAAATATAAAATTGGTGAACTAATTAGAGCGAGCAGTAAAGAAGAAACTCGACTATTATTATTAAAAAATATGTTTTGTCAATACTTCTACAATTCTTTTAAGTTTTTTTGTAATATATGTATACCTGAACGAAAAATATAAAATGCTTGAATGACGTATTTAGATGTGCTTCTTCGCCGAGCTGTACAACCTCGCTGAAATGCTGATGATAGATATGGGCGTATACTCTAAATAACCGTTTCAAGATGGTCTTTGCAATAGATAAGAAATTCTTAGGGAAAGGAACTCCTGCGAGGAAAAAACAACTCAGATTAGTTTTCAGATGTAGAAGTGTGGAATATACTATAGCTAGAGATTAACGAAGAAAACAAAAATAATCACCGATTTTAGAGGGAAATAGAGTCTCGTCGTCTAATTGATCTTGCACCCAGGTCATTAAATAATCTATGTATTTCGGTGCCGAGCACTTGATGGGTTTCTTTACCGTATGACCGTCAGCCCAATGATATTCGTATTTTGGTCCTGCCGACATAATGGGACAACTTTCCTCCGTGCAAAACTCCGTGATAGTTCCGTAAAGCATGTTGATTTGATTGAAGAAATCAACAGCTAGAGAGAGAAGATACGAAATAAACTTTGGCCGATATAAAAGAACTAATGAAAATGTGAGATCGAGAATGAGAACTCACTGTTCACAGCCACCCATTCATTCAGATCCTCCCCTTCAGGAAGCATGACAGCCAGTCGCAGATTTCCGGAACCTAATGTGGCAGCGGCATGTTTCATCAAGTCATACTGATGAGTGCCCTCTGGGATGTTCTTCTTTGGCTTAAAGGTTTTCGAAGACCTACTACCACTTGAAAGAAAATAAAAGTTAAAAGATCCTGTAAATTTCAATATCAAGAATGAAGAATGTCACAACAAATGTTTTTTTTTTTTTTTTTTTT